ATTGCGTGTTATTTGTACTTCTTTGGGTCGAGCAGCTCTTCTCATCCAGGGGATTTTACTGCATTGTTGACTATGTTTAACCTGCATATGAAAAATAAACCAATCTTGAATCTTGAATCTAGATGGAGGAGCTTTCTGTGCCTTTGTTTAGAGGACAGGACAGTGGATATAGCATGAAATGGAGAGCAAGAGCAAGTCGTAATAAGAGGAGAAGGAGCAACAGGTTGGAATTGAGCCCAGACCATGGTAAATACCCCTGAACAGTGGTGGACTGGACCATCGGGATCACCAGGCTGATTCTCGGTGGCCTGGCATCGCCTGTCTTAAGATGTGATTGTTTTGAGTTTAATAAGGTCGCCGACCTACATCGAGATAGCTACGATGCTAGTGGTGCGTGCTCATCCAAGTTTTATGTCTCTCGAGAAATTTGACTTTTTCTGACAGGCTTTCAACATTTTATTATAATACAACAGCAATGTGGTAGGCTACATTCTTAGTTTAACCTCCCAAGACCTGGCGTCCACATGTGTGGACATCACATTTTTGGTTGTCAAGACCACAATATTCAATTTTGTTCACAAGGGCCTTCTCTCAAAATTTAAAACAAATGTCCTCATATGTGGACATCATTTTTCTCAGAAACTACATCATGTAAAAAGGTCATTCTTTGTTTTTACACTCATCAGGTCCCAATTAGCCTAAATATCAAAGAGAAAATAAAAATGCATGCCTTGCAAGAGTTCAGGTCTTAGGAGGTTAAATGAGTAAACAAATAGCTAAAGGCATGACAAATATGGAGTTTTTATGACCATTTTGTTTTTACTTCATATTAAATTTGTAGTTATGTAGCCAATGTTGAATTCTTTACATTAGCATTATATTTACTAAATCTGGCTTCAAATGTCCAAAACGTTTCGCTGTTGCCAGCATTTCTGTGTCAAAGTGCATTGGCGTGGCCTGGATGGAGTCAAACTCCTGGCCTACCTCCGAGTATGGTGTGAAGGTCTATATGGCTGGGACTGGGTGCTCCTTTAATGTTTGTTGATGCTGACCAGCTGTATCAAGGTAACAAGGTAAAGTGGGTATTCCTCTAAAATCAAAACTTTGACCTCTGGCCTCTACGGACAGATTTTGTGATCTTATAAATGATGAATGGGTGAGTTATCTGTTCGTGTCTCAGTGAAGTCCTCAAACCTGGATTTGAGCCCTAAATCCTCAGAGTTCTCCAGTCCCAGGAGAAGAATCTGAGTCTCATCCCAGAAGAATCTTCATTAAGTATATTAAAAGAAAATAAATGCGATTAACCTTTGCGCTGTTCACTGTTTGATCATTAACTGACTCAGTGAGACCGAAGTGATGTGATGAAAATACTTTTCTTTTGCTGAAACTGATTCTGACTGACCCTGTCAGAGTGTTTCTGGGTATTTGAATGATCAGCCCTGAGCTTCGAGCATAAACGTATACACTGCCTCTCTTAATGATGAGACACAGTCAGAGTCTCTGCTGTGGGGGGATCATGGTAGATGTCTAATAAACTTAAAAATACTACCAGCTCAGCTGCTAGTAATCAGAAATTTAATGAAGTAGGCTAACTTTAGCATCTTACTGTACTTTCCAGAGTGGAATTGTACATTTTGTTTGATCATTAACTTGGTCTGTCTCATATGAGTAATATCAAAAGTCAAAGTTAATAGTGAATCAGAACTTAGCGTTGACACTTCTGTCTTCAAGTAAAATCCATTATAAAAATATTACTGACCTCACTTGACCACATGAGATAATTTCCATTCTGTAAAAGACGACATTTCCCCTCTGTCTGCTAAAAAGAAGAGCTTCTTTCCCTGTAATCGGAGATATTACATAAGTAAATTAGAAAGTGAAGTGTGAAATTCCTTCCTGCTGGATTTATCCCTGCAAACCACGCCAGAGTCAAATTCATATGGCATGCCTCTGAGGAAAGCTGGCAGTGTGGGATGTAGAAATCCTTAGCAGAGGCATACCAAAGTGTGTCTGGAGGGTTAAGAATTTTTCCACCTAATTGACAACAAACAAAATCTTAATCAATGAGTTCAATAATTTAGCATCAAGTTTGCAGCTGAATTATCTTTGAAAACATATCGATGTTTTTACTACAAATACACTTTTTGGATATTCCAGATTATATCCTGGTAGTCAAAGTTAATCAGGCATCAAAAGTAAAGGCATGTGCAGCTGCTGAAGTCTCCATGCTTACTCTTCTGGGAGTGAGTTGTTGCAGAGGAGTAATAATCTCATCAAGCCCTCCTGTGCGATCTCAGCTGCGGCACGGGTCAGCCGATTGCCATCACTTAGCCGGTCATTTCAGCAGCTCCCCTCTCTCCTGCCTCTCTCTCGCTCAGATAGCAGTGCTCTGACTCAGCCTCCAGGAAGGTGAAATGTTTTACTGTTCACACATTACCCCTTCGCTGACCTCAGATGACTCCGCTCTTCCCTCCCTGCAAAATAGCGTTCCTTGAGATCCTTCAGCACCGCCGCTCAACGGCACATCTGACACATCTGGGAACCGAGAGAGGATTAAGAGCTGTGTGTCTACAAGTGTTTCTGAAAAATGAGAGTGCACCATGTGCTGAAAAATGGAAGCCATGCCACAAGCCCCGACTGGCATGCTTAAACCACAGAAATATGTGACCAGCAGATATTTAAAAGCATAACAGATTATTTCTGAGCCAGGGGGCAGCGTCCTGTTGACATCCAACTGTGTTATGATTGAGTGAAACTGCCACTCTGAGCTACTGATCGACCAAAATTATAAAACCCTGTGAATATAAGAGCTTTTTTATTGTGCTGAACTCTAGTCGAAAAAGCCTCATAAATAATGTGCATTGTTAAAGCACAGAAGCAGTACTCTGGAGTTGATATATGATGGATCACAGTATGAGTGGGACTGAATTTAATTGATGTTTTCTCCTGAACCACACAATCTGAAACAAATTTGTTTTCCAGAGGAAGTCGTTTATATCTCTTCATCTGCTCCAAGAAACAAAAAAAACAACAAGCTCATTCCTCTGCAAATATAAATATTGGAAATGCAATCACATCTGAAGAGAGGAGAGAGATAGGAGCAGTTTACACTTGTCCTCCTCTTAGCGAGTGCTCCACAGATGAACATCAAAGTCTTGGATGGGGATGAAGCACATCATAGTTAACATCTAAGCTCTTCTACCTATCTTTGGACTCTTCCCCCCGACCAGCTGCTAAGCAGAGGCAGCACCAGCTGACCACACATGGATGATAATAAACTGAATGGGACTGTATCCACACGTAAAAGATAATATACTCAAAACATGGCAGGGTTTCATTCACAGCCGCAACATTCATTCCCTCACTCGTAACCCTGTCTGAAACTCCAGCCATAAGTTTACCCAGAGAGGGACGCTCTCCCACTCTGTCATTTCAGCGAGTTCAGATCATCAATCATCCCAGGCGGAAACTCTGCAGACCTCTACACTGTATGTTCGGGTGGAATCGCTCTGTGTCCAGTAAAAACAGAGGAAGAAGACAGAGGGAAAGACTTGAAAATGAAAGAAAAACTGACTGTGAAGAGTTTCAAATTTTGAGCCACAAAAACACCACATAAGTTTTGAAAAAGTCAGGCTGTTACAGGGTTCGAAAGGAAGTGCTAAAAATACCACATGGTACCACGATGAACAACAAACCGAATGTTAAAATGTTTTCAGAGATGCTATAATCACAGAAAATGTCTGCATCACAGGGTAAACAGTGTGGCTAAGGTCCAACATGCAACAGGGTCAAAAGAGTCCTGGAGGTCTCAGGTCCGATCAGAAGGTCGGGTCAGAACCCTTTCAGAATCTCTTCAATTTAAGTGTATGCAGGAGAACGCCTGTGCTGTATTACCAATAAACTGAATATCAAACGTCAAGTCACTGGTTTTAATTTAAAGTCTGTGATGTGTAGAAAAACACGGTTCAGTATTGACAGCGGTACTCAGCGTTCAGCAAAACTTAATACAGAAATCTGAAAGTCTCTTGAGAAATTGTTTTACTGAGCCAAACATTTTTTCATCCACATTCATCTGATAAAATGTTCCCTTCAGTTCAGTCATTTTGTTTTTCATTTGTTGGTACTGGTAAATTGTTGTCTTCAAATGAAAAAGTGTGATATTGGCAGCATATGTCAGCCACTTGCTGACCTGCTCTTTATAATCACTATCAACACCCTTACTTGAAAAACTGTTATCAGCCAGCTACTAGTTTTTACCAGTGAGTGCTTCATTCAAAACTGTGGTTTGCAAAATAAATGATAAAATACAGCTTTTCGTATTCCAGTCCAGATTTGTATGATGACAGGTTAGAGCGGCATACTGATGTGTTGCACATGATGTCAGAAAATCCAATGGGATTGCCACTTGTTCATCTTGGCAAAGTGACAACTTTACATAAACCGTCACCTTTTCACACCCAGCAGGTATGTAGTGTTTTGAGAAGCGTGTGTAGTCTGGTATGCCATACCTTGGCTCCAGAGTTTAGATTGTTTCACAGACAGTGTATTGTTGTATTGGGTCTCCACAGGTAAATCTGGTAAGGATACCATAATATATAATAATATACCATATACAATATACCATAACATAAGAGCTGCAGTGGACTTTGATGAGTTTCGGCCAAATGTCTGAGCAGTAGGTGATACCTGACTCTTTCTGTGGGGAAGCTGGCCCCGCTGTTGCTATGGGTACAGAGGTGGTAGCTCACCACTTCATGTTAATAGTAGGGGTGGGAATCACTAGTGGCCCCATTTATTGATACTCATACTGTTATTATAAATCCTTAATGATCATTATCCATACAACAATCTTCAGCACTTCATAATAAAGCTAATCCTTTGTCACCTCTATCTATCAGCTTACAAGCTCTTATCCTGCTGATTTCAACATGAGTTATGGTTGTTATTGACAGGACTTGCTAAAAGGTTTGGTTGTGTTTACCTCGCCTGCTTTTGGTGGTAGAGGAGGATGGCGTTGGCAGCCCAGCAGCAGCAGACGGAGTTGATGGAGTTGTTTCGAGCTGCAGACAGTCGAAGGCTCTGCACTTTGGCTTGATTTGATCATCAATGCTGATGTGTTTGGTCATGGAGTTAAAACTGATGCCTTGATCCAATGAAAGACTCGTTACACTTCTTTGACTGCACCATAGGGGATTATTTTTCATTGTTGGATTTTGTCTTCCTTGATGATCGATTTCAAAGCACAGATTCAGAAATACTGGCAAGAATAAAGCTTTGGTGAGTTTTAACAAGATTAAGTGTAAGTACTGGGGGTGTAATTGCTGGAAAAATAAGATTACACTGAAACAAAATACTTTCGTAACTAGAACCAAACCGGCTTCATAGCAATCTTAAATGAAAACCAAAAAAACTTAAGTTACTCGGATGGTTCCTTTTTCAAAAGAGTTCAAAACTACTCTGAGAGCTGGAGCTTCACAAAATCAGGTTTTTCACAGTCAGACTTGCACAGATGGTACACATTTTAGTCGTATCAACTTTCATGGACAGTTGCTTGTTGTTTTTAACCAAGTTGGCGAGCAGAAATGTTGCCTTTGTTCCATGGGCATCATCCCTGACTGACTAACTCAGCACAGAGTCCTTTTTTGCCACAGAGTTTGTAACGTGTGAAGTTGACATGTAGCGTGCCTTTAATTGGAACAGAAAATTATTTGGTGGGCAGAAAAACCAGCACAGCTTTCGTCAGACGAGACTGAAGCACCCTCTGTTTCTCAGGGGATGTCACTGGTGCACAAACACCCTGTCAAACCAGCAGCCAAGCTAAATTACCTCAGCTGGACCAGGAGTCTGTTAGTCCCTTCTCCAAACTTTCATCCTAACAACCATTTAATTTTGGGGGGACAGGGGGAATTAATACTTAATTAATACTTTTTAGAGAAAAAGTTAAAAGAGAGACTAACAAAGTCAGCCTGTGTAGAGGACAGGTCTGGAAAAGGCATATGTCGACTACATGTGCTTTGTGGCTCAAGGCAGTTGTGAGTGTTCTGTATGAGCTTTAAGAAGCAGTGGACCACAGCATGGAAACCCAAACAGAATACGCTGTGCATTGAACTCTTTAATCTTATGGCATCAGCGAACTAATGCACAGTGCATGCTTAATGTGTCTGCATGTGTGCGTGAGCTGCAGAGTGCAGACTGTTTGCAGGTAAATGTTTGATGGGGTAATGAAGCTTTGGATAAATGGAAACAAAAACAGCTGGTGCTCTCCATCCACCTTCAGTGATTTTAGGCAAACACAGAAGCTTGTGTTTCAAGTGTAGGTACAGATTATACAAGAACATTATAGGAAGTACATTAAAGTCATGGCTGAATATTAAAAATAAGACAGTCTTTGTAGGTTTGAAGACAATTTAATTATTCTCCCAAAGGCAGGATTTGTATAAGTAACCGGAGTTAATCTTTTCAATAAAACACATTGTGAAGAGCTGACTACAGTACAAGAGGCTGCACTCAAAAGTCTTTTTTCTTAATCCAACAAAGGATTAGTTTCATCTTTGCCTGTCATGATGAATTAATAAATAAACATCCTGTTAGCATTAGCATGTCCTTACTCAGTGTTCCCTGAACGCTCTGAATTCAGTTTTTCTTGTCAAGATCTGAACTGTGTGATGGAAAACCAGACACAGTGGCCGCAAGTCCCTCAAGGAGGATAGCCACCATATGTTGGACTCCGGTTCTATATGACCAAAAAGGCCAGCCTCCTTTTTGTTTGGGAACAGAGAAAAGTTGATCAAATGTGACAAGAACAGTATGTGTGGAGACTGTAAGGCAGGAGCAGTTGTTTTATAACAGAGGTTCCAGATTCTAAGGAACTAAACTAGGGTGACCATACTTCCTCTTTTATCTGGATATGTCCTCTCTTTGGAGGGGCTGTCCGGCCTTGTCCAGGGGAGTTTATAAAATATCTGGGGTTTTGTGTGGAAGTTCTGAGTTTGTGTAGCGTGGACTAATTGAGATAGAAGCACATAAAAAACATCCGACCCGGAAAACCCTCAAAATTTACTACGTGTGACTCTGCAACTCCACCCCGAATAGCAGTGTCCTCATTTTGGAGATTCAGAATATGGTCACCCTAAACTAGCTAGGTTTATGCTAGCCTGGCAAGCATTACAAGACCACTTGTATGGTATAAAATTCTGGAGAAGGATTACTAAACTTGAACCCAGCAGTAATGCCCATGAAGGTCAAATTTATTAAACGTAACAGTGAGTTTGAAGTTTTGCAATAAGGGGCAATATGGTGAATTTATGACTGGACTGTTGTCTGAGGATTGTAAGCCTCCAAGAAAGAGGCTATTTTATAATCTGTCATAGTGTTGCTCTGTTCCTTGTGTTCCTTGCAGGCAGACTTGGAAGAAGGAGAGTTGCTGGCAGCAACAGCGGTTAGAGTGCCATGCTTGCTAAGCTACACACAGCGATTGGCCAAGGCTACAAAGATAAGCTGACTCTTCTGACAAAAATCAACAATCAATTACCAATGAACAAAGTTGGCCCCAATGAGTTAGATGTGTTATTGAGTGTGTTTTCATGCTGTGAACAGCCGTAATATTGTTTTACTCAGCAGAGTTGTTGAGGGATGAGTCATCTTGTCTTAACTTTGCCTGCTGAGAGAGTTTGGTACATGCAAACCAGCGGCAAAGAGAGTGACACGTTAATGAAACATGGCAAGAGTAGTGGCCAATCCAACACCATCACATCCAAAAACTTATCACACTACAAACATCCCACCCACTTCGCTGCAAAGAAAAACAGTCCCCAAATTTTAAGCAGCAGACTTTGCTTATCATGGGAAAAGAAGGCATTTGGACGTCTCTCTTTTAAACAACAACTCACTGTGACCCTAAAAGTTGAAGCCGAGACTGTTGTTTTCCTTCAAGTTATATTTCCAGCCTTTTATCTTGACCTGAGAACATGTTTTTCTTCTTCATCCTTTATTCTTCTCTTTCTCTTTTTCCACTCCTCACTGTGGAGCCAAGGACTTGCACCGTATGACTATAGATACAAGGCTACAAAATTAACCAAACCATTCATCTTATATTATTGATAGTTTTGCTTTCAGACTAAACCGAAATTTGGCTTGAATCAATATTTTTAGTGGCATATTTTAAGTTTATAGGTTTATTGTTAAATTTCAAGGCTGACTGCTTGATAAGCGCCATTAAAGGTGGAGTAGGCAGGAGCTAAGGGGAAAACTGGTTGGGAAGGGTAGTGTTTACATTCAAGATTTCTCCCAAAAACTGGCACTTCCTCTGTCTATGCTCCAGCTTTTGTTGGCAGTCGTGGTTAAAGGAGGATTCAGACAACTTTCTGTACTTTCTGGTTAGTTTCTACTGTCTGATATTGTAGCACGCTAACTTTGTATGGGCTCCTGAACGACACTGGGGAGCAGCGTCTGCCTCACAACCAATCAGGATGGGGGAGGCGGGGAATGGCTTTGTTTACAGTGACAAAGAGCGGAGCAGTCAAAAAAATTTGAAATGTTGACTACACAGACATAACGAAACAGTGATATCTTTATATCACCAAACGTCATCAATGTCTAATAGCTATTGACTGATATTAAAAGCTTTTTTGTATATACGCCAATAAAAAAAAGATGCCTCTTTAACAGATTCCTGCCTACCCAACTTTTAAGTGACTGGAATTCATTGTAAAATTAGCTGTAAAATTGTTTTTAAAATTAATGACTACTCAACAATCAAAAGAGTCAGTTTCAGTTCTGGTATCAGTTGGACGAGTTTGTTTGTTTGTCCACAGAATCAAAGTTGTGCTCAAACAGCTGCTTTTGTCTCATACTGTTACAGTGAGAAAGGCCCGCTTGACTATGACAGGGATATTCAAAAAGGGTTGGGATACTGTCTGCACTTTCTACCTTTAAGTGCACACAGTGCATTGTGTGTTGCAACCTGTTTTGATTTAGCCACACACAAAGCTCTGCAGGACAAACTTATAGCATTGGTTTCATTTTGAACTTCAGAGGAATTGCTGCATCTGGCTGGCTGCTGGAGGCCTCTTTTAAAAGGCTGAAAAAGCTGGTGACAGTAATTACTGCAGGTATGTCTAACATCAGTTTGTTAATGTGAATCAGAAACGTCGAAAGCTGTGGGTGTTGTACAGTGTGCTGCTCATTTGCTGTTCTGCCAGCCATGTTTTTCTTATCAGTGAAAATGAACATGAGTTTGGGAAATGAGCTTCTAATTGAATTTTTGCAAGACGAGGGCAAAGACCCCCACAATAATGCTGAACTGGAATGAAATTAACCAATGCCAGTGTTTTATCACCGTCATTTTCAACTTCAGCCACGGGATACCTCCTCACAGGGTGGTCCGATTATAGCTATCAAGTTTAAATATCCAATAGAAGTTAGATAAATGTAGTCATAGCAGTTAAATAACCATGTAATGATGCTGTAAAACATGCCCTGACAACCATTAAACTGCAAAACAGGCCACATTACAGGCGAAGCGGTTCTATAATCATCAGTAATCTCTGGTTGTTCGGTTCGACATGCACCAGAGAATCCTCACCCCCCGTAGCTTCACGTCGTGACCTGCCACCCTGGGTTGCTGTGTTTCATGTAAATATAGTGTGTAATGACACACTGTCAGAGCATAGATGCTATTATGGCCTTCCTACCAAGTAGAGGTCATATTTGCCACCCCGCCCAAAAGAGGGGCAGCTTTACCGCCGTGGTTGAGGCCCTGCTTTCACCCAGACCAAAATGACAGACGTGAGTTTATCTGTACGTTTTGAGCGGGGTTTGTGGCTGAGAGTGCTGAGAATCCTATCTGAAACTTTACAAGGATTGAGCAGATACTCACTGATTAGTGGAATTGTTTCAATTTTTTTCTTCACATTGGGTAAACCAACTGAACCTTGGCTCTTTTCTCGCTCTCCACCGCTGATTCTGGGTGCTTGAGGTCACCAAACATTATGACAGTTGTCGCGAAAGGCTCGGTGAGAGGGAGTCAAACATATTGTTTACACGCCATTATGGGAAACATTATTTGGCCCAGAGGCACGCATCCCCTTCATTCCAGCTTTGAGCCAATCCACAAAGACATGAACAAATGCCTCTTTTTGATCTCTCAGCTGGTGATAGGCTGTGAATTCACTGCAGAAAGGGTCTGGTCATTGTTACAAGGAGAAAAAGCAGGATGCTTTTTTATCATGGGCTTTCATAATGCATTTATTTTAACAGGCCGCAATTCAAAATACCTTGAGGGACGCAGCTGGATTGTACTGCAAACACTTTTCCTAACACTTAACAAAGTGTTTACAAATTGACACACTGAAAGCAATTTTAAAGACCAAATCTTGATCTTTGCTCAATGAATATGTTCTTAAAAAAGGACAGAGTAGAGAGACGCATATACTGTGTAATGATTGTGATCTCCAAAAGCTTTCCAAAAAGCCTGGTACATATTAAATCTTTGGTTATCTTGGTCTCCTGATTAAAACTCAAGTCATCTTCTCAAGATGTTTGCCCTGTAGTTTGCTGTTTTTACAAATTATGCCATGGGGAAAACATCACTGTGTTAATTGATTTGTCACACTTTGAAGTCTTTCCCTTTCCCCCCAAACCTCACTGATGGGTTCAGTTCAGCTCTTTTGACGCAAATTAAAAGCAAAGACCTGGAGGCACGGGGACATCTGGTCCAGTCGGTCTGCCTCCATTGTAAACGTTTCATTAGCAAGCTGATTATTTTAACCCCACAGGCTTAAAGCTGCATGAGGAGAACATGACCATGAGGCAGCTCTACTGTACACACATGGCGAGGCCCAGCATAGGAGGGCTGTCACATGAGCATCAACAGTGAGAAGCATGTAGTTTGTGGAATGTCAGTAGAGCACATGTGAAAGTATACAATACCACATAAATATGTCTCTTATGTTTACATGACAGGAAAAGGCAGTTTCTACATGTTTGTGTGTGGTGACGGTGTGGTGAAAAAAGTGCACAACAGACCAAAAGAACAGCATGGCTGCAGTTTTGTGTGGGTAGATGCAGTATAGACAAACAAACCTTAGGCTTTGAACAGTTTCTGCAGATTTTCATGCACAATGAAGAGAGGAATGAAATCCCCAAAGTTGTGATTATTTGATATGAACAGCCATGATCATGATTAATGAAATACTATGATGAAAGTCAACCCTACACTGTAAGATGTTGAGTTAAAACAAACCCGGTTTTAAGGGTTAGCAACTAACTTAAAACATGTTTTAATGCATATAGTCCAAGAACAGATGACAGCCTGAAAATGTTTTTACAATTAGCCATAGTACTAGCAATCAAACATCTTTTTAGCTTTGCCTGGTTTCATTAGCAAAGAGACTAAACACAACTCACCCACTCTCCTCCAGCAGCCACTTGTTTGTGGGGGAGTCCTGATGAGTCGATCACAGAGTGCAGCGGAGTTTCGCAGCTTAAGGAAGAACATTTATGATTATTACTTCATGGAAATGCAATCAGACCAAGACGCTAAGGCAGAAGAAGGTCTGCAGTGCAAAATGATTAATATGATGATTATTACTTCATGGAAATGATCCGCTGCACTCGGTGATCAACTCGTCAGGGATTCCCCAAAAACAAGCAGCTGCTGGAGGAGAGTGAGTGAGTTGTGTTTAGTCTCTGCTAAAGAAATTACGCAAAACTAAAAAGATATTTGATGGATAGTACCATGGCTGGGACCCTGTATGTACTGTTGATGAAGTTAGGTGCTGTTCTGAGCACTATTTGTGGCTTTAGAATGGCTTTTTAGTTGAGGTTTTGCGACATAGACTGAGGCCAAGTGGGAAACTGCACTTTGGTCTCGCAAAACAAAATTTGACATTCTTTTTGGAAACCATGGATGCTGATCCAAGCTTGTTAGCAGTGCACAGTTTAAAGCCAGCAATAGAGATGGCATGGGGGTGCGCAAGTGTCCAAAGAAAAAGGTAGCTTACACATCTGGAAGGTTACCAGAACTGCTCAACGATAAAATCAACTTTGGAAACAGTAGTGCTGCTGTTGTGCTAAGTTAATGTAACACAATGGTAAACATATCGCTGTCCCAACATTGTGGAATTTAAAATGATAAATGGACTATCTTCATATTGAGCTTTCTCTGGTCTAGCCAACCACATTACATCACATTCACACATTAATGGCAGAGACCACCATCAGATCTCCCCACCCTTTGCTTGAGAGACCACTGACTCTACTACGAAGCCAAGGCTGCATCATACAATCTCAATTAAATACAGGACATGAATAATTTGCATTACATCAAATTCTGTCTTTACACAGCGTCCCAACTTTTAAACGATTGGGCTTTAGACAGCAAGTTTTAACCCACGCCAGAGGATGTCCAATTGGAAATATTGATTGATCGGCTGCTCTTACATTGTGCAGCTATGTTCCATTGACCCATTCCATTCAGCCAACTTGGAGTCCTTCCTTAAGCTTGGAAAAATGCTGGAGGCATGATTAAATACAAAGAGAACTGCAGCTGCTTCACAGACAGTGAATAATCGAACAACACCTGATTTAAAATCACACTGCTTCCAGGATTTGGTGATTCATAGCTTCAGCCTTAACTAAACTCGATGTAGGTGTAACAGTTATTCAGCTTCTTAAAACACTAAAAGCCCCATTTATCACTTGTTGCAGAAAGACAACGTGTTATGGCTGTGTGTTATGAAAGGGTGACTCGTGGCAATGAACTCAAAGAAAATTATGACTTTTCTCTCAACTCTTCAGAGGTTTTGGCAACTTCAAGCATTTTGGTTTCGCTGCCCTTTACTCCTCTCTGTCCACTTTTAGCAGGACCATTTTCAGCAGCAGCAGCAGCAACAAAGCTCTTATGAACCCACAGTATAATGTCGTTCTAACACTCAGCGGCAAATGGACCTGGTGAGTCTCTAACTGTTCAGTGCATCAGAGCATTTAGAAAGACAAAATGTTGCTCTGATTAAATCAGGGTTCAGAGGAGGATACGTCTTCACTCAGTGCTAGTGTTGGTTTCAATTTTCATGATGTGTAAAAAAGCCACAGCTCGCTAATGTTAGCCATGACAACCTTTTGAAACATCGTGCAATAATATTGTTTTTGTTTGTTTTGCTGACCCATGAGGTTAAAAAATGAATGAAAAACTCTGCTACTGGGATTATACTCTTCGTTCACATGGAGTAAAATAACTTTATGTGAAATTTATTTTAAAAAAAAACAGCTCTCAACTTGTAAAGACATTTGCTTCTCAGGCTTTTAGATGCAGTAATCATTTCTCTACTGTAATTCTGAGGTCAAACTCATTAACCTATGAAGGTTATATCCTTTACCGAATCCTACATTCATTGGCATGTTTTTGCACCCCACTCCTGGTCATCTGAGACTGGATCATTTTATCCTTTCAATCTAGAATGAAGGATCATCTGGTTATTTATTGATCACTGTATTTGATGATGTTTATGCACGTGTTGTCATCTCAACCAGGAATCCTTTGAAAAAGTGATTTTGTAACTCAAAGGGAGTAATCCTGGTTGGAAGAAGGGTTTAAATGACATTCATTTATTTATCTCTTTTTCTTGAAAGCTGTCTCAACTTTTCACCCAACCCTCTACAGGTTAGCATGTGTGACACTTTCACTCTGATTTGCCTTGTGTGTGTTTGTGTAGTCATTGCACACACAGTAGATGTTGGAGCTGAGGGTCAGCTGAGGACACTGTTGTTTCTAACATTGTCTCTTCTAATAGAAGCAGGGCTGGACCGACCTCCACCAGTTTTCACAAATGTTGCAGCACGGGTTTACCAATGATCCAACATGCAGATGCACGGAAACAAAAGCCAAACAATGGACCTGATTAAGATGATGGCTTTTCTCATCAAAACTGTTTTCATTGTTAGATAAAAGGGATTTTTATGAGGAGATGAGTGTTCCCTGGAGGCCTGATAAAATGTTAAAGTTTATATTGTACAGAAGCACAAATGTTAGGAAGTACTATAAGGTTAAGTGCTATGACTGTTTTGTGGTTTTTTCGCATTGGGTTGAACAGGGTCTGCAACTAAGAATGAAGATCTGTCATCCGATATTGTAAACAACTTGCCACTGTGAGACTTCCAGACTTCTTCAGATTTGCAGACTCTGCCAAACTGGCATGCATTTCCTCTATTCTCCTGATTAGCTGTAACCATATGGGAAGCCTGGTGCCTTTTTGCAAAATGGCAAAATAAAATCTCGACATATTCTAATCAATGAGGATCACCAAACCATCTGTTTTCACCAAATTCAGATTACTTTATTTTCCATAAAAACCACAGATTCATTATGTTAGTACAACAAGTTTGGGTTTCTGTCAGACTCAATAAAGGTTAGAGCAGAGTTGAACACAGTCAATCAGAACAGCACAATGATGAAGTCACAGAATTAAACCTACTCATCCTCACTGAATCCCACTCTTTAGAAGAAAATTAAATGACTAATGATGAAAAAAGAAGAGTTTGACCAAACAGAGTGAAGGCATTTTTGTCTTGCAAAAGAATGAGGATCTCTGATCCAGAGGTACTGTAACAGTCCTTTTACCCGAGGACACAGCGGGACATGAAGCCCATCTGGATCCTGCTTCTTGATTGGATGGTCTACAAAGTGTCTTTTCCTGGCTGCTTTCCACCGATTGGATGAATTGAGAGGAAAGAATAGTGTTTTGAGTTCAGGGTGACCAGAAGTTGGCTGTGGAAGAGGAGAAAGGTTCAAAAAGTTAACCAGGATAACTTGATGATCTGATGAGAACGGCAGATGAGGAGGAAAAGTTGAGCAGCACGGAGAGGTGAGCAGTGAGGTGACGTGTTTCGATTCAATTAAATACTTTATTAATGCTCCCTCCACTGTTTTAATCAAAGCTAACGCTCTCATGGCTGTAACTCAAGATGACACCGACAATTAAAAAAGGATTACGAAAGAGTCTGGCAGAGTGACAGTCCCATCTCAAAGTATGACTCAGCACTTCTGCTGCCAATAAAAGACAATAACACCGCCTTTGTATGAGATAGCAGCATGAGGTAACCAAACCAAATGGAGCATATCGATTACATTTAGGGTCTACTCACACTTGGCAGTAAAATCAGCATTGTGTGGTCTGAATGCAAGTCCAGATCTAAATACAGGTGTGAATAAACTCAAAACAGATGCTGTGGAGTCCTGAAAACTGCTGGATCTATTTCAGCAAAGGTAAAGTAAAAAAGAAAAAAACTCCAGAGCACACTGGAGACTTTTCAAGACGGTGTATTACGGACAGAATTTATTTGTTTGCTCACACACCAGAGAAAACAAACTTGGTCAAGTCAATGAATCTGATTTGTACGGAAAAGAATTAGGGCCACTGAAAAAAAAAGGTCTGTTATAATTTTTTTTTAATTGATATTCTTAGAAAACAAAAATCAGAATTCTGAGTTTAAAGTCAGAATTCTGACTTTTTTTCTCTGAATAATAATTAAAAATATATATATTGGACCTTTTTTTTTCCAGTGGTCCTAATCCTCTTCCATAGATTTTCATACCCAAATAACATGAATTGTTTCACATGTTCAGTTGTGAACAATGGAGCATGTGCAGAACCCTTAGGCCAGTTTTGGTTTGGTTGAGCCGTGTACATGACAGAGGAAATTGATTCCCGACCACATTATCCAGGTATGTTAGTCCTCCTCTGAGATTTCGTGTGATTCAAGCCAGACTAATGCAATAAAATGATTATTTTTTTAAAAACATGTAAACATACTGAGTGTACTTTAAACATTTTTTCAAACCCCTTCTTCAAACTCTTAATTTTTCTCGAACCAACTGTTCAATGTACATGTGCAAGCTGTCCTGGAATCTTTCCACAGATGAAAATTAAATGAACCAAAGACCCGGGTTGATTGTACAAAGGCAGTCCAGATGCAACATTTGAGTAAGTCCCTGAAGTATGTAATGTCTGGATAAGAACAAAGCCTTTATGTTCAGTGGAGTATAAACACGATAAGTAGAGAAACATGAAGGAAAATTCAAACAATCAGTGAATTAAATAGTCTCTATAATCATGGGTGCATATATCTTTTTCACAACATAGTTTTTTATTGCTTTTTATTGTTTTTATTTTTTATTTTTTTGTAAAGGGCTGTAAAAATAAACAACATTTACATTTACATTTAGCAGACCATAGAGAAGGCATACATGTAGCACATGATAGGGAAGTTGTTGACAGGTCTTAATATACACTAAGTCTTTGAGAGTGACAAGATCTTTCTCCGACAGTTTGACTCAAAGGAAACTAAAGAGTCCTTCTCACCTGGCAGAGTTCAGTAGTTGATCATCTTCTTAATCGCATCAAAGCACTTCCACTTATCTGGGATGTAAAAAGGCTCAAAGATGTGAGGGAAGGGAGTGTCGTAACCACAAACCCGAGCGATGGGAGCCTCCAGGTTAAGGAAGCACTCCTCCTGCAAGAAAAAAAAAGAATAAGAGGACAAAATGCGTGTTATAGGCTGAATACTGTCAGTCTTTAAACATCACTCATTCAGACAGGAGGGTGAAAACTGACACGTTCAGACTGCGGCGCCTCTTAGCTTTAAGTGTTTGATTCACAGGGTTAACACTGACTAAAAGACAGGGCTTTATAAGGGCCGCTGCACGGAGCCAGCATGTTCAGTCCAAACACAGATCTGCTTTATATCTGTCTGATGTTAGAGTATACAGTTAAATCTGAGTTTGTGATATCAGGGGGTGTAAACATTTGAAAAACAAGTATAATATGGTTTGTTGGAACCCACCATACATCTTGACATCTTAATTAATTTTATCGCTCTATTAGATTTATGTGTTTCAAACCACATTTATTCAGGCTCCTCAGTGCAGACCAGTGCAGGCAATTTGGCCACAGTGCAAAACAAGCCATGACTCGTGTCTCTATATTGACCTTTGACCTCTTCCCATGGAGACAAAACAGAATGAAGTCGGTCAAAACAATCCAAATGGGACAAACCCCCTGGTGAGTTAAATGAACACACTGTTAAACCCACTGTGACCGAGCATGCGGGTTTACAGGAACAGACCCCAAGTACCCTCTTTCGGTTTGAACTGACCTCCGAGCAACTCAAGCACCCAAAACAAAACCATTACAGTCTATATGTGATGCCTGTTCAGACAGAAACAAAGCAGAGATTCACTGGTTTCTCCAGCATTTTCATCCATATTATCACAAATGACCAACTCACCTAACTACCTTTAACAGAGCTATTTCGACCATTTAGTATAGCAGGGCTTTTCTGTGCCATACTGTACTTTTTTCACTTTTTTGCAGACCATCTGGAATAGTTCTTGAGAACGTTTGACCTGATGAGAAGACTTTTGTGCTCCGTTACTTTTTAAATGACAACACAAATAGACAGTCAGGAGGAGAGAGAGATGTTTGTAGCTCTGCCTGCTTGAAGAACTGTGACAGTAAGAGCCGTCCTGCTGACACGTCTTGGTTCAGAAATTCAAAAATCTGCCAGGTGGGACGCCAAGTCTTTCATGATTTAGTTTGTCTGTAATAAAACAATAAGATGAAAGAATAGTTTGGACAACGTGAAGTCACTCTTACAGCTCTCCACAGCTGGATTCAGGCAAATTGATGCTCTGAGTATTAAACCACTGTAACGTGGTCACAGTAAAAACACTAAAAGCAGAATTTTGCCAGATATTAACTCACTGACATGATTGGGCTTGCTGGTCAGCTATCATTTCCAGATTTACTGAAATCATCATCACTTATGTACCAAGTCCCCTCCCTTTGGGATCCAATAGTCCAGGATGCACATTTACATCAGGTACTGTTGAATCCAAGGGGTCTCTTTACGTCCTTGTCCTGGTTTTTGTCTCACTCGACACAAAACAACATGAGGTTGGATACTCCGGCCTGATCCATGCACAAGGACTATCACACTGTCAGACAGCTGGAACTTTGCTCAGCCAGTTGGGGTGACGTTGACACTGAGTGTGGGCATTGTTATTTATTTTGTAAACAATAAAGCACTGACCTCACCCACATCAGCCTCATTGACATTAACAACATAAAGCTAGAGTTAACTGCTGTTAGACCTGTTGACTGAAATCACATTAAACTAATTTAACATAGTCCTTGTATCCTAATCCTCTAAACTGAATTCATATTGTTTCATTATTACTTGCTCTGCAACCACAACTCTGTATGAGCTGTTGTTGTTGTTGCTGTTGTTTTTATGTAGAGGCTGTCCCCTGTCTCTCGCTCTCTCTGACCCTTGCTCTCTTTTCTCTCTCCCTCCCTCTCCCTTGCTTTTTCTCTCTCTTCTTCCTCCTCCCTTGTTCTCTATCTCTCCCCCCTGCCCTCCCTCCCTAGCTCTCTGTATTTCTCCCCAACTCAGCAGCGGCGAGGTGGCTGTCTAACATGAGTCTGGTCCTGCTCAAGGTTTTCTGCCTGTTAAAAGAAAGTTTCTCAAATCTGTCCCATCTTAAGGTTGGGTCTTTGTAATTCATCAAACAATGAACGTGGTCTAGACCTGCTCTTTTTTTTGGAAAGCGTCTTGGGATAACGATATATTAATAAAATTTGATTGATTGATTGATTGACCAGAATGAAGTTTAAGTGCAGCGCAGCCATATGACACAATGTGAATGTGGTCATCTCTTGATGGTTTAAATAGGACAGGTTGTAAACAGTAAACATTATCTAAAATAATCCTCCCTAACCAGGCTGTATGCTGGTGCAGTGGTTAGTGATGTTGCCTCACAGCAAAAAGGTTCCTGGTCTGAATCGGTCTTTCTGTGTGGAGTTTGCATGTTCTCCCCTGGTGCATGGGTTCTCTCCAGGTACTCCCACAGTCAAAAAAAACCCACACTCACAATGTTAATTGGTCACTCTAAACTGCCTGTAAGTGTGAGTGTTTGTGTGGATTGGGCCTCTGTGTCTACATGTCAGCCCTCTGCTCAGGGTTTACCCCACCTCCTGCCTCTGTAACCCCGGATAAGAATCTGTAATGTCACCAAAAGTAATATTTGAAGAGAGTGTCCTGATGTTCTGCCAGAAGTCACACTAGACTCTGCAGGATGCGGGACTTCATCTCCTAGAGGAGAACATCAGTAATATTGTAAAACAGTTTATCTTTAGTTCTTCTCTGTCAAATGAAAACAACATTCAAGCGAGGAAGGGGGGATTCTGACAAGAGATACAGTGTGCTGCTACCTGCAATCTGGACACCTGCACTGTAGGACTTGCAGTGTGCTCCACCAGGCTAGAGAACAACAACTGAAATCAGATAAATGTGCGCAGAGCGAAGAGAAAAGAAGATTTATAAACACTTTTTTCCTTCCCTGCTCTGTTTCTCTTTTTCTTGTGAACTTTAGAAGCAACCTGAGAATAATTCTTTACAACAGGCTGTGGCAGATCCTGAGAGAAGCCTCTGTGTTACTGAAGTGAAGTGAAAGCCTACTCTTTCCAATGTTCTCTCTATTCATGTGCTGACAAATGTCCATGGCCTGAGGCTTTACACCGTGTATTCAAAGTCAGTGTAGCCTAAAAATTGTATGAGAGGAGATAAAAAAAAAAAAGATTAATTCAGCAGCTTATTTAAAAAAACAACAACTTCATTTGAGACTGGGGCTTCAAGAACGTTAAAGTTCAATTTTATCTTAGATTTTCTTTGGGTCATGATCTTCAGAGGTGGACTACAGAATTGTTTGAAACAGTTGAGCCTTGTTTTTCATGTTACTCTAACATCATTAATGCATGCCATGATGGGGCATCAACTTCATAAAAGATAAGTGGAGTTGTCAGCCCAGGTTCAGTCTCATGTACTGAAAACAGAAACTTTGGCATGTCGAAGTCAGACAGGAGCGTACTTGAACAGATCGGGCCTGGAGCGAGGCTTGATGTGGATGTCATCCTCCCCGAGTCAACAAGCAGGTGGGAGCCCCGCAATCTTGTTACATGACTTTGCTTCTGTGGACAACTGACTGAAAAGCTCATTTTTTTACAATTTTTTTGACATCCTGATTTACTGCCGCTGATTCTTTGTCCACAGTATTTTTCAGCGCTGAAAATTTCAGCTTTCCTCCAAAACCCTACCTAATATAATCAAACCGACACTGTGATAATCTGTGTCCACCCAGATCCCAAACCTGAGCTCTTTTCCAGACCAAACTACAGACAAGCAGTCAGACAGCATGAAGGGAGTTTGCCCTTTTGTCTAGGTCACATCTGTAATCTCCTCTAAATACATTTACTGGAAGTGGGAGTAAAGTACAGTAGTCGGACTGACTGCCACCACAGCTGGACAGAGAGCGGCCACACAACTCAGATTTCATTCAAATCGGTGTTTATCTTTTGGGAAGTGCATCATTATATGTAATAAACTTGAATGTCAGAATAAAAATATGTCAACATTGCAGTACCAAAAAGCTCGCATCCTGCAGCGGTGCAGGTTTTAAAAATACTTCACAGTGGGAGCTTGCAGTTGCAGAGATGATATTGTGTCTCCTGTCACAAAAATCAGAGTTTGTCAGAGACACTCCAAGATTACAAGGTTACAGTCAGTCTTTTTGGGTAGGAAACTGCAAATATCACTTGCTAAATCAGCCAAAGCGGCTAGATCTGCACAGAGAGATGACTGAAACTACTCTTGAGCTTTCTTCAACATGTCTCTAAAGCTCTATAAACAATATTTCAGTTCAAATAAGTCTTCTAGCGGCACGTATAGAAACGGGCAAGACTTTGTGTGTGGTGCCATCTTGCGTACGTACCATTACAGCAGCGTCTACCGCTGCCAGCTGACTGTGAATGCAGCACAAAAAGTTGAGTTAAAGATGCAGGATGACTGCTGATGCGGGCACCTTGTGTAGCTAACTCACATCATTGAGATTTTACTGACTTTAGGCTGACTATGCACAGCTTTCAGAGTGCAGCTTTGGGGAAAACTCAGCAAAGTCCATAAATTCACTGGATTGCAACACAATGACACCTGCAGAGGGTTGATCATAGGGGTGTCCCGATACAACTTTTTTTTACTTCTGATATGATTGAAGCCCTCAGATTCAGATATTGAAATGGGCACAAAATTATGCACGACAAGATCTGCATTCAGCAGCAACGTCTTTTTCAAACTTAAATGAAAAATAATGCCAAACAGCCGACATGACTCCTACTTCTTGCCACTTTGTTGTGATTACGTGGGCTCTGCATGCTGGATCCAGGCTCTCTTAGATAGAGGTGCTGGAGCTGAGTCTGGAATGGACTGCTGATATCAGAGATTTTAGATGCAGGCCAGTATAATCCGATATTTGTTCTTTTGCTGATATCGGACTTATATCTGATATCGATATTGGATCAGGACATCCCTAGTTGATTTCACTCATATATTCTCAATATGAGGCCTCTAAAACAGTGGAGAGGAAGGAAAATATTTGTTTGTTGCTGACACTTGATTCCCTGTCAAAAGTTTCTAGCATTAAAAACAGTCAGTCTAATCCCTGATGGTTTTGTTTGCTTTCATATATCATAAAAATGAATCATTATAAATTTTGAGTCTATTTCATAAAAAACCTCCTCACATGAGCTTTAATACTTATGTGACATTTAATTATAACATTCACAAAGTCTTTCCTCCAAAAATTCATCAGTATTTTTAAATGTATTGTGCTCTTTACCCTGATACATATTACTTTACACTGAACAAATATAAGTCTTAAAAATATGGATTAATGCTCAATAAGCTCAATGACCCTCCTCCTCTCCTTTACATATATGTTTATATTCATTTTTAACCTAAAACCTAAAAAATGAGGTTTTTCTACTGATTATCTGTTTCAAAGGAGATACCATGCATCTTTGCAATAAGTCATAACTTCTATTTTTGTGTGTGAGGATAATATGAATCCATTATGTGAATAGGTGATGGACTTGTTTCATGGAATAACTGATAGAGGAAAGAGGGCAGAGGTACTGATAAGTGAAGCTTAAAAAGAAACTTAAAACTAAAAAATCAGTTCTTAATAAAAGGTTAGATTGGAGAGAGGAGGCAAAGTGACTATTCCCCCTGTTTCCTCAACAATACTTAAAATTCTGATTAACCAGCCCAGTCAAATAAATCTCTATCGGATTGTTGCAGGTAGGATGTGTGATGTTGGTACTGCAATAGAGCACATTCTGCTTACTTGTCCTCTCCACAGGATCTGGTTCTAATGCACAAACACCAAACACACAAACAACGGCCAGAAATGAAGAACACTTCTTAAATTCAGACCCCTTAAGTACAGATTATACATCTTTATGCAAAATTTCTAAATTAACAAGGCTTTAGGGAGCTTCACAACTGGGCAGCAGCAGTAGTAGACCACCATTATATAACTTCCATAACCCCTCACTCAACATGCTGGTATCTGTATCCAATTCTCTAGTCTTATAAAGAAGCCCTCTTGTATAAACGGCGTCCTTTGAAGGTAGTTTAGTGGACATATGGGGGGACTGCCCTAACTTACAGTACAGCGTGATGCTCCAGGCTTTGGTTGTCTGCTCCTCATTCAGACAAGCCCCACAGGCAACAAGTAGTCTGATTGTGATTTAAAAGGCATTTAATGTAGAAAGCTTTCATCTATAATTAACAGCAACTGGCCGAAGTGGAGAAACTATTCTGTGAACTCTTCCCAGGACTGATTCAGAAAACTCAGAGGGGATGTGTGGGGACAAATGTTGGGGCTATGTCTTATGTTAAAGCAAACCCCTTAAGAAATCAGAGGTCTTTAATGGCACAGCTGAGAACAGGAATCCTTCCCTTGAATCTTGAAGTTTGGCAGATTTAAAAAACATTCCTGAAGATGAAAGGTTATGTGAACTCAATGAAGTGGAAAGTTAGTCACATTTTCTGTTATACTGCCTTTTGTATGATGAACTGAGAACTCCATTATTTACTGAAATGTCTGTTAAAAACCCAGACATTTTCTGGTACTCTAATGATGATAAAATGAACTGGCTGTTTTACTTTAATGTCTTTAAGTAAGCTTATTTTGTCTCTGAAGCCTGGAAAAAGCATTAGGATTGTTTATACGCTTAAATGGTTTCATGTCTGTTACCTGGTTTTCATCTGCTATTTTATGTTCCTTTTTTCTGGTGTCTTGTAAGCCCACTCACTTCATAAAAAAAAATCAATTCAAATATACCTACACTAAAAGAAAACACTACCAGTTGAGTTATAACTATACAACATGCTCACAGTGACAAAGCTATATGAATCTGTGCATCAGATGTGTAAAGGACGAACAGTATTATATATCTACAAACTGATTTGACTGCAAATGCCGTGAGCAGGGAGCTCTTTTCAGGAGGTTATAGATCCTGCTAACAAAAAAAATATCTTAACTACTCTGTTTCTCTTACAACTCTTAATGTTGAGCCTGAGAGAAACAGAGTAGTTCAAAAGAAGGTGTTATATAAGGTAGGAGCTTCAGCAGCTGCACTGTTGTTAATGGACAGCAGTGTCCTTAAACCAGAGGGAAGATTAATGAGGACATGTGACCTTTTCTCACAGATGACCTTACCAGTTTTTTAAAACTGATAAGCAGGATAAGAGCTATAGATAACGTATATATTTATGGCTCTGTTCATGTGACCACAGACTAGTAATTCATATAAACTACAACATGAGTGTTTTATGCAAAATATCAAGAGCCAGAATACACACCACAGAAATCCACCTCTGGCTGTTTGATTATAACATGATTATAATCACGTTTATTTTGAAAGATACTGATATCACAGTTATCAAATAAAAATGATAACCCATGATTTAAAAACTACATTAAATGCATTTAGACCTCTTGAAACTGATAAAAAACTTACCAAGTTGAGGAAAAAACACAACAACAGTTTAGCCGACCCTTTCTTGTCTACTAGAGATGATTGAGTGGTGGGTGGGCACGGCTCGTGCTCTAAACTGACACGCCTTACTGTCCTGGAGGAGGAGGAGGATGACTACAGAATGAATTTTATTCACTTTAAGATTATTTTAATCATTCACATTTGGCTGGGTGGGTAATGACACATTTTTCTGTGGTGTGGAAATGTTAGAAAACACATCTTCTCTCCACCTTACACAAATATTCACACAAACTTTTGTTAGAGTGAGATCATCAGTTACAGTACAAGTCACACTGATCAGGAGACTTACTCATACATTAATAATCAGCTGATCTAAATCTTATCCATCACATCATTCAGGTTGTTTTATGACAGATCCCTCTGTTGTAACTCTCCTATCTGGTGAAGTGAAGCAGTCAAAACTGCCTAAAGTACTAACCTTTCACCATGTGTGTTTGTAAAAGACGCTCTTAAATGCTCGATTTAGCCTTGCCCTGTGTTGATATTCATGTCTGCCTTTAACTTGGAGGTTGGTTACAATGGTTTGCAATGTTGAGTTTCATGGTGTAGGAAAAACAACAATCAAAACAGCCACAGAACCCTCTCAAACCACTTTGGCAGAGGAATCCTTTTTTTTTTTTTCTGTAGGTCCATACGCATGGAATAAAACTAAATGAAACAGACATTGATGCTTTGCAGTTGGTCTGAGGAAATCAAGTTGGAAGAGCATGAATGATGATGCACATTGAGGGAATTTATTCACAACTATCAGCAATGATTAGCACCTCATATAAAATCTAAAAAATCTGTTAAAGAGGACTTGTAGTAAAAGAAAAAAACGGTTTCACAGTGGGAAAGCAGCAAGCAGCTCAGTTTGACTCTTTTAAAAACAAAACCACCAACAGCACCAATCTAAGGTTTTGTGTTTTGGGCAGTGAATCAGATCGCCTGAGCCATGTGAAAACTCCAGATCAATGCAATCAGCGAGCAAACTAACAACTTACATCATCCGTACACAATGTGAAAACATCAAAACATGGAAATTAGGGGGGGATGACTCATCAGCCATTTCAGCTCCTTCTGACAGTGAGAGAGCAACAGCTGACTGACAGACAGCGAGCAAAGAACTGATTGATTTGACTGCTTTAATTCAAAGCTTCATGCACATTAATAAGTCAACAGCTCCAGGTGACACATGCAGGGGTGTGCATGTTATGAATGTGATGAATTTTAAGGATCTGAGTACAGAGAGAAGATGTTTTCGTGAGACAAAAATCTGCTCACAGATATCAGGGTGACGCTCGTCATAAAGAGCCTCACAGGGAGTAAACACCCATCATTGAGACGATTATCATCTCACCACACAAAAATAGAGGTAATTAGGATGATGGGAAAGGGAGGCCTTGTCATGCAGTAATGTCACACTTAGTTAAGAATTTGTCATCATCTGTCTCTGGTATGTGTTGGTTACAGTATCCAGAACTTTTGTGCTGTCAGCAAGAAGCAATATTTCATAAACCTTCTGTAGGTAGTTAGGACCAGAGTATTAACAATTCAGATGAGTAACACGAACCTAACAAAAACACACTGTGCAGCAATAGTCACGGCTCTTCAGGATAAATCTGCTCCCCCCTCAAACATTTTTCTCAGTTCAGCTTTGGTTTTTGTTTTTAGCTCTGAGTATTTTCACATTTTGGCCTTTTACACCACCTAATCACTCTAGGTAATGGAGAAACATTTAAGATGTCATTTTTAAAAGGATAGTTTGTTTTCATTTTAAGTGTGAACAAGTGCATTAGTCACAGAGGACACTGATCAGCTAAGCCTTTTGGTGTAGAAACCAGCCGAGAACCAGCAGTAGATGGAATATCAGCTGCTGTAGACGTGGTCAGCTCTACCACGTAATTTAGCTAATTTCGAGGAACTCCAATCCAAACACTGACGTCTGTGTGAGTGTGCAGTGTACCACAATTGTAATTTTTTCAGCACTTCACTTTGCTTTAGAAAACCCTACTTTTTTGCTCCATTCACTCACATCAGGCATACATGTTCCACTCCCTGCAGTGCACTGTTAAACGTTTAACATCTGCAGGCTTCAAACAAACAAATGAAGGAATTCTAACGACAAGGACGGAATACTGTCAGCTGTGGACAAGAGGACACCTTTTTGAACTAGGGCTCATGGAGGAACAATGGGACTCAGTGGATTCAGGAGAAACTTCTGGGTTAGCCCGAAAGCTACCTGGTGGTGCATGTGTGGACTCTAAGAGTGAGGCTTGGTAACGACAGCACCACAGGACAGGATACCAGTGGCTCTGAATCAGAGGATACCAGTGAAGTGCTTTCTTAGCCTATCAGAGGCAGATGGGTATAATGATTTGATTCGCCATGACTCCAGAAATGATTAAAAAACTACAGAATGTTACAAAATGACGTATCTGTGCTCCCAGCTTACAGGGTAGAAATGCGCAGAGGTGCCGCCAGCTTGGAAGGTTGAAATGCGTACACGATTCTCCCGGCTTGAAGGGTAGAAATGCGTACATGCACCCGGCTTTCCAAGTAGAAATGCGTAGCCACGCTCTCGGCTTTGAAGGTTGAAATGCGTACATGCTGTCCTGGTTTAAATGGGTTAAGCATCAACATTAATAATCGATGCTGAATCGTCACATGAAGCATCGCGATGCATCGACACATGAATGAATTGCACCCACCTCTACTAACCAGGGGTCCCTGCCTTACTGAATTCTGCAGCTCTTCCTACATCTTTCAGTTTTCAAAACTCTGAACTTCGATTTATGCCCTGTATATTTTCATATTTTGGCCTTTCGCACCACAAAATAGTCCTGAGAACACCTGATTATCTGAGATAATGAAGTTTAAATGTCATGTCTATGTTAATTATCAGCAGTCACAGTCAGGTATTTTCGTAAGATTTTCGTGAGATACTGGATAGCTCCGGTGATGTTCAAAGTAATAATTAGGGGTCTGCAACAACAAAATTACCAGTGACTTACTTTTTAACACAGGAATTCAACTTTCCTTTTCATTTAACGCAGTACCCTTGCTTCACATCTCTCCCTCTGTGCTTCCTTTCAACTCTCCCGACCCTCATGGGGAGACGCGCCTCCCGGTTTTAAAACCACTGCTCTGGGGCATTCAGTGAAAGGCTATTTTAACTTTATTACAAAGTTGGGCTTTTATTGACAAAACCATTGCAACCTATTAAGTTCAATACCTTTGAAGACCTCCTCCCACCCCTGGGTGCAACAGATCCCAATAAAAAAATCATCAAATACAGTCTCCTTACATTTCGGTACACACTCACCTGTACTGTGGAGCTGATTTCTGCAGCAAAGCCTCCAGTAACTGGTGCCTCATGACTGACGAGCAGACGTCCGGTTTTCACCACTGACTGTAAAACAAACACAAATACAGATGGTTTTCAAAAGGGAGCTATACTTTTCATTGATACGGTCGGCAACAGCATTAGCAGCAACACTATAACAGTCGGCTGACTCATGCACATTAGGGCTCATCATAACCAGGGGGTGAAAACAGTAAAAGAATAGATTGTTCGTTCAAGAAGCAAAAAACTTTCTGTGTATGCTTCAGAAAGTCACTATCAGATATATAATGTAGTTTGCTGCGACGCAAAGCTCCGCAGAGGTGAGACCGCAGCTACCAGAGGTGCCATGTTTAGGCTGCACTTGTCCAGGCAGACGGGTGTTACCAAGGCTGTTTGGTTTGCACACTGCATGCGGTTTTCTATATCTGGTTACTATTCACTGGCTACATGTGTGTGCAGCTGTGTCCCTGCGTGTGTGTGCATGTACAAAATGGCTGTGACACTTCTGTATGAGCTGTAGAGGGCTGATTTAGGCTGGTACTCAGGGCCAACGGGACAGTCATGGACATTAGAGGTCTTGGACTCCCAAGATTTTACATTTGGGTTTTCTGTAACCCGACATTACTGCAGAAGGATGCCTCTGCTCCACCCGTTATCTTGCACAGCATAAAACCGATACCATACTATAATCTCATCCACTGGCCACTGGTCCAGACCAAAGCTATGTCTGTTCTCTGCAACTTCAGCATAGCTCTCCTCTCCACTGCACAGTCTTCACAGGCTTGTTTTTTTTTTTTGCATCTGTGAGTGGAATCCCTAAACACAGATTTTCCACTGAAATATTAACACGAAACTTAAACCTCCTAATTTAAACACAGGGGGGTAAATATGAGATACCTCTCCCTCCTTCCTCAAAGCCACAAACCAAGTCAAACAGCTGCTGTATCGAAACCATAAACCAGCTAAAATTAAGCATCACATGTCTCTATGGCACTATAAACTAGGTGGCACTGATGCTAAATAGACAAATGTTTGCATTGCTGAGGTCCTAGGTTTGGCTGTGAGGACTGAATAACTGGAAAACTGCACCACTATTACACACCGGGATTGGGGGCTTACTAAATCAGCACTGTCCTCAAGGATTCTTATACAAGAAGCTACACCTACATGCCTCTCCCTGAAGAATTTGGGCTATTTAGAAGCTGGAAAAATACATTTATTAATCCAACATTGCTGTAGAAAAGCTAAATTCAGCTCTTACTTTAGTTTATAGAGGACATATATTAAGTAATACTCTTCCAGTAGAGGTGAGGGAGTTCAGCGTGCAAAAATCCCTGATCATATGACACTTTGTTCAGGAATGTGGAAGATAACAGCAACACTCAGAGACAATAACAACAGTTGACAATCTGCACAGTGAGAAGGAATCAAGCGGGGGGTTGAGAGGAGGGCGATGTCTTGATGTGACATGTTGCTGTGAGGTTCGTCTCGGCGTGATGACTCATACAGGTGCGGCGCTATCCAATCTTCAACCTCACCCTGACGCTGAACCCATTCCTCGTTTTACGAACACACTTGACACAAGCAGGGACACACAAAGACCGTGTTAACACAACATCCAATTTGCACCATGACACCAGCATCACCTAATACCCCTGTTGATCATCTCTCTGAGGGAATGGCCACCGTAGCACCGGCTGCAACAGGAGTGCATTCTTCAGATACTTCTGACACAAAGAAGCCAGCCGCTGTTTTTATAATATCGTGGGATAGAATTTCAGACTCTGGGGCCTGGGGAAAACTCCTGACCCAGTTAATAGTCTTGCCCTAAAATCCTGTAGCTTAAACATAGGTGACAGTCCTGGCAAAGCCCACTGGCTGCCATGAACTGGTTCAAGTGCTGAAGTCGTGCTGCGTGCCAGTGTGTAATATGACAAAGTGCTTAAAAGATGGTAAAATGCTGTAATGTCTGGGACAGCAAAGTGACACTGCATGCACTGGTACAGTAGGTAACCTGGTCCATAAAAAGAGAAAAAGTTGCTGATTTTCAGTCAGGGAGAAGAATAGTTTTAAATGTTTTGATAAATCACTGACATTTTCTCACTGTGCAACGGTGAGTCTTTACATGTTTGAGTGTAACAGCTGCTGCACTGTTAAACATGAATTGTATGACATCTAGTAGGGTGGGAGAAAAAAAATCTATGCAGCATAGAATTGCGATATTTTGTCTGGTGATATATCCTATTGTCTTATTTACCAAGTATCAATTTTTCAAATTAATTGCTAATATGAAGTCAAATCTATGATTATGGAAAAATAAAATCACCTGTTTGTCCAGTAAGGTTGGCAGATGTGCTACATGAAAATAAGTTACAGTGTAAAAACATAAAGGAAAGTCAAATGCTTGATTAGCTTAACAGTTGAAAAAATTCTGTAAATTGCAACTTATTGTATCACAATACTCACTGTATTGCAAAACGTTAAAAATCGCAATAATATCATATCATGGCCAAAGTATCGTGATTATCTCGTATCGTGGCGTCACTAGTGATTCCCACCCATAGAGTTTATGAGGAATTTCGAATGGTTTCTTTATTAATTCATCTCATGTTAATTGCAAGCTTGAAATGTCATTTTTCTGCACTTCAAAACAGGCTCTATGTGAACAAGAAAACCAAATAGGGCAGATGAATACTCTTAATGCTCCTGAATCTTCGATTCACCATTTAAATAAATACAGCACTACTGCACCAGTGTGCTGTGATACAATGACTAACAGGAGATCAGAGTATATTCTGAGCATAACACTATTAAACATGCAGTGCATGTACCAAATGTGCAATCAGTGTCTATATTATGTGCAGGTATCCCTAGACAACTCTTATAACCTACTGATGTCTCCTGATTGCTTGTAAATGCGATAAACGCACTTCTCAGGAGTTCTGGTTTGGATGCTTCCTGTGTCATACGGGTCCTGCATGTATAAAACCATTATTTCCCTGATTTATCAACATGCCTCCCTGAGGGAGTCACATAGAACCAAATCTACCTCACTACTAGACATTTGCAAACGGTTGCAACTGATTTAGCGCAGGCTGTTAACCTCTTTGATTTTTCAGCCACAGGTCAGCAGCAATGTGCACACTCTGTCAGCTATGGTGATGCAGTGCTAGCTAGTAACAGTCTGTTCAAACAAAACCCCTGTTTGATGTTTTTATTCTATCTGTTATGCATATTACTTGTGACGTTTCAAATGGGCCATGAGAGAGTGTTTTTTTAGGGTGGATGTGCCTTTCAATAAAGCACAATGGTGTAAGTCATTTTCCATCACGGGGAGACACAGCCATGGCTGTACTGCAGGGTAATGAAGGGGAAATAAAATAGCATGCAATTAAAAAATAATGCACTTGAATCATATTGCGATTAAAGCATTGGCACCATTAACTCTAGTTTTTAATTGTGCAGGGGTTCATGGTCCACGACATCAGAACCAGCTCCTGTGGTCTCTCTGAAGCTGCTACAGCCCTAATGTGCCACAACAGTTTTCAAAGAAGCACAGGTCTGCTACAGAGCACAGCCACAAACTAGCTACAATGCTGGATGCACAAAGATCTGTGAGGCTGTGTGACCGTGCTGCAGAAGAATGAGGCTATGCATGGACTCAGATGCTCGTGTCCATCTGCAGCATGCTCATATTTCAGTTTACCTAAGGGCATTGCAGATTTCTGTGTGACCCAGTCTATGGCAATCCATACAACAGTTGTGCAGACACAAAACCACAAACTCCAACCTCAGTGTGGAGCTATAGCAGAAGGCAGGAGGAAAACCGCAGTCATCAGACTTCATCGTTGAAAACCAAATGTACAACTTGAAAATCATACAGAGGATTTTGAGTTGGGACAAAATGTATTAGCTTTTGTCACTCACACGGGCTGACTCAGACCTCAAATGCTCAACTTTTATTCTAACTCACTTTACTGCCTGAGATACAATAACACACAGTTTCAAAAAAGACATACACACACAAAGTCATTTTTATATCTCTGCTTGTGACAACACACTGAAGCCAACGCTGTAATTGTGGCTGTAGCCTTTAACCCAGCAGCTTCCGGATGCTGGATTGGTTTTCAGAAGAAAGAACCGTTCGCTCTCATGAGTGGTTTGACCTTTTTCTCTAAAGTCACTCACTTGTCTTATTCGACCATGACGGCCACCTTAAAGCCAGCAGAGCTGGGCAAAAGCAGTTTCCTCAAGAACAACAATAGAGGGTCAGGGAGTTCAACGAACACTTTGAGGAGAAGACCAGTTAGATGTTTTCAAGAAAACAGACGTGTATACGGCGTGTGCAAGGCATGTCGGTATTATTCAGCTTACAATTATGATGGCAAAAAATAAGATAGAGATGAAAATGTTATACAGATATTTAGAAAGAAAAGAAGAAGAAGAAAAGACAAGGTCAGAGCTACGCTTAACTTCAACATGTTTACATGCAGTTAAGTTACTGACATCATTTATTTCTAATGATACTTCAAGTTATCTTTATCTGCATCTCCAACCCTGTGACAGCAAACTTCTTTAGACTGTAGGTTGATTCACAACAGGATACTTTTATTTTGACATTTTAACTCTCAAAATGCTTTTTTCAGAGAAGTGTGTGCTATTTATGCTGATCGACAACAGCTAAAAAGACAATTTAATAAGTATAAATGTTGTTTTAGCACTTGTGGAAGAGGCACGAGCTGTTACTTTTCTTTCAGATTCTCATTAAATCCTGAAAATCCATTTTTAAAAGCATCTAACCATCTTTCCGAAGGCTGCTGCAGCCAGCTGGCTGCTGCTCCTTCATTTTCTCTGTTTTGTGGTGGGTGGCAACCAGCTTACAGAACCACTACCGCCCCCCCACTATGAATCAATTAGTTCCTCAGTTTTGCTGTTTTGCTGGTTTAGGCATGATATCAGTCTTTCATTTTCATTAAAAGAAGGTTATTGTCAGTTCTGGTGTACCACAACAGCTCTAGCCGTTAACTGTGCCTTATATCCATCAGTAAAGCTTCAGGAAGATTGCTGAGAGGGCTGATGTCTTGGTGATACTTTTGCTCATGCATGATGAGTTAATATAACCGAGTTGCTGTGAATCAAACCGCTTCCTCTTTGTCCAAAGTAAATGGCAGCCGAAGCACCACTTTAAGGTAGAGGGAGACAGAGGAAAAAGGTTGACAGTGCAAAAAAGGACACCAGTGGCAAAAAAAAAGGAGACAAGACATTTTAAGGAGTGAGCCTAGACAGGCCTTGAATATGTGTCTAGCTTTAAATAGATGCTGTTCTGCAGCTGAGAAAGAGAGCTCTTTCAAAGAGAATTTCATGACTTTAACAGAACTGGTAAGAGTGGAAGACTGGTAGGTTTTGGATGTGCACAAAAAAACAGACATTTAGAAACCAATGAAATGAAAACAAAAGTTGTGAAGATTCTGTATTGTGCAATTTCAATAAAACGGTAACTGTGCAGTACTGCCGCTCTACCATTTCTTGATCCTATTTTCTTCACATTTTGATTTGCACTGCGACTCCTCTGCTTCACTTTTCCTGAATTCCTAAAGTCAAGCATCAGCTTTGAAAGTTTCCTCACACTGTTAGGCATCTGAGAAAAACTAACAATCTCCCAAGAAAGTCAGGCTATAAATTAGTGAACTTGTCATTTACTACTTAAAATTTCCCAGACAATAATTACACGACAAAACAAGGATACACCCAAGGGCCGTGCTCAATTTAAGTGCCGGCTAGGACACTGTGGCATCACCTCAATGCTACCAGTTTCATTCCAGTGGGGGGGTGGACACATGCCAATGTAAATCTCAGAAGATAAGGTTGTAATTGCAGCATCCATGCAGCATCCAACTCGGAGGAAAGAAGTCAAATTCTAAATTTCTGACTAATATAATTTGTTTAATCAAGTGTCAGGATCATACAAAAGACATGGGCAGGGATGCAGAGAAAACTCTGATTACAGCACTTTCCTAAAAGCTCAAATAGAGTTCTATGTTTATCAAACCAGCTTCTTACTCCAGCAAACTGTTTGCTTGATACAGCAGCCTCCTCCCTGCTGAGTAAAACTGGCCCCTTGTTGGTGGCGGCTGGTGGTAGTTGGGCTGGGTGACAGCTCTGGTGGCTGCAGCTTTACTGCTCATTGTGCAGCAGGGCTGTCATTAGACGCAGAAGTCGTTCCACTGGCTGCAAGACAAATGTCATGTTTACTGCCATTCCCATACACACCCAAACCTAATGAGCAGCACGGAGCTGGTCCTCCTGCATTCACCCCATTCCTGACAACTTTAATCCCTCTCTCCTTTCATCCTGACTCCATCGTTACTTCATCCTGCGGTTCATCTCATCCTCGTTTTCTCATCGCTTCTCCTTCCATCCATCTCCGAAACCTTCCATTTTTCTTTCTTCGCCGTCATAGAGCTGTGTTCCTGGTCCCGGCGCTCCCCACTATGCGGCCTCAGAGCTCAGTGGCTGACGGCCAGTGACCTGGCATGGCCTCAGAGGCTAAGGTCATGACTGTCACTCTCCCATGACATATAAATGCAGATAAACACACAGGCATGATGGGAGCCATAAGCTCATGCAGCACGCAGCAACATCAGCAAGGAATACCCACATGTGCGTGAACACACCGTCTTTCATACATTAACTGATTTAAATAATTTGACATGGACATTAAACTGCTGCTGTAATAATCATCCAAATGAGACCTGTACCAAACTAGAACTAACAAGGACTCAATACAGTACAGCAATCACATGTCATATAAATACATATTATAAAAAAGTATGAATTTCCCACTGAGTAATAACTCATATTGAAGGGAAAGCACACAGAGAAGTGAATAAAAAAGTCCATACTTGAAGCTAAACTTGGCTGTGGTTTGACTGCAGCTAAAATCACATACTGTGCCTTCAAACTTTTCAAAACACATGCAGGAGTCTTTCCAGAGGAAGTTGCCAACGCTTATTTGTTGGATCTGTATTTTTTTGCGACTAGATTGGTGGATATTTATTCAGAAACAGTGGTGATGACAAAAATCTAAACCTGCTTTGCTCTTCCTTTCGGCATACACACACACACAACTGAGAGCAACTCCCGCCTTCCTATATATTATGCCTCCTCTTTCCTCAGGCCGTCCATCAAAAACGCGACAGGAAGAGAAAGTTCAGTTCAGTGCCGCCACCGAGGAGTCGTCCTTGCCGCTGGCTTCGCTCCCTTCTGCCGACCCTGTAATTGCGCGGCCACCGCAGGGTCCTAACTCATGCGCCACCATGTGATCTTCGTGACAAATGAGAGTCGGGACAAGGCTCAACTGCTTGCTGGGGCCTTTAAAGTGGCACTCTGCGATTAGCGGAGAGGGGTGAGCACCCGGCGAACCGGAGGCCTTGTTAAATCACAGCGCTGAGACAGAGGCAGGGTGGGAGGAAACACAAACATTCACTCACTCTGTCGGTGCCATACAATCACTCGCTCTCTCTCTCTCATGACTGAGTGAGAGAAAGTGAGAACCAGGAGAGAGAGAGAGAGAGAGAGAGAGTGAGAGACAGAGAGAGAGAGTGCAAAAGGAGAAAGTGTAGAACAGCCTCCATGCTGGGCGGAGGGCCAAGCCATCCTCCAGAGCAGCCAGGACGCCAGAGGAGACCTCAGACAGAAATAACTCCAAACATCCCATAAAGACCCATTAAAACCAATTCATCTCAATTACTCCCTGACACACACACACACACACACACACACACACACACACACACACACACGCTACCTTTCTGCTACCACACAGTACAGCTGCATGTGCATCAGTGTGTACAAACACACCCACAGCTACTACTGCACACACTCAAAGTTGATGACAGCTCTTTGTGAACTTCCCACTGCATGTGTGAGCACACAGAGAGGTGGTAAAATTTAATCAGACACTTTTAATGGCTTTATAAAACAGTGTGTAACATAACAAAAGCGTAGTTTCTGTGAATGCAACTTACAAACTGTTTCTGTTAAGGGGGGGGGGGGCTCAGCAGGATAACCTGTATAAAGTCAGATTATATAGAATTTAAAGTTAATAGTCTGGAATTTGAGACACAGAGCAGTAAAAATGTTAAATGTTGGACTTCCTAAGAAAGTCTCAGAGGGAGTACAGTCCTTATCTACAGTGACCTTTTCTGGTAAGGACACCTTACTTCTATCTAATTATGACTAAGAATGAAGCACATGGCATGAGCAGAATAACATAAACACATTTCTGATAAAGTAACAGAGGTAAAATAAAAAATGTTTTGAGTATCTTAAACAGGAACAGCAGAGGAGAAACTGCTGGTGCATCTGCAGCAAAGCTGTATAAAAGTACACAGCTATGCACAGCAATGAGGGGAGAAGGTCATTTTAGCTGTTGTCCCTACAAAATAAAATGCCTTAAAGGCACAGTACACAGTGTTTGGTCACCTCCAGCAGGGAAAAGGAATATTACATGCGAACTCGTGTTTCAATTAGCATACCGATTTTTGATTATGAGGCTTTTTTATTTACACAGCAGCAGGTCCTCTTCCACAGATAACCCCACTATGTACCACCATGCTATACTGTATACCTCCATTGTCAGGCTGGGGAGCTGTGTTTCTGGGACATTAATGAGCAGTACAGGGGCTCCACAAGGGACAGTGCTGGCGCCATTCCTGTTCACACTGTATACGTCAGACTTCAAATACAGCACTGAGTCCTGCTACAACCAGAAATACTCAGATGACACTGCTGTATCAGAAATGGACAAGAAGCTGAATACAGAGGTCTGATAAGAGCCCTCAGTGACTGGAGTCACAAAAACTGCCTCCTCCTCAGCACCTCAAAGACAAAGGAGATGGTCACAGACTTCCAGAGTCTGACCGCTAGATATGGCTATATATTTCTACAGAAGTAAAAGTAGCAGAAGAAGCAGAAGACGTAGCAGAAGAGGAAATAGCAGAAGAAGAAGTAGCAGAGGAAGAAGAAGCAGAAGAAGAAGCAGAAGAAGAAGAAGAAGAACTTTATGTAGGGAAATTCAATACAGGGGCTCTTAATAGCGTTTCTTATTTAACTACATTATAAACTAGTTATAAAACTACCATTTCTCATTAAGCATTTCTTCTTCTCTGTCAATAATAATACATGAACTTTAATGATCCCCAAAGGGATATTTGGTCATAGTTAAGATCCATCAAGTATTTTTCCATGGTGTATTGATCTGTTGTTGACGGTCTCCATATTGTATTTTTGTGTGTTTCTGTGTAAATTATGACCTTAAACCAGTAAGCCAATATTGCTTTCCTTAGGGAAATGTTTGAAAGTTAATATCAGTACTATTTGGCAGTGCTGTGGTACATTTATATAATGATGACAAGTACTCTTCTTATCGTACAATTTTCATGTCATTGCCTCATAAACACAACAAAACAGCTGATAGTGCTGGAGAGAGCATTCATGTTCCCGCATCAATACATGAGTTCAACTTTCCCTGTACGTAATGGCTCCTTAAAGACACACTTTTGCCAACACAATAATACAATGTCAGGTTGTGAAAAATGGTTCATTCCATTGTGTTGCAGTGTTAAAAGGAGTAAAAACAACAGCAATGAAGAAAAATAGGTACTAAGTAAAATTTGCAGCAGCAGTAACATCACAGGATGGCATCAGAATTTCATTAAAGTCACCACAAGATACAAAATAATATGTCCTAGCTATGAAGAAGAAAACTAACACAACCACCCGCTGCAGCACGTCACAAACCTCCGCCACAGGAAACTTGTTTAATGCGTCCCAGTACTAGTCAAATTTCAACAGGAGCACGCGGGCCACTGCAGCTGGCTCCCATCATCCAGTAAAAAATGAAGCTCGGAGAACAAGTGAAAGTGACAGTGAGGACTGGAGAGGCATAATTATCTATGACAATCTGGTTACTGGAAGTTTTGCACAGATTTCTATTTGGGGTGAAATTAAGTGGATTTTGTGTATGTGTTATCCATTCTAGCTGTTTTATGGGCAAAAAAAAGTATATCAGAGCATGATTTCTTCTTCTTTTAGTGTAGATGGAAAAAGTTAACAGTGACAGTTAATATAACAACTGCATACTGTGTGCTGATTACAGAGTGTCCGGCTATAAGAGAGCGGACAAGGCAATAATGGAGAGCCTCAAACTGTATAATCCAGGCATGGACTTAGAGAAGATAGGAGAGGAGGAGATGTTCGAACCCGTTTGGACAATTGGACCTTTCCGCTCTCCTTCTCTTGTGGACTTACTGGCTCAGAGAGAAGAGTCAAACGAGCAGGCAGCTCTTGACAGGGCTGCAGTATGGGTGAAGAGGAAAATAATGAGGATGAAGAGCTGGAAATGGAGGAAATTTAGAAGATCTCTTCAATGATGATGAGGATGATGAGTAGCTTTGGTCAACTAATTAATAGTGACATGGAAAACTAGTTGCCAAATAGGCACTTTCGGCCATGTTTTGGCCATAAATAAAAAAAAAAAAAAACAGAATCAAGATGTTGTCAAATATGAAAAATAAATATTTTGTTGAATTTCGTATGTCCTAGTTGGGAGAGAAAATGTGTTAATTTGTCTCCTTAAGTTGTTTACATTAAAAGTTATCCAAAATACATTTCTATTTTGTTTGGGTTAGTGCACTAAAGGCTTAAAAATGAAACCTTCCGGATATTAATTCAGCTTGGTACCTGGCATACTCTGAAAATAAACACTTCAAGAATGAAAAAAAAACAAAAAAAACAGGTGGCATAAAAAAAGCCTATTTGGTTTAAAGCTTCATCTCAGACTGCCAGGGACTTGGATGTTGCATTTCTTATACTTATTGCGTCTCCAAGCACATCTGCATTTGAATATCAGGGTCCTTGAAGCATACAGAGCAGTGATTTTACTTACAGCCACAGAGATTCATTAAAAAAAAAAAAGCTGCTGTTATATGAAATACTTTGTGTGTATTATCAAGCATAAATTATTTTGATGTGTATTCATTTATGTCATGATTTGAATCACTAAGATGTTAAGATAAGAAGAACTTTATTTATCTATTTATATTTTATTTTTTTCCTGTTTGCTACCTGTTTCTTTGACTTTGGACAGTCAGGTTTTTATGACATCACTGTGGCTGGATTCATAGTTCAGAAGGAAAATAAAGAACTGCTGACAATACCTTCACAAAACATTCAGTGTGCAGAAGCAGCAGATAACTCAGCAATTACATGATTGAAATTGAAGATCTGATGGAATCAGTAATAGACTTCAAAGTTTGATCACTCCAAGTGGAAAAAAAAAACTAAACTAAATTTTACGAGGAATTAACTCATCTTGAAGACTCGATACAGAGATCTGCTGTAGTCATATGATGTAGTAAGTAGTCACACTAAGCAGCGCTACCTACATTTACCCATGCATTTCCCTCTACTTTAGAGCTGGTGAATGGCTGCCTCTTCTTCCCCAAGATCCGTGACCCTCTGAGGGGTCATGAGCTCTCTGCTGGGCTGTGCAGACTAGCACTGGGGTTGTAAGTCTCTGTTCAAGAGCTGCTGTGAGGCACGTGGGGTTTGCATTTGGAGCTTGCAGGTAACCAAATCAATAAGCTCTTGTGTGGACATTTGGAAAAGCGTTCATCCCTACTGGTACAGCACAACACTCAACAAAGATAGGGCTGAAGTAAGATGGCTCACTCACAAGCTGTTCTCACGCACACTGTAAGTGCAAATCAATTATTTTTTTTCAATTCCAGTATTGGGTTGTGTTGGGGTGACTCAGAGGTTGATTTGGAGTCTGACTTGGCCCAGTGGCCACCAACCGAATGGTCTGGCTTCAGGACCAGTCTAAGTCAGCCCCTTTGGTTTAAAAGACATCTGTGTGAGCCAACTGTGAACTCAGAAGTGAAGTCAAAAAGTAAACAGGGAGGAGAGAGATGAAATAAAAGTTAACAGAGTTAAAACATAAAGGGAACACATTAGTAATTATGCTGCCTCTTATCTTGGGAGCTGATGTGTGGACAAACGTTGAAACTTCAGTTTGAGATTGATGCTACTTTGTTTGTTTTACTTTCTCGGTTTGTTTCAGCTTACGTAACTGGCTGCATGATTCATGACTAACATTTAAAAGGACCTGGCAAACCCTGGGGCAACAGATTATCTGGTGGTGTGTTATGTCTGAGCAGACCTCTTGGATGTCTCTGTGCCCTTGTGACTTCAAACACTCTGCCTTTTCCTCTCCTTTACAGTTCTGCTATCGGCCTACAGGCAGACCTCAATGATCTCAATCTGCCCACACCTCTGGCCAAGGCTTCTCTACTAAGCTGTCCTCTGCAGTGGAAAACTGAAGACCTAGCCCAATTAAGCGTCCACCAATCCGATTTAAAGGGTCTCAGGCTTTGTTACATAACAGAAAATATTATTGATGCAATAACAGTACGGTAGTAAAATCCTGTTAAGCCAAATATATTCAACTTTTCTACAAACAGGAAGAACCATTGCTTAGAGTATACAGAATAACAATGATATCTGTTTCTTAACATCCATCAGAGCTAGGGGCTTATGGGATTTTCAATGTGGTAACCATGAATTTGGCAACACTTCTCCTGTGAGTGACACTGGGAAGAATTTGAGAAATCTTCACTGCCTAGCTGAGGAATTTCAGCCCGAGTCGCTGCCAGGAGGAAGGATGGAAAAGAAGTCAGTAGCAGACAGTCGAGCAGGGGGTGGGAGGATTGGACAGGATGCAAGAGGAGACTAATATACATTAACAGTTCTTTGAAAACCACAAATGGCTGTCATTACCCCACAGTTTCTGAATCTACTGATGGTATTGGAATGGCAAGTACTCAAGTGCCAGTTAAGGTTCTCTTATTTTTGCAGTTTTGCATTACGCCATACTTTTCACCAGCTACACCAGGACAGAGGAGAAGCTGGATCCATCACTGAAAAACACCATGAGTAATTTTCCACTGATTCTGCTGCAGCACCAAATGACACACACACACACACACACACACACACACACACACACACACACACACACACACACACACACACACACACACACACACATGACACCCCTCTTTTCCTAATTCCCCCTCAGTGGGTTCCAGTCTTCATCCATCTTTCTCTCGCCCTGCATGTTTTCTTTCTTTTCAGGGGCTCAGTCTGCAGAGAGCGGTGCTAACACTGTAATTACAGGCATGGGCTGTGATAATAAGAATGTGGAGAGTGGGCTCCAAACCTCTGGCCACTTTACTTCTCTTATTGTTTCCAGTTTGTGTGTCTGTGTGACAGTAGGCCAAAGATATTAGGATTGATGTGGTGGGCCTGTGGGCAGATACTGGCTGAGACCCTTTAACTGAAAGGGAAACACAAGCATGAGCCCGGTCTGTCTGCGTGCTAATCGCTAGCAGGCTGCCTGCCCCATCCCTGGCCCCACTCCAGTCCAGAAATCCAGATAAAGGCTGAGTCTGCTCGCTGGTGGGTGTCTTCTCAGGTCTTATTTATGTGGTTGCCAAAACCGTGGCCTCACAATCCCTCTGATTAAGGAGGTTTTGAACAGAAGGTGTCAGAAAAGTGACAGTTTTGTACGTGGACTTTCAGCCCACTTTGGAATCTCCTTCCATTTGACCCAATAAAACTGACTGAATGTACAGTCAGTTCATCCAAGGCTTTACATCTGCTTTCCTCTACACCCAGCATCTGGTATGTTTTTGCCGGGAACCATTTGTCCTTTTAAAAAAAAGGACAACAATTATCTAGCATGTTCCCCCCGAGCTGCAGACAATCGGTCTTTTAGGAAAATTTTCATCTGTTGAGTTTAAAAATGTTTGACATCCTGACAGCACACTTGAAAAAACTGCTGTTGGATGCTTGGACGTAATGGCCAAATGCCGGTGAGAGCTTTGAGACCCCAGACAGGCACAAGTGTAAGTTTTAGGACAGTTAATGTCCATCTTTGATATCTACTTCACATTCTGCATGTGTGCATTTTCATATAGGGGTGTCCCGATACAACTTTCTCACTTCCAATACGACACGGATGTTGTAGCCCTCAGTATTGGCTGAAACCGATATTGATCCGTTATTGGCACAAGATTGTGCATAACAAGCTTTTCACTCAGTTGCAACGTCTTTTCAGACTTTAACACAAAACACTGCCACACTGCCGACATGACTCCTACTTCTCGCTACTTTGTTCGTACCTTAGTAAACACTGTTGTTGTGATTACGTGGGTTCTGCATGTATAATCCCAACACTACTAGATAGAGGTGCTGGAGCGTAGTCTGAAAGAGACTGCTTGTATCTGAGTGCTGGTATCAGAGATTTTAGATGCAGGCCAATATAATCCGATATTTGTTGTTTTGCTGATATCGGATTATATCCAATGTCAATATTGGATCAGGACATTCCTATTTTCATCACTTTACAGCCAATCAATAATAGGTCAATCAAATCAATGATGAACCACTACCTGACACAACTCGACTTTTTGAGTGGGGAAAGATGACATAGAGATGATGCACTCAGTCCTTTTTGACATCACATCATCTCTGCAGTGTCGTGTTTTTTTGATACAGTCCTGCATAGTGATTTTCATCAAAATTTCTTATGTATCTTAAAAAAGTCACTCATATCACAAATATGTTTTTAAAGACAGAATAGGGATTTTAATATTATGAAGTTTAAGGGTTACTGCAGAGTTATATCCGCGACCTGCTGAAACTTAATTTGAATGTTTTTATTGCTTCCACAATCAGCAGCAGTAATTTACAGCTTTTGATAGGGAGTCCCTGTTACCATTTTATTACTTTCTTGATTGAAGTGATGTTTTTTTTTTTTTTTAATGCAATAACTGATCGACTATCGGAAACGCATATGGTTACAATTTCACTGTCCCTGGCTTACTCACTGGCTAACTGTGCCATGGCTACTGTCAAAGGCAGGTTTACAGCCAGATTTTATTGCAGCTCTGCTCAGATTTGAATTACATTTCTCTTCGATAGCGTGGAAACAAGTTCCTCTAGATAGCATCAGAGCAGAAAAGGAAGCAGACCATCATCTGGAGGCCACCTGTTGTTCGCTATGATTTGACACTCTACTATATATCACTGTAACTATGACAAGCTTAAAGGCTCATATTTTTTTTTTTTGGCAAAAATAAAGCCAAGAGAACTGGTCATCATTTTCACTGTACGTACCGTGGTTGGCTTTCATGCAAATGCAGAGCTCACTGGAAGCAGCAGCTGGAGCTCAAACATTAGAAGAGATGTTGCCAGTTCCAGACGCTTCGATATACAACAGGCAATAACACAATTGAGTAAGCATTCACTGCAGCAGCAGCAGACTTGTTTCAACGTATTTCCATGCAGCCGTTTAAAATCCTAGCTTTACTGGATACGCTCCAGACATTTTCATAACTCTGCATGATTGTAGCTGAAACACAAGGATAATGAGGCTGCTCTCAGTGAGAGATGTCAAAGCAGGCTTCTTAATTGGTGCCATAAGGAAAGCATCCAGTCCTTGTAAAATGGTAATGTGTCGCTTTGCTCCGGCTTCTGCAACAACTGAAAAATTCAAGGAGTCTGTTGATTTTTTTTTTTCCACTGACCATCTGAGTAAAAAGTAAAAGCCTTAAGTTATGGAATTGTTAATAAGCTGACATCATTTTCTCTGTAACTGAGCTCAGGGTCTCCTGTGAATGGAGAAAACTCTTTGTGTTTGTTATGAGGTTATTAAAAGCACTGCTGCCAGATGTGGCAGATCAGTCCTGTCAAAACTGGGAAATGTAAAAACCCTTGGCAGATTCTTGCCTCAAGGAAAAATGATCAAAAAAAAAAAATTGGGAGCTCATTTTACCTCAATAACTCTGACACTCAAACATTTCAAAATTAGATCAATTTTTCCAAAACATGTTCAGGAAGGTTGAGGGAAAAGGGGGCTGTGGATAAACCAAGTGCATGGTTCTGCTTTGTTTGGTTTTCCTACTGAGATCAACAGCCATAGGACGTCTTCGGTCATAAATACTCAAGTTGGGGTTAAGGCCTGAACATGTAAGGAAAAGAAACTGCTTAAGGGTCTGTTTCGAATCATAATCAAGGGGCTGTTTCCATCCAAGTCAGCCAGGATCAGCTCAGCGCTAAGACAGACAATTAAATGTTTTTCAAGTATCATCCTTTTAATGATTATATTCCACATTATTGTGTGGTTGTCATTTTTTCCATCACTCCGTTTTGCACCGCTCTGCTAAAGTCTCTTCATAGCAGCTGCACATGACTGATCATTTACTCTATGTAATTACCGTAGGTGGCATTTAGAACAATAACCACCGCAGCTGTCAGGACCAGGACTACACGCTGAACTTGACACTAGGCAGAAAACACTGGTGGCTCCCTGACTCCATGTGCTTTAATGTCTTCTTCCACCTCAGTGGAAGGCAAACAAACATATCTGAGTGTCCTGTGTCCTGCCTGCCTGACTGCCGCCTGCTCCTGTAAGCTGTATTTACCCGCTGTCTTTGGCTGTGGAAACACATTACAGTTTGAAACCATTAAAAGAGAGTGGGGGGGGGGTGAGCATGGGCTTGATAAGGAGGTTTTATCTGTACAGAGAGTCAACAAACGCAAGAGCACTCAGAACACGCAGACATTGCCACCTGCATCACTTCCAAGAAACGCAACAGATGCTGCCGCAACCCCCACCCCTTTACTCCCCCCTCCCTATCACTCATACATCGCCTCCTTCTCTATCAACCACCTATTTAACACGGCCTGTCTCCAGCTTCAGAGATTTATTTTTACGCTGGGAGATACTGGTGCTCTTGAGCACTGTTTGTCCTCAACTGACTCCTCCTGCATGTGTTTTTTGGAGGGTTGAACAGGTTCAGCCAAATTGGTTGCATCACCATGAGGGCTGAGATCCAGTCATCACAGAGACTTCAGCGGGACCAGAGACGGTATCAAGGGAAGACAATGTGCTTGAGAAAAACTGTTACCAGGCACACCAGGGACTTTTAAGCCATCATATCAAAGAGGAGAGCACGAAGTCAGTTTGATTTGGTTTTGCACATCAAGATGTCCCAATATCAAAAATGTGACCCTCAGCACATTTTGCAGAATTTCATACTGCCTGTCTGATGAGATGAAATACAGCTCTGATGTGTCTTAATTTTGACAGCTTTGAACAATAGCTGAAGTCATAGGCGAAGCAGCTGTTGTTCAAGATATTAGACTTGGTGAGGCTTGATAAACTCGTTCTTGATCATAAGGACTTTGGTTTGATGATGTTACTAGAATTTTATAACAGAAAACAGATCCAGTTAAGAGAGTAGTTTCACCACAACAGTCCACACTGTCTTCATGGAGGGTCTCAGTATGTCTCAAAGAGCAGCACAATTTGGTTTCTTGGCTGTCTTGCCAGAGAGATGTAAACAAGGTGTGAAACACTGAGCATATAAGTAGAGAGTGGAGAAATGAGCTATCATGGACTGCTGAGAACCCAATCCGGTTACAGCTGATCCTAATAAAAAGGAGCAAACAAGACCTTTCTACATCACCTTTCAAGCCCACAGGGTTCATGTGTTTAAAACTCTAAAGACAGATTTTGGATGGATCATGACTTTTATAGGAGCAGATGGGACTCACAGGCTTGCACAGACCTGTTGTGAGGACAAGCCCAAACTTAGCAATTCCCCGTGCTCCGATTGAACAAAAATCTGTGGGATGAATCCACAAATTCTACACAAGTGAGAAATGCAGAGGTACTCTAAAGACGAGAAGAGAAAATGACAGACGAGAGTTTTGTGCCCAGTGAGTAACTAGGAGATACCAACACAACAGAGGCTGTAAAAAACACAATATATTCCCTGCTCCTTACAGTGACAGCCCCTTGGCCGGCTCCATCTCCAAGAGTTATCTTTGAGTGGAGTTGTAAGTGATGTAAGATCCACTCTTTATACACATCAATCAGAGAAAGATGGAAGAACAGTGAGCTTTTGACTGTTTTATGTCAGGTTAGTGCATACACCGTGATAAAGAAATGATGAGGGATTAATGCTCTCACTTTTACTTGAATGTGAAAAAAAAAAGAAACATTTTGAACTTAAACAACAGAAATTCACAAATCTTCAGGAGCTGGTTTGTACACAGCCTATTCAGTGTAATGTTTGAATTAGGCAGTTTAAGAGGATAATCCGGTGTAAATTTAAGTTATGGTCACACTAAGTTAGACACCCCCACAAGAGATGAATGTTGCCAACTGCTTGCCTCTTTAGTTATAACAACTTCACCAAGACCACAGGATAGGAATACACAGTGGTCTACATCTCCATGCGCAAACCTCAACCAAAAAGTGGGGCAGCCCTGACGAGTCGATCACCAAGTGCAGCGGAGTTATGCAGCTCAAGGAAGAACATTTATGATCATTACTTTATGTAAATGCAATCAGACCGAGACGCTAAGGCAGAAGAGCTACCGCCTCTGCAATGCAAAATGATTATTATGATGATTATTACTTCATGGAAATGATCCGCTACACTCCGTGATCGACCTGCCAGGGCTCCCCCACGAACAAGAGGCTGCTGGAAGAGACTGGGAAAGTTGTGTTTGGTCTCTTTGCTAAAGAAATTAGGCAAAGCTAAAAAGATGTTTGATGGCTAGTACTATGGCTGGGACCCTATATGTACTATTGATGAAGTAAGGTGCTGTTCTGAGTATTATTTGTGGCTGTAGAGGGGCTTTTTGGTTGAGAACATTGCTCTTGAGACCGCTGTGTATTGCTATCGTGCGGTTGTTACTGAAGTTGGTATAACTAGAGAAGCAAGCAGTCATTTTTCGTGAGGGTGTCTAACTCAATGCTATGGTGTGTTTGACCCTAACTTAATTTTACACCGGAATATCCCTTTAAGTGTAAATAATGGACTGTCCTGTGGTGAATAAAGGCTGAGTCCATCATTTTTAATGCATAATTCTTTGACGTGTCATATGACATGATTTACTTTCACTGGGGGGGTGAGCTCATGAACTGTGGAGCCACTCTGTTGGGGGAATACCAATGACTGCTCATGACTGGCCCTGATGAGCTACTCTGATTTGTCACCAGCCGGATTCAGAATCTGGAAAACTTGAGAATGAGGCTGAATCAGCAGCTTTGGACTAATTGAATAATATGGGAGTAGACTTATTCCTGACTACTGCCAAACGGCACGGTTTAGGCCAGTCAAATGTGGATCCTGGTAAGACTGGACAGAAACATTGGCTAACTGTACATCTGAACAGAAATAAAAGCCTTCAAACTACAGGGAGTGAAGACGAACTCATACAGACGGCTCCACAAAGCTCTTTTGCAGGGAGAGCGTCTTAAATGAGCATCTTACAAAACTATATCTCTACATGTGCTCTGACCATTGCACAACTTCCCACAGCATATCATCTAAGCCGCTGGTCTGGCAGAGGTAAACCAGCCATTTTGTTTATCCCTTAAAGATCAACTGTTACATTTACTAGACCGCTCTAGACAGCGGGATAAAATAAAATACGCTTTTTTTCTCTACATTCACAGTAATTTCCGCCCATGATAGCCTTTGTCAGAGAGACTGTTGAATAAATTTAGATCCAAGTATAGTTGGTGGCAGCCAGAACGGATCCCTCAGGAAACAGAAAGATGGCATGTTCTGCTGCCTTGATGATTGCTCATGCTTAAATACACATCATTCTCCATTTATTTTAAATATCCAGGCTCAAAAACAACATGCAGGCTGCATATAAATGTGCAAGCCACATAACACACACACACTCAAACACACGTGTACACATCCTCATCTGAAAGATACGAGAGGTGAATGTGACTCACAGGAAATTTTAATTGGCTGCCAGCCGCCGGATGTGTGTCTGCGGCCTATCTCTCTGTCTGCACACTCACCGCATCTGACGACCAGTTAATAAGAGGTACAAAAGGCCAGCTTTACTGAGGTGTGTGCTTGCCGGAAAAGCTGGACACCAGGTGTACAATCTTTTGAATTAAGGAGTTGACACAAGGTCCAGGTTACTCCCTCCCTGGGGCTAAGAATAGCAGCGGTCCAGAGAAAATGTATTTGTCAAAATATAAGAAACTTTACAAAAAGACTTCACCGAATCTTTGCGGTTTATTTACTGAGGTTTATGACATGGTGTCAATGAGGAAACACTGGACCAAGGACTAAAGCGATAAAACCATGATTAGATGTGATAAAGGTAATAAAGCGTTAAAAGTTAATTCAATAAAACAGTCTTGAAATCAAACAATAAAAGAAAGCAAATAAAAAAAAGTAATAAAACACTAAATAGTAACTCTAGGACTAAAATAAGGTAGGAGGTTAAAATCCATGTGTAGAAATAGGAGTATTTTGCTATATCTGGCTAAGAATGCACAATAATTATGATTGATTTGGTATTATGTCAGACTTTCCAATGCAGCCAAATTAAGCTAATGCCAGCTATCAGCTAAATCTAGAATAATCTGTGATAAATTAGCGATGAGAGAACTTCTTTGGAAGTCATGCAGGCCTTGTGTCTCCATGTCTTTTGAGTTTTTTCTGTGTAAGCATGACTGTAAGGGCCTGAATGCACAGGCAATAGTAACACACTAGGTGCTGTTAGCATAAAGTGTGTGCAGGCGTTTCTATCGGGGGACTCCAGGGCTCACATCAGAACCAAAACTCATCAGTAACATTTTGAAAGGTAGAGCATGAATATTGGCAGAACTTGAAGTAGCATAACGTGTCAGTCCCTCTAACACACCATAGACACATATATTGTAAAGATGCTTAAATCGTGATGGCAAGCCTGAACAGCACAGTGGACTCCCACTTATTTTTGACACCCTACGAATGCACATCTGGATATTTGCCGACATGAACCAGATTAATGAAAACATAAATTATCCTTAACGCTCATTCCATAGCATTAGTCGGGGTGATAAGCATCATGATTTGGCTCAGAGGTAATTCCATGCCTTCAATCAGATTTGATAATAGCCTGATTATAAAAAAAATAAAAAAGGTGTTTTTGTGCTCAGCCAGCAGAAAAGAGACATCAGCAAAAACTCATGCGATTGTGAGCGTCAGTGTATCAGTTTAATGCTGCACTGACTCTACTGCCAAATCTGGGAGAGGGAAGACTATCTGCATGTATACTAGTGCTGAGGGGAAATTAGTTTATGGGAATTTCAATACAGACAGACATTCAAGAGGGTGTTTGGCAGGAGGAAAGGACAAGAAGAGATGTTTCTGACAAGCCTGAAGGGGCAGGCCTGGCATTAGGTCTGTTGAGAGGCACATAAAATCTCTCGTCAATTTCATGGCAGTTGTTTTGATGGGGCTCTATTTTAAGAGATAAAATCTACACATTCACTTGTAAAGTCTCTTTGAAGAAACTATCTGAGACTGACATCAGCTCCATTTGAATCGTGAGCTGTTTAGCGGCAGCACAATACTTCAGTCTCTGCCATCAGTTCCAATTGACTTCCTATTAAATTACTACTCTCACACACACGCCACAATTTTTTCCCGAGCAGTAACTGTTGGTTAAAAGATTTGCTTGGCAGCCGCAGCAGCATGGCGCTCGCTGACAAAGTTAAATGTCTTACCAGAGGTGCATGAAAAATTGGACAATAAAAGTGTCAAATTAAAATGTATTTGGATTTTTATCTGCATGTTGAGACAAGGAGGCAGAATGGGATGTGTGCAAGGGCCACGGAAAAACAGGCGTCATGAGAGCGGAGAGGATGCACACACTGTTCAATCAACAGACACTTGCCAGAAGTTACCAGGAAAGAATCCGTCTTTGCCACTACTGCCCAAAATGTTCATTGCGTGCGCCTTCTCCCATTTCAAAATAAATATGGTTGGAGTACCCGCTGGAAAGCTTTTCCTTTCTCAAAGTCCTTCCAAACAAATATTTCGTTTTGGTGAGCACTGTATCCTGCTTCAGAGCTGAGACAAAACAAACTAGCGATCGAGCCTTACCAGTTGTTGAAGGGATTTTATTTATTCTGCACCAAAGAAGACCACTAAGTCCAGAGAGGAACATTTCTGAACCACAACCCAAACATTTACAGTAGGATTAGGTGTAATTGTTCCGAAGGAGTACAGCTCTTCAGTGGTGGTATCATTTAAGCCAAATTATTAGGATCTGTAGTCGAGTATCTGCTTATATAAATCCCTTGAATCTGAGTGTGAGGCTGAGCTGTGGCGTTTGTGATGCTACACGTGTCTTCCTTACCTTACAAACTGTTTCTGTATCCCAGGGCAGTATGGTCTGCAGATCGATGAGCTCACAGGACACTCCTAGTTTCTCCTGAGCCATAGTGGCCACCTCCCTCATCACATGGACCTAAACGGAGAAAGAAAAGAAAGAAGAAATGCCTGGTAGCAGATAGATGCCTGACACAACATCAATCCTGTCCTGCTTTTGTTGTGTTCATGTAGCCTTACATGGATCGATGCTCAATAAAAGAAATTCTAACGTAAAGAAGAGGATTAGGGGCACCAAAAATTTCAAGATTTTGACATTTTCCCCCAAATTCTGGAAAAAGTCAAAATTTGAAGAAAAATGTCAGTCCAACTTCAATGACTCTTTGTTTCTCTGGCCCTAACCTCCTCTGCAAACAGAAAACAGCATGCTGTTCAAGTTAGTCCCATCAATTGATCATTTGTTAAAGCACTTTAGTTCACTGAGTCCGTGTTTACTGGCAGGCTTTATTGGCTGTGTCTTGATCTGAACCTTAAAAACAATAAGTCACATTAACAGCTGAGTCAGATTGGAATGGTTCAAACCCGGACCCCCAACGTCTACAATGACTAATGCTGTCATAAAAAGTGGTGAAAACAGGGGATCTCTGTAGGACATCAGTCAGACATTTAAAACTGGGCACCAGTAAATTGAGTTGTTAAAAAAATGAAGCAAATGCAAGTTCAGCCAGTGTCCACAAGGGGCTGACTCCAAAAACCGCAGTGGCCCTTTTTTTACAACTTGTTGGAATATCAATGGCCCATTTCCCTGATCATAAGAACTGTACTACTGGGGTTGAACTATATCAAACTTAATCTAACTAGGACTTCATTTTAAAGTTATCAAGGCTACAAATTTGTGCTATTAAGGCATGATTGGGGGCGTGGCTGACTTGGCTGGCACACTGCAGCTGTTAGGCTAGAAGAAAACCTAAACTCCGCCCCTTTTCTTCATGCGAAGTTGACCAAAAGTTGGTTCATTTTTTCTATGATTGACACTTGATACAGCCTCAAGTGGTGGAGTGTGTACAACGCTACTGCGCAATGTTGGTTTCAGAAAGTGGAGAAAAAAAAACAGAAATAGCAAGAGCTTTTTGGCTACAAATCCGTATACTGGCGGAAGGCAGAGCCAAGTTGTCCATAGTATATACAGTCTATGATTGGGACTAATACGATGGCTGCTGTAATTTGGCTTCAAAACTCAGCTTCAGAAAACAATGGATGACATCACTGGGCCTACCTCCACCTTTTTACAGTCACCGTCACTCATTTTTTAACTGTTATTTGGACCAATCTCTATGATCTTACATATATGTATGCAGAATCTGTGGACAAGGGCGAGGATAATGTGTCATAGACTTTTCAATCTCTGTTTGCTGTAACAGTCACACTGTTAGCAAGCTTTTGTCATTCATGCACTAGTTGTGAAGAACAGAATGGTCACATTAGGAAAAATAAAGCCCTTTAACTGATGGCGTAATAATAGAAATGTTTCTTATTTACTAGCATAATCTCTATCTGCTCATATCTGCATATGCGTAACTCATTCTGTCAAAATTAATTTGTCAGACAATAAACATCCCCTGATATGTGATAGCAGCACTCTAAACCTGGAGCCTCAAAATATGAGCTGCTGCCTGTCAAGGCTTGATCACTGTCAGTTGATTGCCGGCTTGTTTGAGGCTGAATCAGCACAAGAGCTGGGGATCAATTTAATTTTGAAAAACACTGAAAAAGGAGACCCGTACTTTCCATATATTTTTACTTGTACCTTACTTTCCTCTGTCCACTGTTTAGCAATAGTTCAGGCTTTTACTGTGTTTTTTTTTCCTTAATACCCTCAGACCCCCTTCCATGCTGCAGGCACATTACAGCCTGGATAAGCCTGTTAGAGTGGCTGTCTACAATCAAAGCCTGGGATGACTCCTGGTGAGTTACAGGCATCGATACTGAGCTGCAGAAAATAAAGTCTCTCGGTTGAATGAAAGGAAACAATGGAAAGTGTGCAGCATGTATTTAATGTGAACCCATGGAAAGCCAATAACGGTCCTAATGTTGTGGAGATGTCTGGAAAGATAGAGCCACAGGCTGCCGACTGAGAGACCCTGCTGGGTGAGAGGGGGCTTGAGTCAGATTTAAAATTAATCCACTGCTTGCGTCTGTGGCTTTAACCATCATTTAGAGGAGAGGACACGGGGCTGCTTTTTTCCTTTGGTCATGGAAAATGATCCAAACATAGATGAGGATTTAAAAGTGCTCAGGTCACCCACTGAGTCTGTCAATGATTCACGGGATCACCTACCTGTGTCCCCCAGGCAACCAGAGTGACGTCACTTCCTTCCTGTAGAACCTCAGCCTGCGAGAGAGGGATGGTATAGGCCTCCACAGGGACCTGCTCCACTGAGGAAACACAAACATGATAACAACATGTTAATACATCCTCAGGGCTTAAGACGCAAACACATTACATGCATGCTCACGCAAACTGAACGAGGGCCCGATCAGAGCACAATTAATAATCCTTTCACTGTGGTTTCATGTAAAATGCTTCAATCCGAATCTGACCAGACCTCTCAATGAAAGACTTAAAGACAAACCGCTGAAATTAGTGATTGTCAGAGAATAGAAACTCCAACTCAAGGACATTTTCTCTGGCTGATTTCAAATACTTCCTCATGTTTTTTTTTCCGAGAACCTCATCCTTTAAAGACAGAGTGTACTTTTATCAGCAGAGCCTAACATATGACCTAATGATATCTTCTGCCAGCTATGCGCCAAGAGCCCTGATTAAAATTGACAACAACACATTGGTGGGATGGGACATGAATCAGAAAGGGGCCACAGAAACAGGACGAGCATCCAAAGAGACGAGCTCAGCAGCCAAAATCTCTTTGAACCGAAGTCCAAGACAAAGTGCATCTAAGTATATGGTTTGAATAATAGTTAATAACATCTTGGAAAAGTGAAGCAGAGTCATGGAAACCATTACAATGTAAACGCTTATCATAAACCAAAACTGCCAACACCTTGAAACATGCTGCTTATTAGTGATATTTACACTGCCAGGAAACAACGTCATAACACGTCTTACTAACTTTTTTTAATTATTCGTCATCATCGTCATCGCGCTGGATACAAAACATGCAGCTCCCAGGACCTTTACGTGTGAGAGGGGATTCTGGGTAACCAAAGCATGAATGCTTCCCCACATGGCAGCAAATGAAGTCACAATTACAATTAAGTAGTAATTATACCCCGGAGACACACACAGATTAAGACCTCTCTGGAAACCTCGAATGACTCCCATGATCCTTTTAAGCCATTTAGGAAAAAAAAAAAAAAAAAAAAGTACCCATCTCCACACGACTCACTTTGTTAAAACAACACCAAGGATGAATCATCAGCAACTTTCAGACCAGACAGAAAATAGGCTGCTTGAGTGGAATAATAGCATTTCACAGAATGTTAAAATTGAATTATGAAAACTGGGTTATGGTTTAATAAGTAGAATCTCAGGCCCCACCAGACTTGTTGAGACAAATGTGTGGTTTCTATCAAAAGAGAGTCAACAGCAATTAAAAACATGACTTCATAACCCAGGCAAAGATCATTAGAGGCATGTGGACCTGGCACAAGAGCTGGCTGACTCTGTCACCCTGCAGGAGTTGCCCTAAAATAGAGGTGTTGGTGCCCCCGGGGGAATTTTAAGGAGCTGCAGTTAGTTTTGTTTCCTTTTTCTTTGGTATAAATTCAAACAAACTTCTGTCCTGCATTATTCCCAAATCACTTGTACAATAAAACTTCGATATTCAATGTGTTTTCAGGCAAAACTTTTAGGGCCATAAAAAACTCACTCACTGCATCAATCCATCAATGAATTCATCTATAAACAACCGCTCCACACTTGTAAAACATACATCTGTTCATTTCTGTTTTGGATAGACAAAAAAATATGTTGTATATTGAGCGTGACAAATATTGGTTTGAAGTATATATTTCTGCACTTTTAATGACCAGCAAACATAAACTGTACATGCAGATTTTCCTCCCATTCAGCGATTGTCCCGGACTGCCTCAGTAGTAACCTCAAGATGGCTGATGCTTCAGAGGAGTATGACCCCCAGGAGCTTATCAAGCAGTCTAGTTTCAAGATCTGAGCGTGGACACATCTTGGCTTGTCCAAAACATCAGGCATCTGTGATAAATGAGTGTGCAAAGTGTGCAGAGCTGAGACAACATACCAAGCTGCTCACGCTCTCAAAAACATTGCATACCTGCACTATATGAATGAGGAGGTGAAAAGTGATGTGAAGATGACACTTGGCAAAGCTAGAAGACTGCCTTTGCAACAAACAGGTATCTTCAATGCAGGAATGTAAAAATATTACCTCTCACCACACTGATCAGTAATAGAGCACAAGCAACTTGGTTTGCAGCAAGAAAAAAAGGCAGCATGTTTTAACATGAGTTGATTTATAAAGTGCTTCACGCAAATTAAAGCTTGACAAACCAGCTGATCAGATGCATATCCTCTTAGAAATTTATTTGAACTAAAATTCACCTATTTATTTGCCATTTGCTATGTGTTTCTGTGTTCTCTTCCCTTTGTATATCCTTTTGTCACTTGTCATGTTTTTTTTTCCTGTATTTGTAGATTTAACTTCGTATTTGTTATGTAAAACGCTTCGTTCATTTTTCTGGATGTTGTAAGGAGCTATATAAATAAACATTATTATTATTATCATCATCATCATCGTCATCATCATTATTATTATATTATTATTATTATTATTATTATTATTATTATTATTATTGCTACTATTATTATTATCATCATCATCATCATCATCATCATCATCATTATTATTATTATGATTATTTTCTTTTTTAATTATTTTTATTATTATTATTAGGTGACAAGAAGACCTATCTTACACTCAGTGTATTACTGAAGCACTGTCTTATCACTGATCCTGATGCTTCCATTTTTATCAGCTACAAAATAACGCAGCTGCACACACTGCCAAGAGCCCAGGCACCTGCCACATGCTATATGTTAAACCTCATCAATCAGGAATCTTTTTAAATTATATCAATGAAGCTGATCTGACAACACGCCCTATTTTTCAACAGTTTTGACAAATAAATAAGCAGTGCAGTGACAGATGTGGACTAGTCAGTCGACTCTGTGAGACACCAGCAAGATGAAGCTACAATTTCAAAGTGTCCATCAGAAAATGTCAAAATCACTTCCCTGAAAAATGCAATATGTACACGCACTACTGCTCTCTGTTTTCTCCTTGTTGATTGCAGGTCTTCATCATCTCTATGGATCTGGTTTTATTTCCTTACAAATACCAAAACCCTCAGAAAACCCTCTCCTCTACTTTAGCACATGATGGCACATATGTTAGTCTCTTCAAAGGTTGATTTCCCTCTGTTATTTAAGTGTCAGTGAAGTTTGAATCACTGCAGCAGCCAATCAGTGAGGGATATTCAGATCTGAGCATGGCTGAAAGTTGTTTAAGACCTCTGGAGTACATGGCAAGTGTGCTGAGTCCAAAACATGCAGCTTCAGAACCATTCTGATTTCTCTTTTTTTTCCATTAAATCACCATAGCAGCAACAAACTCCAAGGCTGAAGCTGTCCAGTGAAACAATGCCATCCTCTACGGCAAAGGAGGAAATGAAGAGCTGGACACATCCAAATGATAGCTTCCAGCACGGGCTGTTGTTGGCTATAGTCCTCTTTGCAACTGTCATTGATTGGACTCTTGGCCCCACATTCTCTGTCTCCTTTCAGCTGCCCAGTCTAATAAAAGCAGATATGCCCAGAAGAGTTACTATGAAAGCCTCTGTGGCACATCAGCCCTGTTACACTGTCTTCTCTATTTCAAGAACCGCTGCTGAGGTATTAAGCGCTACACAAAAAAGGGGGACAGACTGCACAGTTACAAGACAGGTTTCTGACGCAGTTTTATATCCCTTTAGGTGAGAAATGCTGAGTAGATAACGCAAACAACAATTTTGCAAGCCTATGAGTTTGTGTAGCCTGTTTGAAAATCCTGAAGACAAAACACAGGGAAGATCATTGAGCATAAAACAATGCCTACACTCCTAGTTTGATAAGTCGTGAGAGGGACACAATGAAGCTGTAAATGTGTTTCTTCTTGCTTCTGTTGTTATTGTTGTGCTTCTTTTCTGCAAGTATTCAAGATGAATTTGCAGATAAATTTCACTTTCACTGGGTCTTTTAACTTTTACCTTTTGCTGCTGCAAAAACAAACTCTTTAAAAAAGAGAGACGTGACTAATGGGTTCATTTTCTTGTTGCTGATGAGTAGTTTGATATTGCAACAGGAGAACCTTTTTTGGACGATGATCACTGACATATTGCCATAGTTAAAACAACCTCGGCAGTCGCCTATAATATTTCACAAGCTCATCTGGCTCTTATCAAAGCGGGAAATCAAAAAAACTTGTGAAAATCAGAGGCTCCGCTTCAAGGATGGTAGTACCAATCTGTTCTAGGTCTGTCTTTTATTACTTTAATGAGCCTAAACATCGTCTTCAAACTTGAAACCCTGTCTGAATTACACATATCAAATTATGATGATTCAGCCAAGGCAGGGCTATATTGCAGGAGGGTGAGGGTTAGGGTTAGGCCAACATATGGTTAATAGTTTATCACAACAAGCCTGGACACCTTTTGGCACAGCTGCCTGCACAAAACCATGCTGGCCTCAAGTTCAATCAAACTTTCCTGCACAATGATGTTGCCCCCACACATGGAGGGGAGGGAGAGAGGATCCAGCTCCACACTGTCAACACTTCATAGCCCATTTAGAGAGTCTGCTGCACACTCAGGGTCCTGCTGATCTCATGTTGTTTGCAGTGAGGAGCACTGTTTGTTTGCCTTGCATGACTTTTCTAACGGGGGAAACATTTGCTTTCAATAAAGAAACCAAGCGGCGAGAACAAGAGCCAGCGTGGCACGATGATGGAGGAAGCTGCACGTCAGGGGGTGACAAATGAACTCACGACTGATCATCTACAGGCAGGCTTTCCACTCAAATAGTCATGCTCACCTGCTGCTCTGTACAAGATCTTGGGTTCAAAGAATATGCAGGGGTTCTTGTCTTCGATGCAGGCAAGAAGCAGTCCTTTGGCCTGCACTGGACCACGAGGCACCACAACCTGAAAAACAACATTGTGAACTTTATTAGGCCCATAGTGTCAAAATAACCCAACTTCACAGCTACTTTCAAAAACTGAAATAACTGCAAGTTACACATTTCTTCTGTTTATGTTTAGTTCTGTAACAATCTACTAATGTGCTATACTTCAAAATAAAAGCACAGTTTGACAATGCAAGATAGACAGCAATCTGGAAGCAAGACAACAAATATCAAAATAAGAGCATGACAAACTGTTTGCATGCCTACGATGAAACAGTACTTGTATTCTGTTTTTACTCTGTATGGCAGTTTAATTTTGTCCCTTGTTTTTAATCTCCTGGTGATATTTTAGTCAGAACTGGGGAATCATAGTAACACTGCGCCAAATCTAAGTCCAGCCGGTGTGCTTATATGTCAGGACTGACCCTCAGATGGAACCAACAGTGAAAGCTGATAGTTTACACAAACATTAACATTTATCAGTCTGACCTTTGCTGGGAGACAACATGTTTATTGCTCTCAGCAACAGTGGAAGTTGGAGCAGTAGCAGCACAGTGATTGGGTGTGAGAAACTTGGATGATGATGATGATGATGATTATATGTATGCACAGTGAGGGGAGGTGAAATCTTGACATTTAGGATCGACCTGTTTACTCTGAGCACATGCTGTTATGTTCCTGTTCGCTGTCTAAAAGAGTGATTTCACCCCTTGTGCCTTTTTTCACACGTACAAAGTTAAAGTTATAGGCGCTCCCTCTTGCCTTATTACAAGACTGAAGCTTGTGTGTTTATCCCTATGCATGACATTTATATACAACTAAATTTACAGCACTGAGCAGTTGTCACCGCACTGCGGCACAATGAATGTGTGTATTTCCCCAGTCATTCATCTCTATAAATGGCCTGAGTTATATAACTCTGGATGAGAGGCCTTTGACCAAAACAGGAGCAACATTTCTCCACATTTCTGTCAGATTATGCTTCTTTGTCACAAACGGCTCACAAAAGGCTCTGTTACTCTAAATCTAGAGGCACAACAAATCAACCAGTTTGAAGTCCACACCTTGTGATCAGCAGATTAAAGGAAAACTCTCATCGATGTGCACAATAACTAATTCCCCAAGCTTTTACTGTTTCTTAACATGTTATTATATGTTGTTGGGAGTGAGGGGGAGGCTTCAGACTTTGATTCGCAAAAGAGTTCAAACCTAGATAAATAACTGCAGTAAGATGAGTGGTTGTCATGAGGGGCTCCATCAGAGCACAGAAAAACACTGCTCACTTGATGCCTGCACAGTCCATGTAAAGGAAGTTTTCTCATTACACGATGCAGATGCTTAGAGAGGAACAGAAGAAACAAGCAGTGCTGCTTTTCACTGACAGTAGAGCTGGGCGATAAACTGAAAATTTACCAATACTGAAATTTACAAAAATAACCAACATCAATTTGCCTTTGTCGATATATTCGGTACCAAAAAAGATTAATAAAAGTTGGTTTTGGATGTGTGTAGTTAGGCTATGGTCTCATGTCCCTTTAAGATGCTGTCCTACATCAGAGATGTGACTCCACCCCACCCAGTCCGTAACAAAGTATGAAAGACAGGTGAAGAGATGGAGAGCGGTTCAAAAGTTTGAGCAGCTGGAGCGAAGTAGACAAAGTTAATGTGGGAGGGGGTGAGCAGCTTGTGGAGTAGTTATCGTCCATTTATCGTTATCGTGGTGAACTGCTCAATATATTGTGATATTAATTTGAGGCCATATCGCCCAGCCCTAACTGACAGAAACAAAGATTTCACCATGTTGGTCCTGTCTCGCTCTCAAGGGCAGGAAACAAGAGCCTTTGATTCACAGACCAAACTCACACACTCTTCACCATCTCTTTAAATCCCACTAGATTATACTGATGTGCCTTTAACACATGGTAGCATTGCTGCCCCTTTTTATGTTGTCGTGTGAATGCGCACACAAATATAATCTGGCTAGAAGCTCGATCAGCTCAAAAGCACTACACCTCCTCAGATTAATAACTCTTCTGCATGGCCCTGATGCAATCAAATGAAATAGACGAAACAATAATGGTTGGTGGAGGGTTTTTTAAGGTGCTATAAAGTGCTTTACTACTCTTGAGTCCATTGTTTGACTATAAACCCATAATTTTTTCCCCTGGCATTGTTTTGTTGCTACTGTTGCAGAAGGTAAATAAAAGGGATTTAATCATATACCCAGAGTCTTATAAAAAATACAATTCATCACATTAAGAGTTGCGCAGGCTTGGCTGTGATCAAATAAATCAAGTGGATTCAGTGGAAATTGCCCTTTATAAATCCTGTCACAATGCCCACAGCTGACCTTGATGCCGGGACAGTGGGCGAAGAAGGCCTCTGGGCTTTGAGAGTGGTAAAGTGATCCGTGGCCGACACAACCCCACGGAGCCCGTATGGTGAGGTTTCCACAGTCAAACAGGTTACCAGAGCGGTAGCGGTACTTTGCTGCTTCATTCACTATCTGCAAAGATATGCGAAAGACATAAGAGTCAGGTTAATGAAATAACACATGATCAGTTCATATGAAAGTGCTGGTATAAGAGCACCATCAGCCATTTGATATATAACACTGAAGAGCCCTGATATGTACAAAGTGTAATAAAATAAGGAGTTACTCACAAAAATAAAACTGAATAGAGTGTTTTTTGTTTTTCTGAAAAGAGACCACATCAGTGGATGCTGGTTCAGGCTTCATGTGTGAATCACCTCGCTTTTCTCTTTCCTCTTGGCGCTTTTAGAAACACTATTTTATTTTTAAGGAGCACATTCACCTCAAGTGTTTGGTTTCCTCTAACTTCTTCTACAGTTTCTTATCGTGGGCTTCCTCCAAAAAAGGTGTCCCAAGTTTTCCTTCCTGAAATTCAGGTGGGCTGTTAATTCACCTATAACGCCTGTCTGAGGTCAGTTTGGACCGCAGCGTTTTAAGTGAGAGCACAGACGACTGGAGAGGGAGCACACTCGAGGCCAAACAACACATTTAATAAACCGTTTTAGCGCCGCAGCAGGACCTACTCAGAAACTGTCTCCACTGTCACATAGTCTGTTTTATGTAACCTTGACACAGCAGGGACTCCAATCTATCATGTGCAGGGAGAAAGTACACAGAATGACACTTGTGTCAACATACAAGCATGGTAAAACAGCAGGGGAGTGCAGTGCTCAGACCATTCAGGCCACATCTATCTTCCCAAGGAAAAAGTCTTGGCTTGTTTTGTCGACGTGATATTTTGACAATGTTTGTAAAATAAAACAACGACAGATAAATAGAGGTCTGTTTATTAAACACCTGCATGAAATAAGAAATATGTCGCAGAAAAAAGACACAGGACAAGTCAGAAAAAACAAATAAAATCGCTAACATTTGTGGCTGCCAAAATAGGAAATGGAGTTTATTTATTTTTCCTTCCTTCCTTTTCTGAAGTGTTCTCGTGGGTAATAAACTGAGTGTCATATCCGTCTGAAAAACACATAAAATCGTGCAAACTGTTGCACAAAATTCTAGCACAAGAAAGTCCCAAGAGAGCAGACCACACTAGGAATTGGCACCATTAATTGATGATTGATTAACTGATCGCTAAGAATTACATTGATCACACAAAATTTCAATCCATCTAATGTTATTAAAAAAGGGCTGACAGAGTGTGTCCATCCTCCAGCTGTTTTCTAGCAAAGATCAACCTCTGCTGATAAGAAGGGATACCCTCTTTGTCCAGTCAGTGTGTGTGTGTGTTGAAGCAATGAAGTGACTATCACCGTGCCGAAGGATTTTGACATTTTACAAAGGGAGTGATACAGCATCAAAGAGCTTGCGTAGAAAAAAAACAAGAAAGAAGAATGCAAGATCAAGTGTGGTGTGTTGTGTTGTTTTTTGCAAATTTTGACTCAATTGATGACTGACCGTTTACTTGGATGATTAAAAGATCGATGGACTTTCTTAAAATGCCCATTCTTAGACCACACACAAGTATAATACATTGATTCACTGAGCGGATTGACCTGCACTGGACAAGACACCTGAAATTAGACAGAAAGGGGGGAAGACATGTAGCAAAAGGGTTGTGGCTGAGTCAAACAAGGGGTGAGGATGAACCAGCACTTTAAACCAGCACCCCCTAACCTTTCTTCATTTTGGTTTCATAAATTATACTTTACTTGTGTCCAGTAATTTAAGTATAAACTCAGAATTAGTGTGTTCCTGCTTCAGGTTCCATTTCTGCAGCGTAGTTTGAATGTTGACAGTAAATGTGGTAATCTCAGTCCACATATAAATTCAAACTCACACCTTAGAAATTTCTGCATCACATTTTTTCCCCTAACGCATTTTGTCTTGGTGAGTGAAAATGTTGTATGGGTAGGAATAATTTGGCCACTCAGATGTGACTCACAAAACATGCGAGTGGTTTTGCTACTATAAATACATCAAACAACAGATGGGATGTTCTTGGCCTCAATATAAACACTGTATATCTTTGTTGATGTTATGAGTTTTAAAGCATATTTTCTCCCCTCTGTTCTGTTAATGGTTACTATGTTTTGATGCGTTTTCACAATACACTTCCCTTCATGCTTTTGGTGATGCAAACAGAACGTACATGGTTGCCATGGAGACACCCATGGGATTCATTAAGCCTCTTTTGTGGTGCAGAGGGAAAGAGGGTTTGCATGTGATGATTGTGGGGGACATGATGTCCCGAAGTCATCAGGATCCCCTCTGAAAAGAATTCCTTCCATGAGCTTTAAGAAAAAAACAGTCATCACAGGGAGGAGAGAGCGACCTGATGCCAGTAAAAACGGTGTGATATCTTTGTGTCCCAGGGTTGTGACGCTGACAGGAAAGACTTTTGATGCTGAAAGCAGATTTTGAGATTTACGTCAGTGAACTTTTATCCAGCTATTCTCTCTTTAACTTCATACCTTCAACGTGCCACTGGGAACAGATATACCTGTCAGAGAGAGGTTCCTCTTGGACCGCTGTGACACTAAAACTGTAAATAACACTTGATTTCCAACTGTTTAAACAGTGGGGGGCTGTAACGGTCTGCAATATTTAATATCCAACTATTCAAACAGTGAGGGACTGTAACTGTAAGTGATATTTGATTTTTACCTGTTCAAACAGTGAGGGACTTCTTGTCCCTACAGTGTAAACACTCGGTGTCCCTAGACACTGAACGATCTGTTTGATAGTTTGTCATTGATGAATGAGCCAAAACCTTACCCATGGAGCCGCAGCACTAACTGTATGTTTCCCAACTGTTTATTTTATAAGAACTTGAACCATGTTGAAATGGGTCTCCATTTTAGCAAAAACCACAAGGAGGCTGATTCACACTTCCATACAGAGAAAATATAAAGTGGAGAATCTTTTTCTGTCTCACTCATAAAGTAAATGGCTAAACGGAGCATTGTAGGAGCACTCACTGCACTCCGTGTGATTTGAAAAAAAAACAAAAAAAAAAACGGTAGCAGGACATTACTGAAGAGTTCACGTATTGTTTGGCTGAAGACATGAAGCCAATTCAGGCCATCGGAAAGGAAAGCTTTAAACACTTAACAAAAAAATCGACCCAAAATACACAATCCCAGCTAGAGAATATTTTTCAAAAAACATCTTTGTCTCCAACGTCCAAAGCAGGCCTCAACCAACTGGCTTCTACCTTCTCATCGGTGGAGTTTTTTGCCTGTACGAATGTCGAGCCAAACCACCGAACCCCAGATCAGCCCGACCGTTCATTATATAGGCTACAACTGGAAGCTGCACGACTCCTGTCTTGAAAACAGTTACTTTCGCCAAGGATCACATAGGAGAAAATATTGTGAGTGCATTACGGAAGTTTCTTGAGTCATGAAATCTACAAGAGGACAAGCAGGTGTGTGTAAAAATCCATAGACTGTATGTACTATACACAACCTGGTGCCGCCTTCCGCCAGTCTACAGATTTGAAGCCGAAAAGCTCTCGGTATTTCTGCGTTTTTTCTCCACTTCCTAAAACCAACATGGTGCAGCAGCGTTGTACGCATTCGGCGGGAGAGCCCCTGTGATGGCGTTTAGCTCAAACAGCGTATCCCCCGGGTGAGCTACACAATCTTCATACGCCCATAGGCTGTATCAAGTGTCAATCATAGAAAACATGAACCCCCTAATAACTTTCAGAAACTGAGCTTCACAGAAAAAAGAGGGCTTGAGCACAAACCAGTCTTACAATAACTACATGTCAACATCGCAAGCTCGGGGGAGAAACATTATATCCTGTGTAATTAATTTCTAAAGTTTGTCCACAGCTCCATAGGGATTGCTGGAGGAGGTGAGATTTATGACCTATACTGCAGCCCGTCACCAGAGGGTGCTGTTCTCGGAGTGGCTTCACCCAGCAAGAAGGCAGACAGCGTCCATTCTATATACGGTCTATGGTCAAAACAGACAACAGGCTAGTGTTGTCCAACTTTTATGTTTGAGGACATAATTTAAAATAAAAAATAAAAAACATGGGGAAAATTATACGTATTATTTATTTTATTTTATTTTATTTATATATCTATTTATATTTTTATTTTATTTTATTTTATTTGTTTTGTTTTTTTTTTTGTTTTTTTGGGGGGGGGGGTTATTAACTCCTGTCCCATTTATGTATGGTAAATCTGAATTTTTTTTTCATAATTTAACCTCCTTTTAACACCAATAATAAAAAGGCTGTTGTTCAGAAGCAGCAATCACTAATATTATGCTGTTCGGAATGTTTTTTTTTTCCATCCCATCATTACATGTTGTTATCCCAAATTCCCTTGAAATATCCTGATATCATTTGAAGGCTTTATCGCCCACCACTAGTTGTATGTTGAAGAGCGGTGGAGTCGGGCTGCAGCCCTCCTTACCTGGTCAAATGCAGGATAGATGTAGTCAGCAAACTGGATCTCAGCAATAGCTGTGGCACCAGCAACTGCTACTCCAATACCAAATCCCACAATCCCTTGCTCGCATAGAGGAGTGTTGAAGACTCTGTCCTTGCCTGAGGAAATTAAGGGAGACAGGAGGGAAAAACTATTAAGGAGATAAAAAAGTACAAAGTGAAGGCCGCTAGCTTTGCTTTGGGAAATGTTCCCTTTTTCAATTTTAACATAAAGGTTCACAGTGGTTTAAAGTCAGACGTGTTGCTGCAGTGTTTCTCATTGGTGTGTGTTTTATTCACTTAAGACCACTGACCATAATTGCAGAGGGTGTCATATGAATAACAGGGTTTTCTGATAGCAGCGTCAAGCCCACATCCCACACTGACTGGATGTGATAGCAGAGATTTCTCCCCTCTTCAAATGCCATGCAGGCTGAAATAAATGAAGTGACAAACTGATGACTCCTCCTCAGCTGTAACTAACTAAGACTGGGATGCTAACACAACCCCCACTGAGCAAAAACTGAAGATTTTTTTTCCTTCTCTCCACCCAGTAATTTAGGAAGAGCCACAGGAGTGGGACTCTATATTTGGGTAGAGCGTGTTATTTTTGCTCTCATCTTTGTGTATTTGCCAATGCAGTCTTTTTCAGTTATGCTGGGAAGTGTGTGTATGTGTGTCTCTACAGTGAAAGTTGCCCTCATGTGCCCTCCTGCATGCTCCCAAAGTTTAATAAGCCACACAGTCCTTCAAGCCCCTTAAGGGAATTAACAACAAGGGATCTAAAAACTTTGTGCTTTGCTGCTCAGAGTGAAGCCGACCTCAACTATGCAGCTTCATGAGAAGGGGGACCGAATAAAACCAGTGGAAGCATTTCAGAGTATCATCAAAGTTACGAGTAGTGAGTGAAATGTCATGAAAAGTTACGTCACATCGACATGATGTGTACATTTCAACAGCATTGTTGTACAGATTCTTGCCACTCAGTAGTTCACATGAATGGAGAAAGCATCCTCAAATAGACGTAAAGTTTGGGTTACTTTTATTGTCACTGCTGTCGGACACAAATGGTGCCCTCATTGTAAAAGGCTGCACTCAGACACACAAAGACAAGTGGTGGGAAGAGCAAGTCAAAGCACAGGGTCAATGTGTCCTCCTGTTTTCAGGGAAACAGCTCTCAGACGCAGCCTGTAGTCAGCGGCGGGAGGGCTGAATCACCAAGATGAGCATCTGCTTCATAAAAAAGCCATTCATATAGTGTATCAGCCCTGCATTAACCTCTGTTCTGTCTAATAGCAGTGGCTGGCAAAGGTGTGCAGCATCCCTCTTCTGTAGGGAGAGGGATAAAAACAGCTTAGCTCTCATCACCGTACACAAGGATGGGATGGAAAATAATCATCCCTCTTCAAAAGGTCAACACGTCTGACGTCAATGAAAACAAAAAGCAAAGTCCGCTTCAGTAGGCTCCATTTCAGACTCCTCGCAGACCAAAGGGAAAATACACCAAATCAACTCCAAACGAACTTTAAACAAACATTTTATTGACATCTAATTATGCTGGACTACTTTTACAAAATAATAAACAATAAGAACAATTTCGTGCTGTCTCTGCGCTGTTTCTGTTATTTGTCGAGTCAAGCTTTTTTACAGGACCTGAATTTCGCTGAAGATGCATTGGACTGGCTTATGGTAATTAAAGGGGGGAAAAAAATCCTTTTCCCAAATTGGTTCTTCCCAGATCACCAAAACACAGACGAAAACATTTTAGTCAGACATTTACATGCTTTAAAAAAAGGACTTTTCTTAAGCCACAAATGTTTTTCTTTTTTTGCCCAGCACTGATTTCCAAGATCCAGACTTAGATTAAAAGCAGTATGATGTTACTCTCACGTCTTTTGTCATTTCTGTCCTTCGTGTGATTCGTGGTTTTTGTTAGACTGTCAACTACAGAAGAAAACTGGGCCTTTCAGCCACTTTTGAGGGGAAAATCCTTCCTGACTAATATCATAAGCAATATAAATGGCCAAAGTAACAAACTGCAGATGCATCCCTCTTTTTGGGTTCAAACTTCAAAGCAGGTCGCAGTTAAAGAAACATGTATAAGAGTGTTTACTCCTCATAGAAGAGCTTTTTCTGCCTCATCAAAACAGAAAATCAATGAAGGCTTGATTCCATTTAGCTGCACCGGTCTGAGAGTCCTGGTTTCATTAAGACTGATGCGTTGTCACAGTATCAAAGTTTAATGAGTAAGAAAAGAGCCATTGTGCTTTTCCTTAAACGGCAGGATAAGACGTCTGCCATGGATTAGTTATTTCACAGCACAGAGAAAATCTGCTGCAATCACAGCAATGCCAGTCATTCAAGCCAATTTGGACAAATCTGTAAAAAGCTCCGATCTGCTTAGACCGCTTTCTTTCCGATGGATGAAATTCATTAAGAGCAGAGCAGTAACAGAGCAGAAACAAGCATTTAAAGATTTTTAAACGCCGCATTAAAAGACAGAAGATCCACTTTATTGAAATGCCAGTCAAAAAACAATCCTACTGTCACAATCCCTGCAACACTCTCAAACTTCAAAAAGAGGATTTCATCTTACAACAAAACAAAACCCTAAAATAAACTGATAGTGATTAGCACTGACAGGTTATGTCAAAGTACTGTCTCAAATTCACAAAGCTACCCTGATTTTGGTGCAAACAGATCCTTCTGGTCCTCTTGGTGCACAGTGAACAGGGGACATGGCTAAAAGATGAAACAGTGAGAAGCTGCACAGTGCTCTGCTTCCATCTAGTGGTATAATCATGCAAAGTAGTCAGAGATGAAGACTGCTGACAGCTTTAGTTTGTTTAACTGCACACTCAGCAGCAGCAGGGGCTGGTAATGTGATCGAATCAGACGGGGATGATCTTACCGTATTTGTCTCTCAGGCCCACTGTGCATCGAAATACTCCACCAAAGGCAACGTCCTCCCCAAAGATCACTGCAAAAAAACAAAGAAGAAACACAGCACAAGGCTTTCAAACACCAGAGAAACCCACATCTACACTTGTCTAAAATTTCCTCATAGAAATTGGGGGCAGAGGGGTTTGAACCAACACAGTATCATGATATTACATATGGAAATAAACAGCTGTTAAACACCGGAACTTCTATGGTATTAATTGCAAATGTGAAATAACATGACCAGGGACACTGAGCTTGTCAGGGCTGTGTCTCAAAGAGGACTGGGAGGAGGGAGAAAGACAATCCATGAATTAATTCATGCACAAAGACAAGCAGCAACTCAAAGTGATGGAAAACACGAGCTTCTGTTCCTGAATGAAGACACTGGAACCCACCTGGTCTAACTACAGGAACTCAATGTGACTCTGCATCCTTGTCACAACTCTGTAAAGTTTGGTTACAGCAAAAAGGGTTCATAGAGAGTAGATTCATACGTGACATATTTGTTCACAGGTTTACATTCACTAACGTCAGACTAGACGGTAAAACAAACACTGCAGTTTTTCAGGTTTATACGACCTTTATCACAGGGTTCTCTCTTCTGTCTGTGTGCTTGACTTCCAGTGTGTAGAAACTGAAATGACTTTGGTGACATAAATACATTAAAAATATATATTTTAATAGAGTTCTCCTTTGTGGACATCATGCACAAGCCAAAAAACAATATTGCAATAATATCAAATCAAGACTTAAACACATCAAAAGTATCCTACTACAGAGCACAGGTGATTCCCACTCCTAATAGATATATGGTTATCAATTTTTCAGAGTTCATTTGGAAATATTTTTATCCCTTTTTTAAAAACTCAGTGTATATATGGTGAAAAAAAAAACATCTGGACTCATTAGTCTGAAGACACAGATCAAGGATTTGAAGTTTCTATTATCCTGGTTCAGACCTGTCAGAATAATGTGTATAAATGTATATAGAAGTTATCATTTTTACTCACATTCTTATGTAAGAGTTTACTAAAGTATGAACTGTTTTGACCTCTTGTTACACATCATATTAGAGTGTTTTCTAACTTCTCTCTCCAATAGCTTTATTACACAGCTCATGAGTGTTTCTTCATTTTTCTGTGACCTCGTTTCTCCTATCAGCAGGTGTGTGTGTGTGTGATGTAACCTCCACTGTGAATCGTGGGAACTAATGAGGAGGATCCGCTCCTATCAGGAGGAGCTCGTTTGATGCAACAATGTCGTCTTGACCCCCACATATTCTCTGTTGTTCATTATTCTGTTTTATGAGAGTGCTTACATTGCTGCACATATTTTTACCCCATCCTTGAGAAACATTGTGTAACCAGGGACAACCCTAAATAAAAGAGACGGGACAGAAATACCTTCAGAGTGGTTTTGAGATTGTACCTGATACTATCTCTGTCCATTCTCCTCGAGTATATACCATTGTCTTTCTCTTCTTTATATGTTTTCAGGTATTTGGGCAGGTTTTTAGACCCTACAAGACCGTGAGAGTTTTGAGTGGATTCTAACCTGTTTCAAACCTCATCCAAAGAACAATCAGGCTTATGTCTTTGGATCGTACCTTTATGGCCTCTGATAGTTTCTTAGCAGATTCCCATGATTTACAGTTCAACAAACTCTTCACATATTTCCCTCATTTCAGTCTTTCTTGGCCTTTACTGGTAACTGAAAACTGTCAGTGAACCTTTTCCAGTTGTACTTCATGCTACTTGTTTTTAATCATCTAAGTATTTTGAATCTCGTTGTCTGAGCCCAATTATTAATACATAACTCGACATAAATGACTTGTTCAAACTCCACTTGACTATAAATGTCTCTGTTCACAGAGTTAAAAGGTGCAGTGTGGAGTATATTGTGGCATTTAGCAGAACGGACTTTGCAGAAATAAAATATAGTACTCATAATTTGTGAAATAAATACACTTTTTTTTTGTTTTTGTGAAATGATAATGAGCCTTTGTTGTGATGGGGGCAAGGCCTCCTTTCATGAAAGCTATCTTGCCCCACCAAAGTGCAGAGAGGACAAATCTGTAACATTTGCATTGTTTGTATTCCATGTGTAGCTGCATGACATGCATTGATTGGAAGACAAAAGAGATGAGAGTGGTTGTTGGCGAATGCCAAAGAATTTCTATAGACCGACATTTTTGATGGGAGGATCATATTTGTGCACACAGAAGCTTCTTGTCCTCAAACGCCACAGTCACTTCACCAACAGGTGGGTCGAGCAGTGGCATTAATCCAGAATCTGAGTGCTAGATATTCCTAATTATTCCCTTTTGATCTTTTTTTTTTTTTTTTTAAAGAACTAGAGAAGGGGAGACATTAATTTCCACCATCTGTTCTGGTTTCTTACCTGCAGTTGGATCACTGGCAAGGGTGTTGTCCAAGGCACTTGTTACTGACTGGAACAAGTTCATCTTCTGGGTAGGGCCTGTCAGGATATAAATCAGACAAAACCACTTTCCATGAACAACAAAGTACTCTGAAACGCTGTGCACTTTAATTGACATTTAAATTATGTTACAGCCAACGTCACTGGGAACAGTGGCAATTATTTTACAAAAGTAAAAGAAAATGTGTTTTAATTCCATAAAGTGTCAGATTTCACGCAGGTTTTAATACAATTTTTTATGTACCTTTTTTCTGTGATTTTCTCCTGTTTCTTCCATTGGACGTTCTACAGTAAAGGGTAGATTGTGCCATTTGGTTTATTATAACATTCAACCTTATTATGTATGTTTGATTGATTTTTTTTATATATACTTTACCAGTGAGTTGCTTCATTAAACAGAAATGTAATTAGTCTTTAGGTTCAGCAAATTTTCAACATTTCCACACTACATTTTTCAGGTTATAAAAGAAGATGTCCTTTGAACATGCAATGAGACAACATACAAACACAAACACAATTAAGTTGGTAAGAAGTGGGTAAGATTAGGGGTAGACTGATTATCAGCCATGGTCAATTATTAGGGCTGATATTTAACATTTAGCTGATTATCTGCATCAGCCTTTTTCTTTGCTGATGGCAGAGGACATTAATGAATTGAAAAGTGTGCTAGTTTAGCCAGCTGCTGGCTGCTGCCCCCACTCGACTGGCGTAATGTGTGGCATATTATGAAGTGTAAAATACAACAACGGAGACCCCGGACTGTTGAACAACTGAAGCTGTACATCAAGCAAGAAAGGGAAAGAATTCCACCTTCAAAGCTTCAACAATTAGTCTCCTCAGTTTATGAGTTTGAACATTAAATATCTTGTCTTTGTAGTGTATTTAATTGAATATAGGATGATAAGGATTTGCTAATCATTGTTTTCTGTTTTTATTTACGTTTATCACAATTTCCCAATGTCAGAATAATGTGTATAAATGTATAGAAGTTATCATTTTTACTCACATTCTTATGTAAGAGTTTACTACAAGTATGAACTGTTTTGACCTCTTGTTACACATCATATGAGAGTGTTTTCTAACTTCTCTCTCCAATAGCTTTATTACTTCATTCTTCATTCTTCATTTTTCATTTTTCTGTGACCTCGTTTCTCCTATCAGCAGGTGTGTGTGTGTGTGTGTGTGTGTGTGATGTAACCTCCACTGTGAATCGTGGGAAGTAATGAGGAGGATCCGGTCCTATCAGGAGGAGCTCGTTCGATGCAACAATATCGCCTTGGGGTCATTCCAAGTCAATTCAACCGAGAATCGCCACTCACGTCACAGATTTTGATGAAATTTGGTGGAGTGATTGGCCCTCAGGAGAAACTGTCAGAGCTCAAATATTTTTGTTCAAAGCCATCTAATTAGTGAGATAGGGGCTAATGAATTTTTGGCTAACTAGCATGACATGCGTTACAAAAGTGTTTGTATCTCTGGAAGTATGGCACCCAGAGAGCTGATTCAGGTGTCATTTTAAAGCTCTCTTCAAGTTCTATCTTTTTGTTTATAACATTTTTTTCCCAAATTGGACCAGAAAAAAATATAAAAGACCAAAAACTTAAATTGGAAATAGCAAAAAACGCGCGTCCTTCAATTTTCTTCATATTCACACTAATGAAAGAATATCATGTCCACTAGTAATGTATTTTGTCACATTTCCTTCCCTTACTATTGTCATTCAATGGTCCTTGGAGTATCTGGGTAATTTGCTCTCTGAAAATGCCACAATATCATTACTTCATGGCCAAATACTGAACTCATTTCCTTCACTTTTATCTCATAAATGCATGGAGATGGCTGCAGTAGACAGATATGCAACTCTTTGAAAGTTGGATGTATTGAAAAAGATGTTTTGGTCTGGCTTTTCCTCTTTATAAAAGTCAAAACAAACACTAAAATTGTCACTTTGCCATTCAATAACCCCTGTATGAAAGGGCTTGAGGGGCAAAGGAAACTCGACACAGGTGTGATGTATTAATCTGATCTTCCCAAAGTACAGACATAGAGCTGGCTTTCATGCATGAGGGCTCCAGATTTAAACTTGGTGATTGGTCTGAAATGAACAATGTTACATTAAAAAATAGTAAATGATAGAGGGGGGTTTACAAAATGAAGATTTTTAAATTCAACTTATTAGACAAGTCAACCCCCCAAAAATATAAGAACGAGGTTATACTCCGAACAAACTGCTCTTATTTAGTCCAAACAGGAGCTTTAAATATTTAAGACAAGTGTTAAACCTGAACCCCTCTGTCTCTGCACGACTGACAAGGACAACCGGACAGACACTGCTCCTACATACCCTCCAAACCTACAAGACAGACATTGTTCTCAATGCAGGTGAAGAACTTTTGGCTTTGACACCTCAAGAGTGTAAACTTCACTCGTGTTGTCCTGTGAAGTTAGCGAGCGTTAGCCGGATAGCCAAACACTCACCGTATTGTGTCGGGACGGGGTCAGGTTGGTAGGTAAAGTGAGCTGCATGTCTTCGTTGTGATTTTGTTCGGGAGCTACAGTTCGGCGACAGCTTCAACAACGTGACCCCGAAAGAGCTGTGAGCCCCGGTGCCGACGCCGGAGATGGAGAGTTTCGAGTGGGCACCTCGGATGAAAAACCGTGCAGCAGCCGCCATCACTGTTGTTATGGCTGACCAGGAAGGGCAAGAGGAATCAGTGTGGATATTAGTGTGGAGATCGTCTATTGAGCGACGATGTTCTTACTGCTGGATAAAAACTGGAACTAAAGGTAGTCAACTGAAATGTCGTATTCGACGCGGGCGAGAATAAAACAGCTCATTTTTATTTATTTGTTTATTTATTGGTTTTCCCAAATCTCACCATCAATATAAGTGTCGTTAAATTCTCTGAAGTGCTGATTAAAATAACAACTGATTTTCAACCAACCATATTAATAGAGCATGGAATTATGTGGGGTTTTTTTGTATTTTATTAAGTTGTATGATTTTTTGTTTATTTGTTTGTTTGTTTTTTGCCGAAATTTTAATTGTTCAAAAATACCTATTATGATGTCAAGACTGTTCAAAAAGGGAAAGCCATGCTGCTCAGCTAAGGAAACGGACGTCGGTTTCAAATGATACCGGGAAAACGTGTCAGAGTGTGACCTCTTTATATTTCTCTCTCCTTGCCAGCCTCCCAGAGCAGGAGAGTCTGTGATTGGCTCAAACGGAGGGTGGTGTGTGTGATGCATATTTTAATATTCAATGCATGGCAGGTGTCTGCAGTCACGTCATCGACGTGCAGTGGTTCTTGTCAGACAAGTCAGCATAAAGTTTTACCTGGTTTGACAAAGTGCATGGCTCTGAGGTGTTCAGAGTTTCTGACTTCTCACTGGTATGTCTGGTGAAGTGAAGTTTTCACTATTCAGTTTGACTGTATTAAAAATTCCCAGATGTAGATTTTTGAAACTATGTAACCCTTCACAGTGGCATTTCTAAATGTTGTGCCGTGTATGAGTGTAAGTCTAACTAACTACATAACAGTTGCTGTTGTTTTCCATTATCTGACAGTACAAACACTGATGTTGGTTACAACTGCACTGTGATGGAAAGGTTGGCCTTTTTCTTGCAAGTTCAGGTTCAGGAAACAAACCGTCAGGGTGGGATTCTTTACTGACTAGTGTAAAAGTCAGAAAAATTTATTGCTGCGATTCATCTCTGTTTGTTCCTCCAAAAAACATGAGTTATCAGCTGCACTTGTGCCACTGCCCATGGAAAATCTTCAAACATAAGCTACACTGGCCCAAGTACTGTGTCAACTTTTCTCCCCGTCATTCTCCAGGTGCACTGCAACCTGCCAGCTGCTTGATCTCTTCTAACTTGAATATCAAAAAGATTGATGTGACATTAAAAATAAAATGATTTATTTATTAAGGAGAACTTGTACTTTTTGGAAAGGTTCAAGATGTTCCTTGTACACAGCATTGTTACCAACACATCAGCAAATACAGATACTAATAACATTTAACATTTATAACATTTAATATGTTAGGGTTTTGACTGTGATAGTGAACTCGTATGAATGACATGACAGTATGATTTGTTTGTTTTTTCCTGTGAATGTTGGTGCATTATCTTCTTTTTGCAAAGCCTTTCATCAGAGGGTAGAGGAGAGGAAAGAAAGGAGAGAAAGAATAGACCCAGACATGGAAAATCAAGGTTTGAGTTTACAATGTGTTATAACCCAAGTTCCTGTCATGTTTATTTTATTTTTCATAGTTTTTGACAATATAAAAAGGAACGAGCGTGCCAGTACTTGAGGCCCTGTGTAGGTATGATTTATTAAATGACTGAGCCCTAGAGTTGAGCAATTTTATCTTGGTTTAATGGTGTCAGAAGTGACTGTACATAGACACAAGTTAGAGATGCATGAATTCATATTTTTACAAAATATTTCTGGTAAACTTAAATGTAGTAGCAACTTGGCATTAGTGGTGTTTTTATGCATGCTTACTTGAATCAGCTGTTTTACTGAGAGACTAAGACTTAAAAAAAAAAATCAACGAGAAGACTTAGAAGTACAAAATGTTAAGGGGGCTCAAGAAAGTAAAACAAAAAATGAAAAGGACAAAGAAGTGTCTACAGTATATTTTCCATGTGTTAGGTTGATTTTGCACACTCTGCAACATCCAGCTTCCTGCCACTGCTGCACATCTTTGCCAGATTCTGTGAAAAACAGAAAGCCGAGTTAGTAGCTGCGACACTTTTGACCGAAGAAGTTTCACCAACAATTAATCTGGTAAACCTACGTTGGCAGCTCTGATGATGCTGTTTGGAGACTGCAGGGCTGCAAGGTCTGTGAGAATCCTCTTTAGATCAGTGTTACATGTAGGCTCTGGAACAGGTGACGTGTGTAGATGTCAATCTCACAAATGGGCAGTAAAAGTGGCCGTAACAGGCTTGATTAAACACTTTTTTGATGTGTATTTTAATTGTCATTTTCATTGTTCATTGTAAGGTCACCTTAAGTGTCCTGTAAGGTGTCTATAAATAAAATGCACTATTATTATTTACTTGTTTTTGATAGGTGTGTATTTGTGTGCATGTTTACCAGGTTCAGGTGCTGCTTGTGGCTTTAGTTGCAGATAGGGATGCTCCAGCAGCTCTGCAATAGAGATTCTCTCCTTGGGGTTTCGTACCAAGCACCTCTGAAACAACAAGGTCACAAAAACAGCTTGTTTGTATTTCTATCACTTCACCAACAGGAAAGTCGGTTTTGATTGATGAACCTGCATTTATGGTACATCAAAATGGCAATGGCAAGGAGTCATAAAAAAAAAATACATTTGGAGTTAATTTGATCATGATTGATTGATAGTAAAAAAAATAATAATAATAAAAAAAGTTGCCTGTCCGCTAACTGTTCAAGTAAACAATCTAGTTTATGTTTAAAAGTATTTTTTGATCATTGTTCTTTATCCTTAAAAGCTCAAATACAGTAGAAACAATTAGGTTAATTAGGTTCTTAGGTAATGGTTGGGACAATCTGATTTAAAAAGATAAATCAGTATTAAATATAATGGTGCCTGTCTGCTAACTGTTCAGATTGCAGGTATTCATTTCCCACTAACAGAATAGAAAAAAATAAATAAATAAACCCTTTCCTTGCCCTTTTAGAAGAATAGATAAACATGCAAGATCTACAACAAGTATGAACCCAACATTACAGCTATAAAGGTTAGTGAGTGGTGAACCTGTAATTTAATAATCAAATACAAAACACCAACAAATTGACTCTTTGTGTCCACTCTTGAAGCAGCAATGTCATGGCCTCTTACCTTTAACACATCCAGCAAATCTTTCTCTGCGATGTCGGGAAATTCAATATTATGGCTGGGATCAATGATGGCATGCAGCTTTGCAATTTGATTTGTTATGCTCTGGAAGGGAGTTTTTCCATAGGTCATGCAGTACAAGATGCATCCAAGGGACCACACGTCACCTTTGGGGCTGATCTTTTGGAGAAAATGAAGAAAGATGTTTTTTAATCTTTTCTTTTAAACAAATTGATTTAATCTAATATTTGCTTGATGGATCAAGCTGGTATGAGTACCTTGGAGCGTGCCTTTCCATGCTGGGATGAAGTGTCTTTGATTGCCTCAGGTGGCATATAGTTCAGGGTTCCAACCTGCGTTTAACAAAAAAGTCAAACACATTATAATGGAGAACTGATCCAGCTATTAGTGTTTAGATGTTCTGCCAAGTTGTACTTATTGAAAAGAACATACATTTTTGATGATGCAGATTAGTGAGCATGTTGGTGTTCACACTACCTTTGATTTATACAAAAATTCAGTCCAGCCACCATGGCTGCAAGTTCTGACATAACAAAGATCATACCTGTGAATCCTTCATAATACTTGTGACATCTGGTTGGATCCTGTTAGCGATACCAAAGTCGATCAGTTTGAGGGAAGCATTCACTATGACAAAGTTGGCAGGTTTCAAGTCACTGTGGACAATCCCTACAAAGAAAAAACATCAGACATATGCATTCAGACAAAGACTAGGCCCTCTTGGTTATTTGAGTGTAACATTTCATAGAACAATCACTGAAGATCACTGACGAAACAGCAGTGGGAGAAACAAAAAGAAAAAAAAAGAACCATGTTTGTGGATGGTCTGGACGGCTTCAAGCATATTCTTCCAGTAGAACTTTCTCTCCAGTGGATTCACAGATTTGCGGTTTCGCAACCAAGTGTTCAGATCAATGTTCCCACACTCCATTAGCATGTAGATGTAGCTGTTTGTTATTTCACTGCAAACACATTAACAGTAAAATCATTATTTCAAGCCTCATTTAATTTAGAGATGAACAGACCACAATATTCAAATGTTTGCTGGCTACGCAGTAAAGACTAGTATGACAATGGTCTAGCATAAAAAAGAAAGAGAGATTTAAATTGATTTTTATGTGACACACTGATGCTTTTATCATGGGGAAGACAATGAACTTACTAGTCATGGAGTTTTATAATTTGATCGCTGTACTGCTGCAAGTGGTTCAAATGTTCAATCTCGTTTTTGTAGCTTTCTACAGTCTGAGCATCAGCCTCCTCAAGGTTAACATATTTCACAGCAAACAGCTGCTTTTTGTGGTCCAGGACCTGGTAGACCTAAAGGGAACAGAAAATGATCATTGTTTTTATAGCTGCAAACGACTACTCAAAGACAGAGACAAAAAATGCTGGATGACACCATGAATTCTCTGCTAGTGTTTTACCTTGCTGGAACCACCGCGTCCAATCATCTTCAGTATAAAGAACTGCCTGCCTTTGATGGTAATGGATTCATTTGATAACGCAGTTGCAGCCTGAATGGAGATTAATTAAAAAAATTAGCACGTGTTTAAAAATGATCTTTTGTGTAGGTCATTCCAAACAGGCAGAAGGAGACACAGTTCAAGAGTATTACAGACTTATAAGAGACTTGACACTGTAATTAACACTGTTGTGGTATTGCTCCTTAACTACAAATGTGTTTGGGTTTATTGCATTGCATGCGTAATATGTATCAGAACTGTAAAAGTATGATGTAATCTGCAAGACAGTGGTAGAAACTGTTTAAATATGTGGTACCTGTGGAGTTTGGAAACAAGGCCCTTGGTATACAGGGGTGCATGGCTGCTGGACAGGTCCAGCTCTGTGTGCTGCCACAGCAGAAGACGACATTTCAGGAGCTCTCTTTACAACAGGAGTCACAAAGCTGAAAGAAACGAAGTCAGTATTACTACAAAAATTCTAAGACAACAACAAGACACACCTGAAGACATCAGATGGTGTTTCAAACTGGGAAAAACCAAAGTGAGGATAATACCTGTTAGCAGGTGGATTTCTGTAGCTGTTTGGTGTCTGACAGACGGTTTGTGGGTTCAGCCTGGATGGAAGATGAACGGATGGAGTGGGGAGAGACTCCTGTACACAAGGAGTAGCTCTGAAGTCTGAAGGTGTTGTGCGTTTTTCCTACAAAGAAAGTAAATGCAAGATTTGTCAAACAACTGAATCTTATTTGATTGATAAATGATTTTAATGGGTAATAAATTCCGATAATCAAAAAGGAACTAGAAGACCCTAATAGGTTGTTACTACAGTGACAAAAACATCAATCAAGTACTTAATCTCCAAATCTGAAAGCAAGAAAGGTCAGACAAAACAAAAACAGATACTCAGACACCTAACAGCTTCCCTAAATGTTGTACAACTGTCCTAAAAATACTGTAGACTGTGTAAAGTAATGTTTATGAAACATTTAAAAGCCCTGCTCTTCATAAATCAGACATTAAAATGTAATCAGACCTCTGGGGAAACATGACGATTGACCATTGCTGGCATCTTCCACTCTGCTAAAGGCTCTTTGCAGGCAGGTTTAGGATGTTCCACTGACTGGTTCACAGGAACCCGAGCAGGAAGCTGAGGATCTTGGTTTCCCTCACATGTAGACATGCTTACTGGAACATCTGTTAGCAAATCCACCAAAAAGTAAAATGTTATTTCAGATGGAACGAACACTTCAGTTGTCAAGTCCAGGACTGTGCATTATGAATGTGTACCTGTGGAGTGTTCCTCCTCCCCTGTGGGCACAAGTTGTCCCTCCCCAGCCTTCAGGTTTCGTAGGGCCATCTCCAGAAGTTCCGCTGGCTTTGCATTTAATGCTTGGGCTTTGTGCAGAATTGAAGTGGCTTTAATCACATTACCTTAAAAAGAGAGGATGAGGGGAAAAAACAAAATACTTCAGATCACTCCACTGACCATACAAAAGCTAGAGTGGTTAGAAATTCTCATTTCTATCAGCCTGGTGTTCATTTAAGAGTTCAGGATAGGAATTAGCTTTGAACCAGTTTGAAAAACTACATGTAATTCTGTAAAAGTGCTAATTTGGTATGTGTCAGTATATTCTTTATATCAGACCAATTCAAAAGGTAATAAAAAAAAGACATACCTTGGGAAACCTCAAACTGGGCATGTGCTATGTGGACAAAGGCAAAGCCTTTACAGTTGGATCTTGCAACTATAAAGTGGTCTTGAGCTTCATCTGGGTCTTCAATCCTTCAAAAGAAAAATACATGAGATTATAATGTGTAAGCCCCTGACAAAACTTTGATGTCAAAGTTTAGTCTGTTGAGATTTTGAGGAGCTGTGTGCAACAAATGAAAGCTCCAGAGCAAGAGCAGGCAGACATTACATTAACAGAGACTTCTATACATGGAAGGGTGTCAATCATTAATATACAGACAGACACACAGTCCCTATGCACTCTATGAAGAGAAGACTCAAATTGATATGAGGGTTCACAGTGTAACTGACTAATATAAATGTGTGATTTCCATTTTAAATGTTATAAAACCACACATCGTTATGCTGTGTATTTGACACAAACACCTCCTAGTCTAAAGGCTGTAACGCAGACAAAACATTATCATCACCCACACACTCACCCCTTGAGTTCTGCATATCTGACCAGTATTCTGGCATAAGTGGTGTTTTTGCTGAATTGTCTTATGGGCAGCCTTGAAAAGATCTTTGAATAACAGTCCTTGAGTTTATTCAGGAGGTTGATATCTGTGTGAGGGTTGCCCATATTTTCCAGGTTCCTAAGATATGTCCAACATGACTCGGGGGAATGAGTATTGATGACCTGGTCAAAGTTGTATGTGACATCTGCCAAAAAAGAAATACAATATCAAATGAATGAGACCTCAAGTTTTAATTGTGTCTCTATGAACTGCAGGACATATACAGACTCAGGATAATCAGTACCTTCCATTCTTGAAGTGTCCTTTGTGTTGTGCGTGTGAAGTAGTGTGGTGGTGGAGTCCACAGCTGCCTGGTCCTCCCATGAGACATGTTCTGGGCTGATGGGTTGTGGCTGAACACAGGGGTTTCAGAGAGAGATAAAATACTTATTTCTTTTACAGAAATTTATATTTTTTAAAAGGACTGATACAAAAATCCTGGAGTTTAGTTTAAAAATAAAACAAAGGGTTACACTGTGTTACACTCACATGGAGATCTTTATCAACACCAGTTTTCTTTGAGGACATTAGCCCAGATACTGAATTCAAACTTGAAGCAGATGTTTGCCTGAGGAAAAAAAATAGAACAAACCAACATAACAGTTAATACAAGTAATTTGATTGAAATATTTAGCACACTGTATTCTTGAACTAAATTTTGATTTGACTAAACATGATTCAATAACTACATCTCTTAGAGCTAGCCAATAGTCTCAGATCAGTATACTTCCATGACAGCAGTGTTACAAGTCAAGCTCTTAGAATTTTGAAAAAGTTCCACCAACATAATTTGTAATATACTTTGTGAGAATTAAAAATCAGGTTTTAAAAAGTTTCAGAGGGACATACTGAAACACATTTGAGGAGAAATGTTACCTAGACAGACTGCTGTGAACTGCGGCATCAGCTCTCTTTGAGGGATTCTCATAAATGTAGTCTTCGTCATTATCCTTTTCTGGGATAGAGAACGGCACTATAGGAACTCTCATGGGCTGGAATATAAAAACAAGTTAGAAAAATTAAATCAAACAAAACTTTTCAGCTTAAAACTATGTATGAGTTGAAAATAATACGACTCTCACCATGCCCACTGCTCTCTTCCGTTGGGATCCAGATCTCCAGCCAGGTAGCTGGTCATCTGATGATCCGCAAGGAAGCTCAGTTCTGTGGGTAAGAGATTAGCATGATCTGTCATATTCATCAGATAGAGCACAGGCCTAATTTTACACCGAGGAAGTTATTTGTTCTCACCCTGAACCGAAAATGCTGGAAAGCTGGAGATCGCCTGTCCCATCTGATATTCTGCTGACTTTTTTTTGTTCTGATCCTTTTTGGACAGAATTGTGCACAGTACTGTTTGGAAAAACTGACAGGAGGAAAAAGCAGGCAGAAAAGTTTACAAAACTTGAAATAACATTTCATTGTAACACCTATCACAGTTCTTTTTCTTATATCAGGTATTGTTTAATTTGACAGAAACTTAACTCACCCGATATGTTCTCCTTGTCCTCTGCACTGAAAAGGTGTGTTTTTCCTGTCTGCATGCTTTGTAAGGCAGCCTCCAGCAGCTCCTTTGGTTTGGCCCCCAGTTCAATTGCATTCCTCAATATGTAAATGCCACGCTTTGTGTTGCCTGGTAAGATGATGATACAGTTGGCAATGAAATACCCCAAAATAACGAGTAAAGATCGGAAAAAACAAACAAACAAAAAACAGCAAATCTATGTACCTCGAGCCTGTTCAAACTCTGCATGTGCAATATGAACAAATGCAAAGCTCTGGCTGTGGGATCTCGCGACATTGAAGTTGGCTTCTGCCTCAGTCACATCTTGGATTCTTATGACAGAACAGGAAAAACACTAAACACCAAACTTGATGTAGCTTAGAAAGCACAGCAAAATAGATAATCCCTTCAAACTTGCTCACACTGCTAAAGATACAAACAGTCTTTAACATGAAAGGTAAAATCATGGTTACTCACGCTTTCAGCTCTGCAAATCTGACCAACATCCTGGCATAGCTCTCATTTTGACAGTGTTTTCCCAGAGGCAGATTAGAGAAAACCCTGGTGTAAAAGTCAAGGAGTCTGGTGAGGTGGTTTCGATCCAACTGAGGGTTTCCTTTCTTTTCCAGGTCAGTCAAGTATGAGTGGCATGATTCAGGTGAGTTTGAGCCAATGACCCGGTTAATATTGTCTGTATCATCTGTAAAAAAAAAGTCCATTGTGTAATTATTTCTTCATGAAGCATGGGCATAAAACACTCACCTATAGAGATTTACTGTGACATCTTGATACACCATTACCTTCATTGAGATACTTTTTAATTTTGTTGAGCTTTTGATAAAGCATGGCAAGCTGCTGCTTCCTGTCTGTATGCTCCTCTTCTTCCATCTGAAATTGAATAGCAGATGTGATGACAGGGTAGACATGGTGTGACTTATTTTGTGACACCATTTACACCATACCCATTTGTAAGATTACAGCCCTACTTCCCAGGAGAATTTTATGGTCTGCAAATAATTCAAACCCTCTGACTGAAAAACGTGTGAAGGCAGCAGCATGCCAAATACAGAAACTGGAAAAAATGTTCTTGTTTAATGAAAGGTACATGCTTATTTTAAATTTGATGCCAGCAACACTTTAAAAGCTGTTGGGATAGGCGCATGTTTACTATTGTGTTGCATCACCTCTTCTTTTAAACTTTTAAAACTAAAGAGAACAGATTCTGGAGTTTTTAAAGTGGAAATTCATTCTTACATTATTAAAAGGATTTTCTTTTTATTGTTTTCCTTTTCTGTTTCATGATTTGTTTAATATTTTCAGTAGGTTAAACAGGTGGGGACGGCAGGCTGGCCATTGGGTACCTGGACTCTTCTACTACAAAGCTATGCAGCTTTAATGCACAACGCCTTCCCAAATTTGTCATCTACCCATGCTATGAACATCCCCAAACTATGGGGGCCACTATCTCTTGAACTATGCAATTATAGCATAAGCCAGGTGGTCCATTCCCTCTTAAGGGCAGAGGCTGGTACATTCATGATTTCCAAAAAGACTGTTCAATTTGGATTTGTTAGACCACATGAAAGTTTTCTCTCTGCTACGGTCCATCTTGAACAGGGATGGGCCCAGAGGAGTTGCTGGCATCTCTGGATATTTCTATAGCTTTTTTTCTGTGCATTAAATAGCCTGTATTGGCCATATTTTTCTGACAAATGCGACAGAAAAAAAAACGTTTCTTTGCGGCATTTGATATGCTACTTGTGCATCATCTTAAATCAAACAAAAGCTTTGGGAACCCGGTTGTTATTGTTAAACTATCATTTAACTTTGCATCACAGTGTATTTTGGAAATGGGTAACACGCTGATTCTAACTGTAAGTGAGAAATCCACTGAAGAAACTGAATACTAATGTAATAGCACAGCTACAAGGATGTGGTCTGCATACCGACGATAAAATGATCCAAACATCCACATGTGACACTGACTTATCACATTTACGCAACATCTTTGCTGCATACTTTGTAAGTGGGACACTTGCTGAAGAGAAATGACAGCTTTTTAGGTTCATTTTTCTCCTGAAAAAGAGTTTAATCTTTCGTGTTTACAATCCGAGTTAGCTTAGCTTACTTAGCAGGCTGACATGTTGGCCCCCCGTGTTATTAACGCAGCTAAGTCCGCTAGACAGTTCTCAGGTGGCTTACATTTACTCACCTGATGTTGAACACGTTGAATATCGCGTTGATAAACAAGAATAGTTGACAAGTTCTTACCATTTTTGCGTTGTTTTTGACCACTTTCCTTAAAACCAGAAGGGACGGGGCTCAACCCCAACTGACAAATTTCAAATATCCCACTTCCGTTCAAGTCGTTTTCTGATTGGTTAGTATACGACGACGTCAATGTTAATTTGCTAACGTTGGGTAGCGGCGCCCAGCGGCGCAGACATAAACCAAACAAATCGGCTGGTAATTAATATTTGAGCATTAATGTTTTTATTTCTGCACCATTTGTAATCTGTTCGTTTCCTTTTAAAACTAGTTGCCAGATAGGGGATCTTCACGAAGCTCTAGTCATGTGCACTTAAATAAACGGGCTAAAACAGCATAAATCTGAGCAATTATATTACAGTTCCCCTTTCTACTAAAGATCTTACCTTCTGGTTCTTAACATTCAAAAGATTTCATATTTTCTGATTCTGTCTCCAAGTCTCCGCAGTCTGATCTATTCATAAGAGCGCTCATTCACTGTCTTTGTGTGATCGGCATTTTCCTTTCACTAGTCATCCACATTACGTATTAAAAAAAAAACATGTTGTCTTTTATGTTTATGCTATGTTATACTGATAACAATGACCTTATATTTTCTGCGTGTTCATGGATTACTTCTGCAAAATAAAAAATGAATAATCACAATAATATAAAGAATATAATGATATAATAAAAGTCCAAAAATCACTTTACGAACTAAAAAAACCGAATGAATCTATTAACATAAAAAAAGAAATGAAAATGAATAGACAAAAAGACACACTTAAGAGAATGTGCCCGACAATTCTTCCTTTAACAAGATATACAACCAGTCGTAATTGTGAGTAAATTCCGCTTTTGTGGCTGCATTCTCTACCATTGCTTGTTTTTCTTACTTTAACAACCTCTTTCTTAATCGTTTTTGTAAATTTAATAAATCCAAAATATTTTGAAAAAAGGAAGATAGTATCAGTAAAAACACTCACACAAACGTCGAGGTAACAGCATAAATGTACTGTTTTTATGTACCCACTTATTTGCTTTGGATGGTTGGTATATAAAGCTTAACTTTACAGAGCTACACACTCGTGCACAGGAGGGACATTTATTTAATAAATAAAACTGCAGGGAAATCGTGTAAAAGGCATAAAAACTCTCGGTATTTCCTACATTTCCATGCTACCTGAATGCAACAGGCCCACGCTGTACTTCCCTGTTCCTGCTCCTCCCAGTTCAAAGATGGCAGCCATGGGACGGAGATGAGAGACGACACAAATGTAGGAGTTTGGTCATGAAACCTCATTGGGTTGAACAGCTGTTACATGCTTTGTTTTGACATGACAACGAAAGAATTTGTCGCTGCCAATGTGTCGTCCTGGGCTTATATATAAAGGTTTCAAATATAGCATGTTTTCCTGTGGGCTAAGCTAGCAAGCAACGGTTAGCAAATAAATGAACCTGTCTGTTCTGCCAAAAAAGAAGAAAGCAGCTGCTTTGCATACGGTCGACTGACATTTTGTAAGGTGAGAATCTCTTGTTATTATTGTGGAAATGAGCAAAATTCTGTGTTGAGAGATAAAGCTGCATTAATTTAGCACCACTGCATGTGGCACTTGTGATCCACAGTGACTTCTTGTTAAACGGCGAAAATACCGTAATGATTAAATAAAAGGTGCAAATCTGACAGTGTAATGTTGGTGGACGCTCCTATTGTCAGCGTTCACCTCAGGTTCACGCACTCAAGGGGGCATTTTAATAACAACTTAGTTGCATAATTACCAACAATACACAGGCTGGTTATTGGTACAATATGTTATTATGCAGAGGTGTTCATTTGGTTGTAAAAAGGGAGGTATGAATGCTTGCACTGCTCAAGTAAAGACCTGCTAGAGACATGCTTTAAATCCTGGTATCCTGCAGCAGTACAGTATGTCATATGCTTGATCGTAAATTTCAATGCTGATGTATTTTCTTTTTCTTTCCACTAGTTTAAAGTCACCATGGCCATCACACAGTTTCGTCTTTTCAAGATCTGCACATGCCTTGCTAGCTTACTTTCTTTCTTTAAAAGGTTGATATGCAGGTGAGTACAACTGAGAGGCAACGTAAAGTAACCCTGATACATCACAGTGTGTTTTTACTTTTACAAATATACATTTGCTATGACAAAAATATGAACACATTTGAGAAATGTAGGGATTCGCTTTAAGTTCACCTCTGATCACCACAAAGGCTTTCATTATTGATCAATTTTACCACTATTAATAATTTTGTTGAAGAAAAAAATAGTTCATTTCTGCATTTGTATTGTATAGTAGCTACTCTTGGATGTGAAAGTAGCTTAATCTAGCATATTTGAACAACTTGGGCAAAGTGATGCGTTGTCAGGAGTGTATGGTGTCCTGGGGCTCCTTTGTTTGTGTCATATTACAGAAGCAGTCATTCTCCACGGCACTAAGAGGGCATAGCTCTTTGTAAGCAGAGTGAAGTACTGAATGCATTACTTTGATTATGCTATTTAAAGTTGAAACATTCCATGTATTTACCTAACGGAACTGACAAAACACACAGACCTTTTACTCATTGTCTGGAGTGCAGCTTTGACAGCTAAGGCTTTAGGGCCTGGGTCTGGAACAGCTGTCTTTCTAATCATTTCATTGGTGACAGATGTATCAATTCAGTCAGACAACAGGAGCGCTGATCCAGAGTATTCGTAAACAACCAAGATGGCAGCTTCAGCTCCCTCTATGTATACTGTGTGTGTGGTGTGCTCCTGTTTCCAGTCCAAGTGTAGGCTTTAAATATCTAAAGGAAACTTAATCTCTTAATTTCTATTATGCTTCAAGAAACTTGCATTCCTGTTTGGTGATCATTCTTCATGAGTGAGGACTGGCCTTTGTGTTTGATAACTAACATTATGTTGGTGCTATTTAGCAAACTTGTTCCTTTTGCCTTTTTCTGAAATAAATTACTAGGAGTGGAAGGGGGCGCAAGCTCAGTGGTGATCAAATAACCCTCCCAACAACAGTGGATTTTTCTTCTTCAGTACCAAAACAGGTCAGTGTTTTGTCCAATACCTGTATATTCACTCTCAGTGTCTGGAAAGCAAGTAGCAGTTATTATCACTGACCCCAAACTTCTTGTCTAATTAACTGTAGGTTAATTGTCAAACTCTGCTGTATTTCCACTGAAAGTTGTTATTTTTGTGTCACGTCTTCACAGCCAGAAATTGAGGAATGGAGCTCTTGGGATGAAGAGGCCCCTACAAGTATTAAGATTGAAGGTGGAAATGGAAATGTTTCCCCTTCAGTCAATGAGGTCGATGAAGAACCCGACTACTTCAAAGACATGGCTCCCACCATCAGGAAAACACAGAAGGTATGTGTGCAGACGATACCGCTGATGCAGCATTATTAAGGAAATGTAATACTAAAAAACCCAATGGCCCAAATAGATGATATTATGCACTAACCTCCCGCTAAAGTCTATTAAAAGCATCCCTCTGATCATGATCTGAAGTGGTTCACAGAATAGAATCAAATTTAACAAAATGAGGTGTTTTGTTTTTTTTAAGTTAAAAGTCAGTGAAAATATGCTTTCGAAATATCTGTTGAGTGATTTTGATGCTCTTATGCTCACTCTCAGTTATTAATCTTAATAAACAGAATTTCTTACTTGAATGTGGTCAAATTGTCAATCAGTAATCATGATGAGATTGTCTTGGATGAAGTGCTGTAGATGAGGTGTTTGGCTAAGTCTTTGTGGTTTTCATGTTGCAGATAGTGCTGAAGAAGAGGGAGCCTTTAAACTACACGGTGCCTGATGGCTCAGCAGGTTTCTCCAGCAGATTGGCTGCCTCTCAGGATATGATGTCCTTCAGTCCACCTTCAGTAAGTTAAAGTTTTAAAACACCTTAAAATATCAGACGTGCTTTCTGTTCCTCAATTTTTTTTCTTTTTGATTGGTACCAAGGGGAATTCAACTTTGTCATGCTGTATTACGCAACAATTTCTGCTGTTAAAAATGCAGTTTTGCAAGAATTATGCCTACCATTGTGAAGTCTGACAGTAAAACAGATATAGATTCTCAGCTGTTAATGCTCCTTTGGAAAGAATGAAATAATAATAATAATTATAATTCAAATAATCGTTAGGTGCAGCGCTACAAATGTTACCAGAGATGTGAATATTTCAGGGATTTCATTTTGATGTCAGTAAAAGGCGGAGATATTAGCTAGAGGCACAGCTGTATAGCAGATGTTCAACTCAGTAGTCTTTTGTTTAAAGAGAGTCTACACTGAGAGCCCCCCACCACACTAGTTTTGCCTTTTAACACTCTGCCTTACAACCTCAGCGTGTCGCTGTCCCACTGTGTGATGTCAATTTCTGGTCGATCCAGATCTGCTAATTCAGTCCTCTGGGAGCTTGAAGGGAACCAGCATTTCCTCCTCAGTTCTGTCTCCTTTTATACAATGAAGATGTTAACATGATACCAAATCAAATTATGGGTTTCAGTCAGATAAAGTAGTTGAAGCTCTTTTAAAAGAATGTCAGAGGGTATCTGTATGTGTATGACTGAAAACTGTCTCTTTATACAGGCTGAGCTTGGAGAAATGGATAACTGGCAGGAAGACACAAATGCATGGGAGGACGAGTCTGATGCTGCCTGGGAGGCAGAGGAAGTGCTCAGGTAACATTTCAAAAATGCTTCAGTAATTAGACTGAGTATATAAGCGTATTAAGATGTGCACCTGTACCTGTTTGTCAGGATATTTCAGTTCTCCATTCATCACTAATAATGGACTCAGAAGTTAAAGAGCTGTTTTAGGAGCAAGAGAGTGAGAAATGTGTTGTGCTGTGGGTGAAATGTATTAGACTTCTTACATAAAGCAGTCTTCAAATAAACAGGCTGATCATCAGTGTAATCTCATCAAAAACACACACAAACGTGTGTATTAATGCTGTCATAAAAAGTAATATTTTGTTGAAAAGCAGTCCTATCAAAGGTTTCATGTGGTGGATACTGGGCAAGCTCACTTTCTGTTTCTGCATTTGCACTTGATTAGTGTAAGTTCAAACTTTGACCAGCAGGTGACAGTGTAAGCATGAAATAAATACATGAGAGCAAAGAACAGGTTATATTTTCCCCACATCCCGCTGACCTACAGTAGCTGCCATTGAAGTGCCCTTTAGTGACATCACTCTCAATCCTGTGCTTGTCTCGTCTTTATTTATTAGACAACAGAAGATGGCAGAGAGAGAAAAGCGTTCCATGGAGCAGCAGAGGAAGAAGATGGAGAAAGAGGTTCAGAGGATGATGAAGAAGGAGCAAAAGATCGCGGTCAAGCTCTCGTAACATTTCAGAACTGCTCAGTGTTGAGCGGAAGAGATGAGGGGGCAAAGACTCTAAATCATTTGTTAATCTGTCTTTAAAGTCATTAAAACGACCAGGATTACTAGCCTACACCCACCACTCATCTGTTAGCAAAGTTTCCTCCTTCTCCACCACCCTGTTCCCACCAGCAGCCATATTAGTCTGTTTTCAGCTGCGGCAGAGATAAGTGCATCATTCTTCAGGGCAGATTACACACCTGCTGTATCTTCTGTTCATGTTGCTTAGTCAGTTTGTCTTCAAGGGAGAGCTGTTCTCACGTGATCTGGTTCATTTTGTCTAAAAGGTTAGCTGCATCGGAGGCCCCATGGAGATTCCTTTCAAACTGTCAGGTAGCTTAGAAAAATGTTGGACTCTGTTATTTTCCAAGGAACATCTGTAAATAAACAGGTACTTGTGCTACCTAATGTGACTCTATTAAGGTGCACAATTCCCTTTCTTTGTCTTATTTATGAACTTAAATGACAAAGGAGAATAATTAATTTTGAGCACTGTATACCAGTGACATCCCTTGGTTTGCTTAATTAATGTGTTTTTATATTTATGGCTTTCACTGTCTGATTATTTCTTTTTTTTTTTTCATTTTTTTTGAATGAATGTTGATATTTCATTACCACCCTGTGCTTTGCAGCTGTTAGTAATTTGGAAATAAGCATTAAAATGATGGCAGAAGATTTTCTATTGGAGTATAAGTAATAAATGGCCACAGACTAGAGTGCAGCCCGTCTCTAAATGTTAGCTGTGGGTTCCTATGGTAATCTCATGGCTCCTGATATATCATTAAAACTCACTTTTAGCTTGTGAAAATATCCAGTGATCACAGCGCTGCTTTTTTTTTTTTTTTTTTTTTTTTTGGGTTGGGATTTGACTTTGCTCTTTAATAGTTGATACACTGAGTGAACAGACACAAGCCTTATAAAATATAAACTGATCCCAGGGCAGCCTCAGACTGGATTTCCAAGCTGATAAAATGAAAATTGAAGTCTTGATTCTTCCTCATCTTTTAATATAATCCTGATAGTTCAGGGTCATGATTGTGATGATAGCAGTCTGATGTGCATTATATTACAATTACCAGCTACTACTGAAAGATTTGGATGTACAGCGGGACAAGCTGTTGTCATAGAAACATTGGCAGGTGAAGATAGGTCCATACAAATCAAAATGAGCAGACATGATACAGTATGAACTCAGGTCTGTGATGTTTGGATAATGACTCGGTTGGGTTTGAGGGGAAGTTTCACATCTGGATGCCATGGTTGTTGAGGTTTAGCAGTTTCATTAAAGCTTCAAAAATGATAATTAAATAAGGATGAAATGATCTGTGCTGATTCTTTCAGCCTGAGAGTTTCATTGTATCAGCAATCTGCTCCTTTAAGCTTTTTTCATTTCAAAATCTGCATGTCCTGTTTTTCAAAGAAAAGCCTCAGTTCCTTACCCATTTTTCACTGAGTTTAAGACTTCATGTTACCAGAGCTGTCATGGTTGAGCACAAAATCAATAAGCTAAAGAAAGAGATTTGATTTGGCAGATTGTTTACCTGCTGTATCAGTCAGACAGGTTTTTAATAAAATGGTTTGATTCATACCACCAGAGGTGAATAACTGCTCCTGAGTCTCCTGCTTATGGGTTATTTCTTAAACACAGTCTGAATCGAACATTTTAAATCTTTCTTTTCAATAAAGTGGAGGGTTTATACTATTTGCCAGGGTTATTGACTTATGTTAAAGTCAACATTGGTGGCTGAAATTAAAATTCAGTAGTTCTCTGATGGATTTTTATCGGCCTCTTTTTAACTGTGGTCTCTTCAGCCTAAAATGCACAGATTTTACTGTGACCCTGGCTTTTTTTAAGACCATCATTGGCTTAAAAGAACAAACTTGACAAATATTTCTTCATACCAAACCACTTCTTTGACATCTTGATCAATTTAAGCATGAGCAAAAGCATTGTGTGTCTGCTAACTATCAACAAGCCACCATGCATTACTTAAAGGGTGAACTTTTTAATCACTATATTTGTTATTATCACCATGTTAACATCATCACGTGAAGATGGCATTACTTCATATCCAATACCCAATAACAGAATAAACACTAGCCTTGCTATCATCCCGACATTATAGTATCTGACACTGCTGTGCTGTTAAACCTGGGTTGGCAGAAGGCTGTCATAGCTCATCTGACCCTCATCACAAAGTCACCCAGATCTGTCTGGGGACTCTGCCTGCCTGCCAAAAACCTCCCAGAGACTGGCCCACTTTCAAAAAAGGACGATGAACGTCATCGGCCTTTAAAAGGGAACAATCTATATTGGTGAGTAACTGGCCTGAAGGGCTTCACAACCAAATGCACTGATTGTTCCGAGACCACTGTGTTCGCAGCTGTTCGACTTGCAACCATTGCTGCCCACTCATTTAATCTAGCGTCCTGGACTAGTGTGGGGATTAAAGCATTTGATGAATCATGGGTCTGATACCGTATAAACTGGGAGGTTGTGATTATGCAATTGACGACACTTCGCCATATGGCAGGGTGGGAATAGAAGTTCAGAAGTCAGGTTCGATGTGAAATCCAGAGTTTTCATTTGGACTTTAATCAGCTTTTTCTTTCATTTTCATTAAATGTGGATGTAACTTATGTAAGGACTAAAGACAGCATTTTGAGTTTACATGGCTAGATGAACATCTGCTTTGGCAGTGGCCCAGTTTTAAACTTGTGTTAGGGCACAGGCAGCATTTTACAGCTTCAGTGAGGTCCCACTTAAGTGGATCTAATGCACTTTACACTGTCAGCCCCACAACCCAAGGGACGTCTGAAAATACAGTCTGAGAAAGCTTTACGTAACATGAGCCGTCGAGAACACCGCTCAGTCGCTCTTGGATTCATATTTTCCCTCTTATTAATTTATGTGAACATCTTGTGCAAATGAAGGAACCTGGTCCCTCCCAGTCTTTCCTCGCACTTTAACAACAGAGGTCTTACATAAGTGAAACTTTTGCAACTATTGTTCCCGTTTGGTCGTTTTCCTCCCTGTAAGAAGACTTTTAAAATAGAGTTACAAAGTTGTTCAGAATTGATCATGCTTTAATAATAAAGATACAAGGACAGTTGATGTATTGCACATAGCTCAGGCACATAACAAGTGTCAATTGCTTTGAAGCGTCAACTTATTTCTATGAACAATACACAGGCTGTACTGAATAAAGCTCTACTCCTGGACAGGAAAAGAAAAAAAAAAAGATTTCTTCACAAAACAAACAAACAAAAAAATGGTGAATTCACATTAAAGCTTTGGCTGAAGGTTTAAGGTTTACTTTAAAACAAACTCATACAATTGAATTCTCAGAGCCCTCTAACAGAAACTAACATTCAGTCTCCCTCTCCATCTAATCTTCTCCAAACAAAAAACACTTTTCAAACACAAGGACAACTAGGGAAACCACAGGACAATGATAACACATAACCATCTACCCAGATGATCAGCTTATACGTGGAAATTATATATAAATAAATAAATAGATATATAAATAACCCTTGATAAAAAATAATCCCTTTCATGTCACCATTTTGCTTCCACTCATGGTAACTGTACAGTGCAAAGAAACCGTGTTCGTACCAAGTAACTGCATCAAGTGCTCAACAAAAACGCAACAAATCTCACGAATACTGAGAAGATGCTTAAGTGCTTTAGTTCAAAGTTAGGCGTGTGCATGCGTGGTTGAAGCCTTTACACATCTGGCCTGTGAGGGACTTGACGAAGCGAGTGCAATCCCATGATGCAGCAGCCCCTGATAAGAGCGGCAATGTTGTACACCGGAGCGCTTCCGTCCACCCCGTGCCGCGAGTACAACCAGGCCACTGTGGGCAGCACAGGAGCGGCCACTGCCACCAGATCCACCAGGAAGCTGTTGCTCCAGTAACGCTTTCCAACCACACCCAGCCCCGGTGACAGAGGAGGCTCCTCCTCACGCACAACAAAGTCCAGCTCCTCCATGAACCGATGGCACTCTGCAGATTCAGAGCAGCACATGCCGGAGTCGCTGGAAGTGTCGGGGCTCTCTGGGGGGGCAGGGGTTGGCATGCTGGGAGGCTTGGGTTCAAGGAGATTGGCAGTAGTGGAAGTGGAAGAAGCCAGATTCGGGGTGCCCAGAAAGCTGCTGGAGGCTGACAGTGCAGTATTTCCAGTTGTTGTACCATGGAACTTCAGCAGCTGGAGGAGCAGAGCCTGCAGGTCTGAAGATATGGGCATCATGTCTGTCTGGATTCCTCTATCTTCGGTTTTCTGCAGTGAAGGTGTGTCTAAGGTGACGGTTGTGGAAACTGTATTTGGTAGAGCTGGTGGGGGTGCAGCAGGTTCATCAATTAACTGTTCCTCTTCTGAAATAGCAGACACTCCAGGCCCAGACTCTGTCCCTGACATCAGTTTAGCACTGGAGTCCTGACTGAAGTCCACTGCAGTAGACATAAGGACCTGCTCCAAAATGTCCTCTCTGTTGGCCATCTCATCGTTGACCAACAGCCCGCTGTCTGCCATGGCCTCAGCTCCTTGTTCTCCAAGCTCCAGCCCAACCATCTCCTCCTCCATCTTCTTCCCTCCACTGTCAGGGCTGTCACACATGAAATCCAGGGTATTTTCATCCTGATTGTTGGTCCCACTTTGAGCAAGCTCCATGCTCTGCAGCAGCGACTCTAACTTCCTGTTTTGGATGTTGATGTCAATAAAGTACTTCTGGATACCTTTGTCTTTCTCCATCAGGCTGCTCTTCATCGTTTCCACCACCTGACGCAGCTGTTTGATCTCTTTGCGAGCCTCTTTGAGGGACAGCTGAGCCTCCACTCTGTGACACTCCTCTTCAATCCAGTCTTCCCTCATTCTGCCAAGCTGTGACTTAAGCTCCTCAATCTCTGTGTCTCTGATAAAGAGGAAGGAAAAAGCCAAATTACTTGAAAATCTTGACATTTTGGTAAAAATTTATTATAAAAAGACCAACCAGACTCTGTTAGCAAAATATGAAACAACAGCCAGCTGCCAGTTAGCACACCATGTTAAAATAATGAGCAGGTAAAGACTGAAACCCTTCATCTTCAGACAGAGTAAGAATATCATAAGAAGATTATCATTTATTCAATGGAGCCATCTAATGCCTTATGTTTTCTTCCGGCAGGCCATGTCAGCTTTTGGTTCTGACTACTAAATCACAGGAAGTCAATTCAAGACCGGTCACTTTGTTTGGCAAGATTTAAACATGTTGGCAAGGATTTTGTTTTATTTGGTCAGAGCCAGACGAGCAGCTCCACATCCACTTGTTCAAATGCTAAGCTGAAAGGTGAAATTGCTTTAACATCGTTTCACAGACTGAATAGTATCAATGTTCTCATCTACCCCTAGACAAAAACATGAATAATTCTATCATGTTATGAAACACTCTGACAATTCAAGTCATAATACTGCGATGAGAAAGACTTATCGTAATAAGGATAGTCACAGTTACGTGAATGAAGTTGTAATTTTTTTGGCAATAGATTCCTGGGAAAATTAAGTCAAAGTACAAGATTAAAGTCACAATTTGCAAAAATAAAAGTTGTAAAGTCGGTCAACCCTTTCCCCCTTTACATTATTAGTAGCATATAGGCTACTGGTTGACTTCCTGAAAATAGCAAATGTTAGCATTTATTTATCTTATGAAAATAGGCATCTGACCTTATGATTTGCATATACATAATATGAAGACTTTCATCTCCAAATATAATTTTTTCACTAATACGGTGTCCCACACACTCAGTCACATGTATTGATGTTCAATGTTTATAAGTCAGACAAATACATTTCTCATGAGTAATGTTCTTTTTGTACGCTGTTGTTAGATGTGACTGGCATCAGGCTGTTTTTTCATCTTACGTAACAGTCATTTTCCAGTGGTTTCACCCTGCAGAAGATATTGTTAACGGTTGAGCGGAGTTGCAGTGGGCATTATGTCACAGTATGATTTCACTCCCCCCCCCCCCCCCCCCCGTTACATTCATCCTGCCATCAAACCACAAAAAGCTGCAGATAAAATCTTGGGTGCAACTTTGCTACCAACCTGTCATGAACTCTGTTTTCAGACTCCAACAGTTTGGTCTTCAGGTGTCTAATGGCCACCTCTTTCTGCTGCAGAGGGGTGAGATACTGCTCTGGGTTTGGGGGTCTGATGCCATGGTTGTCTCCGCAGGAGTGGTATCGACCCAGGTTTGCTCTTCTGCTGGCCACAGAGACAAGAAAATTGGTTAAAGGCCAATTTCAGTCCTGAAGCCTTTACCTCCTGTCTATAAATCAAATATCATTTATTTATTCTCAGCTACAATTTTTTAAAACAGTAGAGAATAAACAAGGTTAACCTTTTAGAGTAAAATGGCTCCTTGTAGATAGCAATTTGTCTGTGTGAGAGAGTGCTGTTACGGCAGATGCTCTCTGAAGCCTGGAATTACTGTCTGACACAGGATTACTGGCATGTTGACTAAAGAGGAAAAAACCCTGAAAATGCTGGTTTCTGAAGACAGGCAGAGTCTGCAGGCAAAATCGTGTAAACCCTCAATCTGGAAGCTGACAGTATTAGCATTTAAATGACCTCTGCACGTTCTGTGATAAGTGTTTTATCATGGTCAAAGGGAACTGATAGAAGGAGTTATTGTTTTTCCCATACAGAGAATGAGTGGGTGGATTTGGATAATATGCAAAGCAGCACTATATCCTAGCAACCTGGGACACTTGAAGCTTTGATGCAAGCACTCTGCATCACAGCCAGAAATAGAAACAGCCCAGAAGCATGTGAGAGAGAAAAAAAAAAAGTCACATAGCACTTGGCTATGCAGAGGAAATGTCTTAAAGTGACAAGAGTGGAATTTTGGGAGAAAGCAATTCAGATGTAGCTGCTGCAAAATACTCAGGATTGCATGGTATTTATCCATGCTGCAGAGGTAAGAATTTTTGGTAAAATCTCTGCAGGCCTAAAGTAAATAAGAATGTAAAGCCAGCAGTGAACCTCTCAAGTCTTTCATCCTTACCTTTTATCTCTTTTACCTCTCTTATTTTGGCTTTACTGTCTTTTAAGCTTTTGTTACACTTTTAAACCTCACTTTATTAAGCTTTTAGGCTTTTTATTGTTCTCTCTCTCTTGCTCATTTCGGTTATTCTATTTTATTGTTACAATTATTATCATTTTATTATTTTATTTTAATTATTAACATTGTCTTTTCATATTTGTTATCCTGTTTTCTGCTTTCAGCCCCCCTTGTCCTTTGTTTTTCCCTACCGATTTTATCTTTTTATTTTTGGTCCACATGGTCTCACTTAATGTTGCATGGTTCTTGTATTGTCTGGGTTCCTTATGACATTTGAAAATGGCCTTCAGTTATGTACAAATAAAATAATTATTTTTATTATTGTCATTATTTCATCATTTTTATCATCATCTCTATCATTTTTATCATCATATTTATCAATATTTTCATCATCATCATTTTTATCATCATCATCATCTACTGAGGAGCACCATGTCAAAAATTCACAGGTTCCCCCAAACACATCTTAATTTAAAAGTTATTAAAATTCAGACACCAGTTTTGTAAAGCTGAACTTTTGATGACACTGCTCTACAAACCCAAGGTGAATTCACTCTAATCCAGTTACATTTTGGCTTCATCTGGGAGGGTCACTGTCTGGGCAACATAGTCAGACATTGGCTTTTTTCCCCAAAAATCCTCATTAATCCCAACCACAGCCAAATCATGACCGGTATAATCCCAGACTACTGACAGAGAGGAAATGATAAAGCAGTCTGAGCTTAATCCAGACCATCCACTTACTCATCATTATGCTACATATTGCCTGAACCACAATCCCAATCTACTTGTTTCCTTCGCTGAAGGTTGGATTTGTAATGAATCCACAAGAGATCACTGTGTTCACTCCTTCATCTTTATAACCACAGTCTGTACTTGGTTGGATTTGAATTATTCATTGCCATATAGTCATGTTTTGTACCTGGATGTGGGGCTTGAGTTGCAGCTACTGCTACTGTTGGTGGAGGAGGCAGCTCTGGGAGGGGTCCTGTAGGGAGCATAGAGCTCTGCATCGTGGTTTGCTGTTGAGGTCCCGGCTGGTTTGAACACTGGGAGCGGTCTGATATGGGCACCACGACTGGATTAAAGAAAGGGAAAGACAATTACATTAATTTCTCAAAATAAAACATAAAGGTTAAATCAAAACACATGAACAGTCCATACAGTTCTACTTAAGCTAGTACTGCTTTCAAAGTACAGGGGATACAATCATGATGAACCTCATACCTGCGAGATGGGGTTTTCTTTCCAGCTGAACCAAAGCTGAGGCTTTCCTTGGTCTTCAGGCTGCCTGTGCTGCTGGAGGAGCTGAAGTCTGCCTCACTACCTGCAGGGAGAGCTAGCTCTGTGTTGGAATTACAGCAAACAAAGCAGCACCATGTGGCTCTTAAAAAACCATGCAACAGAAACTTACTTTGAAATGTGAAGATGAACTCATCAGATACAAAACACTGAGAGTAACAACAAAATAAAAGGATTAAACCTCACAGAGAAACATGCTAGTTTTTCCATTATCTGGACCCCTTCACTCGACGTCAAATTTAGCTACAACACAAACATTTTGGCTAGCACTTAGATTTTCATTCTCTCTGCTTTACAAGTTCCTTCTAAATAAAGCACCATATAATATGCAGGGTTTTTAGAATAAGTAAAATAAAATAGAGCAGGACTATGCTTCTGTTTTTGTCTGATCATCAGATAAGTGTGGCCTTTAGCAGACACTCTCACACAGCTTTCTCTCATACTGCTCTCCATAATATTAGGGCAGTGTTAGGCTAATGTGAGTTTGAAGCTAAACCACTTTATGTGATCCCAAATGCCATTAACACTCCATGCTGATAAAACCCAGCTATTATGTGCTATCCACTCACTAGAGAGGCTACTTAACAGACTTGAGTAAGCTAGCACGTCAATTCAGACAGTTTCAACCTAAGCAGAGGAAAGCTAACTCTACTATTTGAGAAAATATTTACTCAGAGATCATACCTGAGTAGCTTCTCTGTCCATTAAACAAAACCATACTGTGTCCAGTGATGTCTAAGAGAAATAAATACTTTAAAACTAAGTGAGCCTTCACCTCTCTGTGAGTCAGATGAGGGTCTGTGTGCATGCAACCAGTGTAGTAACCTCCTGCTAATCAGTCTAATTAGCTAAGCTCCTGGGACTATTTTCCTCCTCCAATCAGCTTTCTTCCTCATTTTGACAAAGATCAGACTGTTTCTTTCACTTCTCCTGACTGAAAAAAGAGGACATTGTTTTCCAGGATGAGGGCTGCTTGTATTGTTATTCTAAGGTGGCTGGCATCCGGCTAAAGCTTTTAGATATTAGATTGGCATTGATCTTCAAACTCTCAGCAGGAAAGCTCCATGACCTCCTCTTATTATTCTGCTTTAAGGAGAGCAGCTGCTCCCTGCTGTTGTTTGTTGAAGTTAACATACCATAGGAATCTGCTACATGCTGACATGTGACATACACAGCTATTGTACTTTGGTCTTTGGAGATTTACTGGCATGCAGAAGCATTTGTGCTGTGTGCTGTATACAAGTGTGTTAATGTAGAAATAAGGCACACAAATTTGAGTATTTCACTCAAAAGGCTGTATGATTTGATCATTTTGTTGCAGCATCAGTATAACAGGCTACTCTTCATTAAGCTTTTTTAAAAACAGGTGAAAACATTTTTTTATTCATCTGCTGACTGTTATCTCCATATTTTTTCTTACCTCTAGCTTTCATTGCCGACCTCAGCTCCCTCTTGTGCCTCTGCGTGCTCCGTGGTTCTCCGCTCCACTCGGCCATCACTCTCACCCGCTTCACTTTGGTCTTGCGCTCGGGGAGTTTGGGCGAGCCGCGGTCACTCTGCTCTGAGCCTGACGGGGTTTTGGAGGGGGACACAGACTGACTAGTGGGGCAGCCGGTGTCATCTATTGTAGACAGGCACACAGACAGTAATAGCCAAAACAGACAGCGTGGGGCAGGCAGGGAACACAGGCAGGCAGTCAGAGCTCAAGGTTCAGCCCAGATGTTATCTGTCTGATAGTACGATGGCTTCCATAATAACTTCTCACTTTCACATTGTTTACACAAACACACACACTTGCTGACTGTGCTTTGCTGTGTGTATTTGTATTTCATTTGCTCTGCTTGTCAAGTAGGGTGAACATTAAATAAACAGGCCTACATTTTAGATTAAGGTTTCATTATCTATTATGTTATGTAGCACATGAAGTCCTCTTAACATACTTTCATGTCTCCATGTCCTGCTACTTTACACTTGTTCTCTTTGAGAGAGAGAGAAGTTATAAATTTGACCAACAAATAGTATCTGAGTGCTTGAGCTACTGCATCGATGTGTATTATAACATCAACAGAGCAGAAATATTTATCTTACCAAGAGTCTGTTATTAAATATGAGGCAACAAATGGCAGTTCAGGAGAGATAATATAATGATTAACTAATTTTACTGAATAGGGAAACATTTTCTCTGTTACTCAAGCAGTAAATCCTCAATTTGTTTACATTTTTATTTCTTCTTAAAAGTTGGGGTTTTTTTGTTTTTGTTTTTGTTTTGTTTTTTGGGGGGGGGGGGTTACCTAACAATCTAAATAAAGTTGGATTTCTTTATGTGTGATTTATTTTTGTAACTCTGTGTCATAAAAACAGCTAAAACAACAAATATGATGGCAATTAAAAGGCAATAAAAGTGCACATTTTTATGCATCCTAACATTTGGCTTGCAGTACATATGCACTTTTCTTAACTAAGATGATCAGATTTTTCTTAAAATGTTGAATCTTTTTTCCAGTGAACCTTGACTGAGGGATCGGAATATTCCTGCCACCACTGTTGTTATCACACATTCAGTCGGGATTTTACATTTAACCAGCAACAAACAAGTCTGACTTCACAATCCAACACCAGACACCATGTAAAAGGTGATTTTAAGACTTTTGAATTTAGCTTTCCTCACACTGACGCTGAACTTCTTACCAGAGCAAAAGCTGTTGGTGCTGATGGTCCTCTTGGAGTGGTCTGAGCTCATGTCACACTCCTTACCCTCCTCCTCTGAAAAAGGTGAATCAGACAGAGGAGAGCCTTTGTCCTTTGGCCTGAAGGGATGGAGGACCAAACGTGGGATGCGACTGCGGGGGCTTCCTTTTTCTGGTGATTTCTTTTCCTGTAGGAAGGAGGATGTATCAGTACTGTGCATTAATATAGCAACTCACATTAACCCACTGTCACTTCTTTTCTAGGATATTTTTATGAGCATGTAAGCTCATTCAGAAACATGCAGAAACCCATTAGTGGTATAACGATAAGACTCACCTCATATTCCTGGAATGGTCCCATTGTGCTTCACGTACTGCTTTTCTCCTGAGGAGCAGAGAAGAGGAGAGGAATCAGGTCAGTCATTTTCTGTGGACTGAGTATGTGGCAGCATCCTGACGTGGCGCTCAAACCGCTCACCAACAAGGGCCCTCTGTCTGAACTCTGTTACGCCACTAAACCCAACCCACCACACAGACACACACACACACACACACACACACACACACACACACACACACACACACACACACACACACACACACACATTTTGCCTGGTACAGATGGCAGAACAAGCCCAGAGCCAGCCAATTCCTCACGTCATCGCTGAAAATAAACAGCCAAGTACCTTCTTTAATCAGAAAACGACTTGATATTAACAGTAGATCACTCAGATTCAGCAGATTACTGGATAACATTTTAATTTTTCTGTGTTAGTACCCTTATATCTGCCAACAAGCGAGTACGTCTGAGGCTGATAATAATGTAACAGTTAACTTCACAAGAATATAAATATAAAGCTATTTTCAATTTCTGTACAGAGTTTGATACCACAGTATCTGCCCAAAAACAGACCCACATTGCTGCATACTCATGTTGCTTTAGTGGCTGAAAGGAGTGAAAAAAAAAAAAAAAAAGACACAAGCACATTCATGAGACAAATACTTTTCAAATAAGTTAATTAAGTCGTCTGCTTGTGTTTTCAATTGGGTAGAGATATCAGAGTCTATACAGACAGAGCGACAAAGAAGTAAAATCATTCTTTTTTTTCTTTCATCAAAGCTTTTGGATTAAGATAATCAGATGGAGTGCAGTAAAAGATGAAAGGTGTCCCACTTCAGTGCATAACTCTGCTCTGCCAAACTTCACTGGCTCTCCTTATCAGCCGTCTGTGCCAGAAATTTTGGTCTGCAGCCAAAAGAGCCTCTATCATAGAGATATAATAGATGATTGAGCAATTTTATACCCCCTCTTTGAAATAAAAATGGTTACAAAGTAGAGACCACAGTGGATACAAACTCTTATCTAACACAAACCAAACTTTTGTTTGGTGCATGCACATTTGAACAAGGAAGTAACATATTTTATTGATGCTTCAACGCTAAATAATGCAGAATTTTTCTCCCGCTTGAATAAACTTTATACAATCTCTTCATTCCTTCCTCGTCTGTGGATTTCCTCACCGGGTCACTGCCAGAGGCGGTTTGTTGCATAAGCACATACGTGTTCTCCCCCTTTTTTTGGCATTGTAGATGATGTAATTGACCAAAAGGTCTCTGTTCTGTTTCCACATCAGCGAATCTGAACCTATCTACCCCTTCCTTCCTCTTCTCTCTTCTCATACTGTTCATCTCACCTACCCCGAAGCAATCTTCCAAACAAATTGATAAAATCTACAGTATTGATGCACAGCTATGCATCCCAACTAAGACAAAAGAACTGCAAAATCTCTTTTCTCTAACCCTCATGGCCCAAAGAGAATAGCAAAAATAGAGCTGAGACTCATGGGAATCAAACTCCATCTCTTTTAACCTGACTCAAATAGAGACCAGCTTGTCTGCACCACATTCCTGCAATTTCACTTTCATATTCAGACATCCATACTACAATCATGCTGTGGCAAAGCACAGCAGGCCAAGTACACTGGCACGGTACAATTAGATTATCAGCACCAAGCAGGGCAGAGCAGCCAGAGCCATGCCCTAGCAACAGTCTTAGCAACAGAGCTGCATGAATGTCTGAGGCAAGAAGGGACCAATTATGAGTAACTGTGCAGAGAGTGAAGGTTTCTGCCGCTCATCTTTACATGCTATATCTTCCACTGAGAGAATATCTGGAGTGTGCCGAGGTGCTGCGGGGGTGTTCACCATTCAGCTGTTCATTGTTGTTGTCAGACTGAATGAACAGTGTGTCCCTGAGCAGGAGAGCGTGAGCTTAGGATGCTTCTGTAGAAATTCAGTCAAGCACTACTAACTAACATTTCAACTTTTTTGCCAGTAATTTTTACTAATTGGCTTATTTTGACAGATCATCTTATAAGAATTGCAAAAAGATCAAACTGTGAAATCGTTTTGAGAAAAAAAAGAGTACACTTTTAGAGACATGGGAGGATTGATCTTTGATTTAACAGTAAAAAAAAAAATCCTCTAGTTAAGTCTAAAATCATAGAACAATAAAAAAATGGGAAAAGAAGAAGAGCAGGAGCTGGAGCAATGGAAAAGAGGGTAAATAATATATATATATATATTCAAGATCAGGAATTGCAGTAACTCAATAAGCAGAGTCAACACCGTGCAATACTCCAACAATCAACATCTGGTTCCAGCACTATTTGTCTGTGACATTATCAAATTAAAAAAAAAGAAAACTTTGAAGGTTTTTACATACAGATCCTCACCCTTTAAAGCCTTTCTACTTGTGCGAAAATTGATCCTTCCATCTTCATGCAATGGGGTTCTGCCTGATTCCATTATAGCTGCCCTTCCCTGGTCCTGAAATAGCCCCTGTAAAGCAGGATTATGCATCCACTCCCCTGCTCCACCCCTGATCCTCCACTTGACTCCAGACAGTGTTGATTGGCTACCTACTGAGGGACAGGCTAAGCATTACCCAAGATGCAAACACACGATTTTAAGCTCTCCAAAGCATGCCAGCAGCCAAACCTGCTGTGTAAGTGACACATCCCAAAAGCACATCCATACACTGAGGAGGACCCTGATTTGATATTAACAGATGTTCTAGAAAAAAAGGCTGGATGGAGACTGTCAGTGCAGATGATGTGTACATCACTGGTAAACAAGGCTTTAAGCCCCCCACTGAAGCTTTTCTTTTTTCATCCAGATGGTCTACAGCATGGAGTGGGCGTGAAAAATAAAGTCCCTTAATCCATCTTATGCACTTTCTAATGCTCATGCTTATGGACTAATGTGAGGCTGTTTATTATCATTTCAAAGGAACAACAAACTATGTTTACTCATTTAGCTGATGTGATTGTTCATTAAGGATCAAGTTAGGATGCCTCAGGGATGGTGACATGAGTCGCATGCATGAACAAGCGATAGACTCTTAAAGACAGTATATAGCAGGATTTTAAAGGTGTTATATAGTACTATGCTATCCAGAATGATACACTATGACACAATGCAAAACAATAAATAAAATTGCATGTAGGCAAGTTTATGACACATCACAATATGATACAATATAATAAGTTGTGCAATACTACAACAGGATGTGATATGATACAATGTGACACAATTATGATATAATGTGATTCAATGCACTGCTACATGCAATGCAAAACAATATGACATAATACCGTGCAATACTCCACTGTGATATGGTGCTATTAGAAATGTTAAAATATAAAGTGATAACTTGAATATAATATAATATGATACAATGCAATAATACAGTTGAATTTGTTGCAGTAAATTAAGTTATGATACAATATTACATCGGAAAAAAATTTGATACAATGCAACACAATGTGATAAAATACAATTGATGCAATGTAATATGATATGATACGATTTGATATGCTAATATAGGATATGTTTTAAGGACTATGATACAAGTCAATATAATGTGATACAATTCAATGCAATACTCCAATACAATACAGTTTTATACACTTGGATACTATATGATAAGATAGGGTACAATGTGGCATAATATGGTGTGATACATTGCAACTAGATAGAACATGATATGATATGACTGAACACAGTGTGGTGCACTTCACAGACTAGTCTATAAAAATGTGCCTTCATTAAAAACATGCAGCTGTGTCCCTTGTCTTAATATTGAGAAGAAAAAAACTACAAAGATAAACAACAACAAGCTTGTGAACTCAGCAACACATTTCAACAATTGCCACATCCATTGTCTGTGAGCAAGCTTAAATTATAAAAGATGGATGCGCAACAACATCTGAACTCTATTTTTCAGTCATTTTGTAGCACAGTTTTGGATTAGAAAAATCTGCCTCCTTCAGACTTATTTCTGGCAGGACGTCCTTTGAAACACTTGTTCTAATTTCATCAGACCTTGAATAGACTGCATCATCATCCTCACTGCATGATATCACACTGGGTGATCACTTCCAGTAATCCTGCCTGAGAAAATAAAACTGAAACTGAAAGTAATACAAACTTCCACATAATATTCACCTGAGAGTTCAGTCAGTGGATGTTTATTCAGCTTTTACCTCATTAAAAAAAAAAAAAAAACACAAAACTGCACTCTCTGTACTGCACATAGCACTTTTGAAGTGCCAATAAGAATGAAACAAATCCATTGATAACATCTGGAAAATGTGAAGACTATCAGACAAAGATAGGACCACCTCTCTAATCAGTTAACCCTTTAAAGTGTCACCCATGTGCCCACATGTTTACATGCCTCCCTTTGTTTTCCAGATTTCACTGGAAAGACTGTTTGAACATTTTAAATCTACCAATTAAAATGTCTTATGGTATGTTTCCTGTCCTGGTACCTTCCTGTTTCATATCATATTAAAGGGGCTTTTTTTTAATGACTGTTTCCATATTTTGTCCAGATGTAGGGGTTTGTTTTGTTTCATGTGGCGCCCCCACAACTGCTGCTGCTGCTGCTGCTGAGGATGTTTTTCTCAGGCAGAGGGATGCCACCGCCTCTAGAAAGCCACGCGCCACAGTGTTTAACCCGTGCTGATTGAAACAGCAAAGTTCAGACATATTTTCTCCAAACCCATGCAAAAATAATCTGAAAAATTATAACACGCGTGGTCGTGTGTATGATTTAAGCAAAGACTGGCTCTTAAACTTGTAAACAGCTCCCCCTGACCTCATCTGCTCCCATCCTACCTGATCTCACCTGATCTCCCTTTTTCATTTAGTCCCGAGTTAAGGGGCTAAGGAGGCTGTTTAAGATAGGAATGAAATTCAAGACTCACCTTGTTATGTGATTGTGGTCCCTGTCAGAATGATGCGCGTCAGTCGGTGAAGCACAAAGGGTCGTTCCTTTGCTGTGTCTCCGGCGGTGGCAGCCTGCGTTCTGCTGCTGCTGCTGGGTGCTGTCGGGTGGAGGGGAGCTGAGTGCTGACTGAGAACACGCACGATTGGACAAGAAGCGAGAGACCACCGACTGTGCACGCGCAATATGACGACCATCCCAAGTGAGTTACATAACGCAAGAGGTATTACTTAACCACTGAATCCCCTCCACCATATATGAACCATAGGCTGGATGGGTTACATGTTCTGACATGTTTAACCACACTTGCGTAAAACAGGGGGGATTTATTCAACGTACCATAAAGACAAAATACAACATGTGAAGGATTATATCCGTGTAGGTCTATATTTTGGTCCGAGAGGGCTCTATCCAGATCGAGAAAATATGATATCCTAAAACATCCAGGTTTGGAATGATCATTTCTACCACGGATACCTCACAACAATCTTCTAGGTTTGACAAATATTTTCACATGAGGCAATTATTCTTTGAAACACACAAAAAAACATGACATGCAGGCCAAGAACTGTATGTTCGATACACCCTGGATGTCTGGCTGTGCAGTGTTGACTTCCTGTCAGAGTGCTTGCCAATTTGCTCTCCATGGTGCTGAAATCAGGGAAGCAGAGTCGCTCGTGCCATGTTACCCATATGTGTGTGTGCCATGTTACCCGTGTGCGTATTTTTCATCATTTTTCGTAAAATAAGACAAAACAATGACTCTTAATACTGGAGCATTGGGAATCAAAAGATTGCTTAGAAATACGCTTCAATAAGATGAAACATCCACGAATTATATGTGCTTGGTCTCGCGAGTACAGCTGTTCATGATAACAAATGCGTCAGGGTGGTTCGTGAAGAAGTCGTGGACTCTGGGTGGTACTGAGTCATATGTGAGCATGCGATCTGTCAGCAGCAGCAGCTTGTCTCTCCTCTTATCGCTGAGGCCCTCTGCTGGATGATGTCAGATAAGACAGCTTGATAATGGGACCCTCTGAGTCACTGGTGTGTCACTGCAGTTTATGACACAGAGCTGCACTGACCTTTTCTGCAAAACTCTCTGGGTGATCACCCAGAAATTCAAGCTCAAATGAGACCTGTAAGAAATAACACACAGGCCTGTGAATTGAAAAAAAAAAAAACATATTTGAAAAGGAGTTTTATAAGAAGAAGAAACTGGATCAAGAGTATCAGTATCAGTACTGTTATAAAACAGACTGAATTTCATGTAATGTTTCTGTATGACCTTCAGATAGATTCACAGCATGAACCAGAACAGCATATATATATACACACTATATACAGTATATATATAGTGGTGTGAATTGGACATGATTGCCTATTTAGTTTTGCATAATGAAAGACCAGTTTGGGAATATCAGACCTTTCAAAAAGTCCAAGTTGTCCATTTTTATGACCAGTATAGGTGCAAACATGTTTATTATTGTGATGAGTGCAACTGGATTTGTGTAAATTTAAAAGATTTCTTCTTTTATTGACACAGCTTGTCAAGAATTCAGGGCCGAATTTCAGGTTGCTGGCAGAGTCATCAGTGGTAAACTGCAGGGAGAGAGTGTTTGAAAAGGCTTTTGTTGTGGTTTATTGTTGGCAAGTTGTCGCCAGTGGTAGCAGGTGGAGTCAGGTGATTTGTTGAGACTGTTTTGTCAGAAGGGCTGCATGTAAAAGTGAATGCAGGTTGCTGATGGCAATTCAGAAGTTAGTGCTATTCAAGGTAGCTGTCCTCTCTGACAAAAAATTGGAGGTTAATGATTTCTGACTCAGAGTCAGCAGGTTGGTTTTCTGTAGGGGGGTGCAGACAGAGTTTGCACTTGCTGGTAGTGGCCTGTGAAGTGAAGGTATTTGAAGTTGACATCTCTCAAATTGAAAAAGTACAAATAGTTTCTGTCGGAGGTGGAAGATGGAATTAGTGGCTCAGTTTGTGGTTATAAGCATTGGCTGCTTAATGTTGTTGGCAGTAGCTGCAGGTGGAGACATTAGCCATCAATGTTGAGCCGAGATTGACGTTGGAAGCTTGGACTGTATCTGTCATGGGTTACAGCTCCCAGCCCCTGGTGCATTTGGAGGCAGAGATAAAACTGTGAGCCAAAGCTGCAGCTGGAGGCGACCGCATGTTGTTAACACAGGCTTACACTTAATGAACTGGAGTCAGCTCTCTTTTAAATTCTGCTGGTGGCCTCCAACTGCAGTTATTAGCTACAAGCTGTACCCCATACCTCCAACTGCAGCCTTTGTCATACACCAACAGCCATCATCTCCAACTTAAACCTTTGCCAAGGACCTGCAGCCACTTCCTCTACCTGCAATCTCTGAGGTAAACATGAACTCCAAAGGCTGCAGCTCAGGGCATCACCTCTAACTTTACAGCTACCACTGCGACCCCCGATAGACACAGCAAGAAAACATCAACCGTGAGCTACAACAAATGCCCCAAACTCAAGCTTCTGCCAGCCAACTGCAGCCGCCTCCACCAGTACCTCCACCTCAAAAACGACCTTTGCACCCAAGCACTGAAAGCTGGCAGCTTTTGCTGAAAAATTTCACTCTCAACCTCTGCCTGCAAACTGTAAAGGATGGATAACTCTAGTCCTGCTCATCTATGCCTCTGTCAATGATCAACAACAGTCTGCCATCAGGCTCTTCCAGCAATTTGTACCTGGAGTTTTTGGCTTGTAACTTTGGCTCATGCTTTCAACTAAGATCTGTGCAATACAATTACAGCCTACTCAGCCAAGTAAAGCATCTGCCAGCATATGTCAGCTTTAACCCATGTTTGCAAACTGTGATTGAAAGCTACAGCCAAAAAACACCCCTGTAACTTTAGCCAATAGCATTTTTTTCTGCCTTAACCTAGAGCTACCACCAGTAAACATAATGACCTGCTGACGCCACCTGCTGTTGCTGCTTACAACTGCAGCTTTTTACTCAGAATATAACCATTACAGTCATGGAGTGGGAAAAACATTTTTTTAATTTCACATCTAGTAAAACGAACATTTAAAAAAAGAAAAAAATCTATTTATCTATATAAAAACATAGCTACAAAGTATAAAGAACAAGAACAACAACATAAAGAAAATTTAACTAATACTAATACTGAAATGAACTATAAATATTAACAAATTTAAGATATACATATTTTTTTTAATTAGCAGGGTGGTGTTCTGGTGGTGCCCCTCCCACCACGTCGAGCTGGTGCCTGTTTCAAATGGTCCCCAATCGATGCTGCGACCAGTTCCTCTGTTGCTGTCGGGAAGTTAGTGCGAACAGACTCTGCAAAAAGATAAAAAAACAAAAGAAACTTGAATCATAGTAAGTGTAGAAATTATCTAGTATTGTCCGGAAGGATTCTTCACTTTTTTACAGCTTCAGGCTTTAAATGAGTCAGTAACATGACCAAGAATAAGTAATAACTTGCAGAGATATAATTCATTTACCAAGAACAACTGTGAAGAAAGCAGTTTTCTTTAAGCTTTTTTTCCCCTGGCGTCCTCCACCCAGGAGGTTGTACTTCCTCTGCACGTCATTGTGTAAAATTCTGAAATGGATATCAAAGACAAATAAATCTCTTAAGGTGCGTTCACACCGGACAGGCAACGCAACTTGTCCTGTCTTGTGTCCTAAAACGTGTCACTTTGCCACCATAAATTCGCGTTGCGCATTACGTCACACCCGCTCTAGGTTTCCCCTCGATCTCGTCGGACACCGTGTCCAGCGCTGCTCTTTATTTGCGGAACAAGTCCCTAAAACCTCAGAGAAACCCTTGCTGCCGTTGCACAAGTGCCTGTGTGAACGCACCTTAATACTGCTTACTCTTGCAATTCACTAGAAAGACTTGATAAACACCAACAATACATGATTATATTAATAACACTGTCTTGCTGTCATATTCATACCTGTCCAGGATCCTGCGTGTGCAGGTCTTAATGTCCTTCCCCCCCAAGGTGTGACAGTTGTTTTATCTGTATGATATAATCAAACTATCAAGAGTGTCTAATGTATAGATTTCTATCATTTTTAGCATCTCTATTTGACGTACCAGTAAACGTTTTATGCTGGGGTGCCTACTGATTTCCAACGACATGCGCTGAGCCTCCTCCAAAGTCCTTAACGGCAACTGACGTATCCGCTCACCCTCATCTTCAATGTCCCCCTGCTGGTTGAGCGATTTCAATCCATCACGGATTTCCAAAAGTGTTTCCACGACCACTCGCTGGAACTCTTAGTGAAAAGACGTCAGGGGCAAAGATGGCGGCGGTGACCAGAGGCTCCTTCAGTGTGTTCAGACGGCTGAGTGATTGTGATTGAACAGAGCTAAAGGTGAATAAGTGAAGAAAACAGCGAAACCGATCTCAAGATGCCACCAAAGAAAGTCAACCCTGGAGTTGAGGAGGAGTTGGAGGAGATCAGGAAATCGCTAAACTTCATGTCGGATGAACTGAGCAAAGTGGCTAAACAACAAGGTATGCTACTTGATTTAATGGATGAGTTAAAACAACTGAAAAATCTGATAATGGAGAAAGACAAGAAAATAGATAACTTGGAACGGCGAATCGAGGACCTTGAACAATACACAAGAATGGATGATGTAATCATAAATGGACTGGAGACTTCACACCGAACCTATGCTAGAGCTATGGCAGGTGGAGGTAAAGACGGTGAGGATGCCCCAGCAGAGGAGCTGCAAACACTCGAACAGCAAGTTATACAATTCCTCGCAACTAAAAATGTCCATATTCAAAGTCATCATATTGCAACCTGTCACACCCTCCCCAAAAAAGACAGCAAAACAAAGCCGGCAATCATTGTTCGGCTTGTGAGCCGTAAAACCAAGGCTGAACTACTGAAACAGGCAAAGAAACTAAAGGGGACTGGTGTGTATCTGAATGAACATTTAACAAAAAAGAACGCTGACATCGCCAGACAGGCACGCAACCTAAGAAAACAAAATAAGATACAAGCTACGTGGACAAGAAACTGCAAAGTAATGATTCGACTGAATGGCACACCCGAGGAAGCAAAAGCTGTAATGATAAGAGATCTCAAAGACTTAGAACAATATAAATAAAAGAGAAATGATCGCAACTGTCAATGAGAACATTCCTCCTTCCTATGGAAATGTGTGAAGACTGGACATTATGGACAATGGATTGTGGATGGGGAGCACTTCAGCGGACAGTGAAAACAACACAGTAGACAAATGACAAGTGTGGATGAGGATTATATGTTTCCATTCAGAGACTTTGAAGAGGAAGATTCCTGTGGAAACGACTGTCAAGGTGGGCAGTTGCCCAACACACAGACTGAAAAAATTAACTTTAAAACCTTTGAATATACAGAGCACAAGATGCATGATCCTGAAAGTAATTTTGATCCAGACAATTACTATTACAATAATAACACCAACAACAACATTTGTAAGTATTACACAGATGACCAATTCAATGTAAGTATTAAAATGGAAAATGCATTGTCAGTTATACATTTCAATAGTAGAAGCCTTTATAAAAACTTCTCTAAAATTAAAGAATATTTGAGTAAATTTAATAAGTTCAGTATAATTGCAATATCAGAAACGTGGCTTGATGAGGAGAAAGTCAGTGATATGAGACTGGAAGGATATGAATTATTTACAATGAACAGGGTGAACAAAAAGGGAGGGGGGTTGCCTTATATGTGGATAGAGCTTTGAGATGCAGCCAGATTGAATGTATGTCAAACACAATAGATAATATATTGGAATGTTTAACCATTGAAATCCATATTAAAAAAGCTGATAATATAATTATAAGTTGTGTTTATAGAACACCAGGATCATGCCTAGACACATTCAATGAAAAACTAGCGGCCGTGTTTAGCAATTCAAATGATAAAAAAGTGCGAATAATTTGTGGTGATTTTAATATAGATTTGCTAAACCCAAATGGACACCAAAAAACAACAGACTTTATCCATACAATGTACAGCAACTGCCTTTTCCCTGTAATTATAAAACCAAGCAGAATAACAATTGACACGGCTACACTGATAGATAATATATTCACAAATAAAATTGATTATGATATAATGGGTGGACTTCTTATAAATGATATAAGTGATCATCTTCCTGTCTTTGCAATTTTTCAAAATTATTTTGAGATAAAAGCTAAACAAAAGACTTGTATACTTGAAATGAAAAGATATCGAACACAAAGAGCCATCGCTGCCCTTAAGGTGGACCTAGGGGAACAAAACTGGAATGAGGTTTATGTTAATGATGACCCTAATAATGCATATGATGCATTTTTGTCAACTTTAATTCTGTTATATGACAAACATTGCCCTTTAATGAAAGTCACCAGGAAGCACCAGTGTTCAAATAAGCCATGGATTACAAAAGGAATAGGGAATGCATGTAAAAAGAAAAATATTTTATATAAGAGATTTATAAAACAGAGGACAAAAGATGCTGAAACAAAGTATAAAATATATAAAAATAAATTAGTAAATATTATGAGAACAAGTAAGAAAGAATATTATCATACATTATTGGACCAAAACAGGAGCAACACACAAGAAATATGGAGAGTATTAAATAGTATAGTCAAAAAGGGTGCTAATAAAACTGGTTATCCAGAATACTTTATAAAAGATAAAGATATTATTATTGATAAAATTAAAGAAATAGCTAACGAATTTAATGATTTTTTTGTACATGTTGGTTATAACTCGGCAAAAGACATCCCTAAGACGAGAACTAACAATGAAATAGATCAATATATAACTAAAAACTCCTCCTCCATGTTTATCAGTGCTGTAAATGATAGAGAAATAATTGATATTGTCAAAACACTTAAGAATAAAAAGTCCACTGATTGTTTTGATATAGACATGACATTAGTTAAAAGTATTATAGAATATATTGTGCAACCATTTACATACATTTGTAACCTTTCTTTTCAAACAGGTATTTTTCCTTCGAAAATGAAAACAGCAAAAGTTATTCCTATATATAAAAGTGGAGATAGGCACCAATTTACCAATTATAGACCAATATCACTACTTCCGCAGTTCTCAAAGATTTTAGAAAAATTATTTGATCATAGACTTGAAACATTTATTGAGAAACATAATCTTTTAAGTGACAATCAATATGGCTTCAGGGCAAAAAGGTCCACCTCGATGGCAGTGATGGAACTTGTGGAAGGGATATCTACTGCAATAGACAACAAGGAATATACAGTTGGTGTTTTTATAGACTTAAAAAAGGCATTTGACACTATTGATCATAGTATATTAATGAATAAACTAGAGAGATGTGGTATTAGAGGATTAGCATACATGTGGATGGAAAGTTACCTGGATGACAGATATCAGTATGTGCAATTAAATAATGTAAAATCAAATCAATTGAGGGTCACTTGTGGGGTCCCTCAAGGGTCTGTGTTAGGCCCGAAATTATTCATATTATATATCAATGATATCTGCTATGTTTCCAAACTGTTAAAATGTGTTTTGTTTGCTGATGACACCACTCTCTATTGCTCTGGTAAAAACCTAGAACAACTTCTGACTACAGTTGAAAAGGAATTAAATATTCTGAAATATTGGTTTGACATTAATAAGTTATCTCTGAATTTAAATAAAACAAAGTTTATCATTTTTGGCACCAGAAAAATAAAAACTCAAGTTAAAATCAGGGTCAATTGCATCGAAATAGAAAGAGTGAATGAAAACAAATTTCTTGGTGTGATAATTGATGATAAGCTTTGTTGGAAGCCACATATAAATAATGTGAAAACCAAAATGTCAAAAACCATTGCTATACTTTATAAAACAAAGGATATCCTCAACAAGAAATCACTATACACGCTATATTGTTCTCTGTTACTTCCATATATGACCTATTGTGTGGAGATATGGGGTAGCACATATAAAACCAATACTGATCCTATCTTTAGGTTACAAAAAAGAGCTATAAGAATTATAAATCGATCCCACTTTCTTGAATCAACTAATGCACTGTTTCTTAATTCAAATACCCTTAAATTTTATGATTTAGTTGAATTTAAAATGGCTCAGATAATGTACAAAGCACATAATAATTTACTTTGCCGTAGTACTCTGAGGCTGTTTGAAACCAGAGAGAGTCAATATGATTTGAGGGGAACAGGTTTCTTCAAAAAAACTAAGACAAGAACGAATATTAAGCAGAGGTGTGTTTCTGTTAGAGGTGTTAACCTGTGGAATAGCTGTGATGATGAATTAAGAATGTGTAGTTCACTTTCCTTATTTAAGAACATGTATAAAACTAAAGCAATAAGAAAATATTTAAATCCGGTATGAAGAAGAGCAATAACAAAATATTGAAATTTTTGGTTGTGTCTGTATACTTGTTATGGAATATTGTTGGTTTATTTATTTTCTAACATGTTTTTGAGAATTTATCTTTTCTTTCTCTCTTTTTCCCTTTTCTTTAGAAGACTTGTGGTGTAACTCAGACCATGTTGTTAAAGAGTCGCCTTGCTAAAGTTTTTTTTTTTTTTTTTAAAAAGGGTAGGCAAAATAAGCATGAGCTTCAGCCTACACCTTTTCGATTAGCTTTATGATGCTTTTGAAACTTACTATGTATCTGTTGTGGGTGGATTTTAAATGCTAATCGAATAAAATAATTGAATTGAATTGAATTGAATATGATTTAGTAACATTCAATTCAATAATTAGAATACATTACTTAACAACATTTTGTACTGTAGTTATGCCACTCTTACTTTTCTCAGGCATTGTGTAGGAATAAACCCTCTTCCTCGCTGAAAAATCCGAGAACGAGACAATAAATGGATGATGAGTGTGGTGCTTAACTTTGGCTGTTAAACACAAAATCACATGCTGTTGCACTATTTTAAAATAGCCCCCACCCCACTTAAAAACCACTGCTAAACCTGATAAATCCTTACCTTGAATCCAATTCAAAAATTCATCCATGGCCATATTCAATTTGGCTGGAAAGAAAACACATGGAAAAAAGAAAGTAGAAAAACAATAATGTTAATAACAGTGTGAGCTTGTAGATCAACCATTATAAAATTGTTTTGTTTTTTTAGTACAATTGGCAACTTGTGAAGCAGGACATAATGAATAATGGCTATCTTTTGCTCTTGGTAAAAAATATGTCGATACCAGTACTTTGAGATTTTTACTATTAGCATTTCCTATAGCACTGCTAATGCATTAACAAAATAATATTGGAATAATTCAACTAATGCGTCCCATTTCTACCACACATAGTGAAAACACAATCTATGACAATTACAGTTAAACACAAATTTAATTATATGAAAAAATACCACTGGATAAACAAAAACAACAGTACTGGCATCAAATAGGCTTCATTTTCTAATTAAATGGATAGCCTAACTAGCAGTTTTTAAACTTGGCTCCAACAGAGAGAGCAGGCCCTTATTTACTTTCGCGACAACACACGTTAGCATGGACTATTTAATGCTGGCTAAACTAGCCACAAGCTAGCCCTCGTAGTAGCAACCAGGCTACATGCGAACTCGAGTTTAACATTTGCCGTAAATGCATTTCACCGTCACGCATCATGATGCACGACGGTGGGAGGACCAAAGCTTGCAAAAATAATCATTTTCTATAATATCTCCTTCAGCACCTACCTCTTTTCAGCAGAAAGTATTACTCTCGAACTCCGCGACTCCTGGAACGTCTAGTGTACTCCGACGGTCGTGAGGTAGAGTGTGGATAAAGCGCAATCCCGACGTTGAAATGAAGTATAAATTTGGACTAGACGTCTAATATACGTCTTTTGCTCAGTGGGACACTCAAACCGAGGCGGTGGATTTCCACAGAGTAAATACGAAATGACGGTCACGTGGTTCAGAAATGAACAAATATGATAAAAAACATTCTATTGTTGAAATTAAGTGAATATAAAAGTGTAAAATAAGTGATTGCGGATGGATTAAGAGTTTAGAGGAATAAACTGCTTTTAGATGGTGAGAAAATTTCGGTTTGTTTCAAATTATGTAATTAATAACGCCCCGTGGGAGTGGCCACAGGGTTCAAAAGAGGGTCACCTGAAGCTATCGGTCCATTCGCCAGCAAACTGAGAGGAAGCAACACCTTCGTCCAGAGCACAGGTAAGGACTCAGTGGGTGATCGTGACATGAAGCCTCTTGAATCATTATTTCCATGCATTTGCTTTACTCTGGTCTGAAACTTCATTTGCTCAACTGTGCCATCGTGGACAATAAATGTAAAACATGCAGAGTGATTTTCAGAGACACCCCCTTTGGTGTGCGAATCTCTGAATTGAATAAATGAATGAATAAATGTGACGCCATGTGTTTGAGATATTGATACAGAAATTATTAAGTTATTGATATTTTGTCTGTCTTTACGAAACAGTAGCAGGGTGAAAAGGGGAACAGGACATAAATAGTAATGAAGACAGTTGTGATGTGAATATGCCTGTGTGTAACTCGGTTTGTGACTGTGCGTTTGTTACGGGGACAGCATCGAACACGTTAATATTTCATTCATTTTCATTAAAAAAACAACTTTTCGACAAGTCTTCGGGCTTTTAGCGGTGCTCCGTAGCGTTTCGCTGCCCGTTAGATTTTAAATCACCCGCCAAAACCGCGAGCCGGTTCCTGAATCAGTCACGTGGTACGACCGGTGTTCTGCCGTAGATTGCACCCCTGCCGTAAAATGCACCCCCTGACAGAAGCGGTTGAAAGTACAGAACAAGGCGAAATAATCCAAGTTTTCCCTACCATTGGATGAATTAAAAAGTGTATGCCTTTAATAATTTTGTTCAGGTTGTCCAGATAAACCGAAAACAACAGCCCTCTGATTGGGAATATTTGCTGTCCCGAAAATATGTTCTCTACCTTAACAGCGTACTGTACAGTTTATATACCCAAGTACACCTCTCTATGTGCATGTTTTTAGACACATAAAAACAGAGGGAAAGTTTGCTGCTCCATTTGACATGTTGTCATGATCTAATACTCGTGTTTTGTTTTAAATATAAGATCATTTTCTCCCACTTTAAGAAGCTAATGAGTGGAGGGGATGCATTCCACGGCATAACACCGGCTCGCGAGGCTTCAAACGTTATCACATACGTCATCAACTCAAGCTTCGATACGCGCTTCGCCGAAATTTACTCGAAAAATTCGACTCATATGGTTGTTGTTTTTTTTTTTTTCCTTAAATTGAGCCAAAAGGATGCAAAGCTTTAAAAGCTTAATGATTGATTTTTATATTGATGAATCTACAGGCATATACAATCTCTACTGAGCTAGTGTTTGAACAAAATGGTCTTAGGCACGCTTTCATATTTTAAATGCTTTTATTTTCATGGGATTATCATACAGGCCTGACGTGTTTAAGCACTAACAAAGTTAAACACAAGACTTTTTCCAGTAAATTTCCACTCTGGCATCAAGTTGTAGCTTGCAGACGGTGTGTGTGTGTGTGTGTGTGTGTGTGTGTGTGTGTGTGTGTGTGTGTGTGTGTGTGTGTGTGTGTGTACACTAAATGTCCAGCAGATGGCGTTATTCAGGCCACTGGGCCTTAAAATCCTCTGACAGCTGCCCTAAACATGAATCCATGACACCTATAAAAACATTTAAGTGTTTTACTTTAATGAATAAGTTTGTTTTAAGGTTTACATGATGGTGCCATGAATATAATGTTCAGAAGACTGCATTTGGCCTTATTCTTATTTTTCTGACTGTATTAAAAGACGATTAAAAGATCTCAAAGCCCAGTGTGAAAAAGCAAAACTGCTTAGTCAGATCTGTCTTAGTGTACCCTGAGTCTGCAGTGGAAAGTGCTGTTGTTGGTGTGTACTAACTGTGCTTCTGTGTTTGTTTGTTTTTTTCCAGCATGTTCCTCAGACCCCAGCTGACTTCATGTCCTCTCAGATGACTCCACTCCACCGAGGCCGAAGGTGAGACTGAGGCAGGGATGCAACTTTATAAGCCCAGAAAGAAAATAAAGATGAGGCTTGAAAATGGTCTTTTAAATGGTCTGATTTGGAGCATGGCTGCCAACCATCATGCAAACATGAGCTGTTTTAAATGACTGGTAACACTTTACAATAACCATAACTTATAAATGGTAAATTGACCGTTTATGAATGGTAAGCAGATAGTTTATTAATATTTAAATAATTTATAAATAGCATATAGGCCATAAATAGTAAATTTTACAATTTTATAAAAACCTTACCCCTAACCCTAACATTACTATAACCATTTAAGTAATGTTTATATAAACCAATTATTAATCAATTATTATGGTTTATAATCAATAATTATAAACCAATTTACAAATTATTTCAAACATCAGTTACAACTTTACAATAAACCATCAAGTAATGTTTATAGATGGTTTAAGAACCAAATATTAACCATTTACTGACACACATTTTAATCTAGATGTTTTAAAACAAATATTTAAACCCTATATAAACCTTTTAATAAATAGTCCATTAATAATTAATGAAAATTATCAATCATTAAAGTAACAATTAACTTATATTAATAAACTATCTATTTGGCATTTATAATTGGTCTATAGGCTGTTTTTAAATGATTAAACTTTAATTATCTATTTACCATTTATAAATTGTAGTTATTGTAAAGTATTTAAAATAGGGCTGAACTCATAAACTTGTGTGAAAGCTGATTATTGAAGGAGGTCAAAGAGGTCAAGGTTTTTAATTCTGAGTCTTATATTCAGGACTTAAGGTTTGATGGTTGTGTATTTCTCTGTGTTAACCAGGAGCTGAAATTACACCGGATCAAGTCAAACTGAGGCAGAACTCATGACCGTCCAACGCCTGGACCCTGTAAGGTAAGACATTGACTACTTCACTCCACGGACAGACCATCAACGAGGGACACTGGAGGTCAGTTTGCTTTTGGTTTGACAACAACCGCACCAACAAAAACAAGAACCCCACCATCAACAATCAAGCAGTGCAGTTGTTCTCTGCCCGAGTAGCAGGTTTTGGTCTAGGTTTGGTGATGCAATTGTGGAGAGAAAGTGTTCTCTTCTGGGGTTGCAGGTTTTGGTCTAGTTTTGGTCTGCTTTGGTGATGCAATTGTGGAGAGAAGTTGTTCTCTTCCAGAGAAGCAGATTTTTGTCTAGTTTTGCTCTGTTTTGGTGATGCAATTGTGGAGAGAAACTGTTCTCTTCCAAAACCACAAAAACAAGAATCCCCACCATTAACGATCAACCAGTGCAGCAATATAGACCCCCAAAACAAGTCTACTATCAGATTTAATTAAACAAAATAGCAACTCGGTCCTCAAAAACGTGTAAATCAACAAATTTACCAAAACAAAAATGAGAGTTCACTCAAATTAAAATTTAACTTCCTGAGGGAAACTTTAAAATAGTCAAGATGCGTCACAAGGATTAGGTCTGATTTCGGCAATGCGTTTTTGGAAAGCAGCGTTTCTCTGCCCAAGTGGGTACTCCTCCTCGTCGCCCCAAACTACCTCAGATTTCCCCGACGTGCTTTTGGTCTAAGAAGAAAATAAAGATGTAAGAAGACCTCCGAAAGGTGTGAAGATCTTCTACCAGGGATGGCTGCCCAGTGCACAGACCCATTTGAAGGCCATCAACCAGGTTGATTTTTTCAAACTGCTAGTTTTTTTTCCCTAATTTGTCTTAAAACTGTTGTTTTCACTCTTAAAATGAGTGATTATGAAAATGAAAACCCAGTAATGTTAATTACAGTGGCTGTTACAAAGATAAGGATTCAAGGCTGTTGTAAGGATAATTAGACTGGAAACAAACCCTGCTAAACTCAAGTGCACAGTATTTTGCTGTGCTTTATTTTGACACTCTTGAATGACACCAAAAATGAAAACCCAGTAATGTTAATGATGGAAACAGGAGCCGCAGTGGCTGTTACAAAGATAGGGATTCAAGGCTGTTGTAAGGATGATTAGACTGAAAACAAACCCTGCTAAACTCTAGTGCACAGTATTTTGCTGTACTTTATTTTGACCTTGTAGACCAGTTTAGCATTTCTATTGATTGTAAGTTGTGCAAAGTGCTGTGAGCTAAGTCAGCAAGTACAACCTGAAGATATAAGAAGAATGATGTGGCCAGCGGGATCAGCGTGGTGACACCAGAAAGACTTGGAAGAAGCAGGGTGAAGATGTCTGCGCTACACCTGGACCAGTACCCAGGTAGAAAAAAAACCCGAACAGGGTCTGTTTTTTTCCTTCTTTTTACATTTGACTTAAATATAATCACACTCCAAAAAAACCCTAATGATAAAATGTTTGTTTTACTCTGGAGTGACATGAAAACGAAAAACCAGTAATGTTAACTTTGATGCAGCGGCAGTAACAGCTGTCAAAACTGTAAGGATAACTATGCTGAAAATGAACCCAGCTAAACTTGTCAAGTGCACAGTATTCGACTGTGCTTTATTGATATGTCCAGCTAAACTTCAATTCTTGAATAGTATCAGGATCATGCTAATGTTAAAATGCAAAAACCTCAAAAGTTAAGACAAGAAGAAGATCCAGAGGAACTACAAGAAGGACAACGAGAACTTCAAGAACAGCATGACAACGTTGACATGGCTTTTGCTGTAAGGTTGGTCATCTTTCTGAGGGTAGGTGAACATCTCCTTGTTTGTTGATGTGACCATCTTGATTTAAAACTCAAAAAAAAAAAAGGTTAGAGGGATGTTTTCCAAAACTTGATCTCAAATCCAGAAACAAGGTTCAAAGGTTGCTTTTCATGACATGATCCAAACCCAGAAATAGGTTCTCAACGTGCTTTCAAAGGCTTGATTTCAAGCTCTACAAAGATTTCTAAAAGTTGCTTCCAAAGACTTGATCTTAAAACCAAAAAACAAGGTTTAAAAAGGTGCTTTTCAAAAACTGGTTCTTGAACAAGCAAAGACAGTATGTTAAAAGGTCCGGTCTCAAAAAGGTAAGTCAAAAGCACCTTTCTAATTTGACAAAAGCACCTAATCTAACAAGAGCAACTTCAAGCCTAAAAATAAATTGCCTCTACTCAATCAAAAATGGCATAAACCAAACAATCAAAGCTTTTTCTCAGCAGCACTATCACGGAGAACAAGAACACCATTCAGAAGAACTAAAGGAGCAGAAGAAGACCCGATGTGGACCTTGTGGATCAACGCCCAAACCTCTGAACAGGACTGGGTCTGTTTTTTTTCCTTTTACATTTGACTTCAGTATGATGATCACTCTCCAAAAAAACCCTAATGATAAAATGTTTGTTTTACTCTGGAGTGACATGAAAACGAAAAACCAGTAATGTTAACTTTGATGCAGTGGCAGTAACAGCTGTCAAAACTGTAAGGATAACTATGCTGAAAATGAACCCAGCTAAACTTGTCAAGTGCACAGTATTCGACTGTGCTTTATTGATATGTCCAGTTAAACTCCTATTCTTTCATAGTATCAGGATCATGCTAATGTTAAAACTGCAAAAACCTCAAGAATTAAGACCAACAGATCCAGAGGAACTACAAGAAGGACAACGAGAACTTCAAGAACACCGTGACAACATTGACATGGCTTCTGCTGTAAGGTTGGTCATCTTTCTGAGGGTAGGTGAACACCTTATTTTTAGATGTGATCATCTTGATTTCAAACTCAGAGGTTTGAGGGGTGTTTTCCAAAACTTGATCTCAAATCCAGAAACATGGTTCAAAGGGTGCTTTCATGACTTGATCCAAACCCAGAAATAGGTTCTTAAGGTGCTTTTAAAAGACTTGATTTCAAACTAAAAAACAAGGTTCCAAAGGTGCTTTCAAAGATTTGTTCTCAACCCAGAAACATGGTTCAGAAGGTGCTTTCAAAGACTTGTTCTTAGATTAAAGGTTTTAAAAAAGGTGCTTTCAAAAGACTTGTTCTTAAACTCAAAAACATGGTTCAGAAGGTGCTTCCAAGGTATGATTTCAAGACAAAAAAAATATTCTATAAAGGTGCTTTTCAAAAATCTTTATCTCAAACCAAAAAAGGCTTGAAAGGTGCTTTAAAAATCTTTATCACAAACAAATGCAAGGTCCAAAAGGTGCTTTCAAAATCTTTATCTCAAACCAAAAACAAGGTTCTAATAAGGTGCTTTCAAAATCTTGATCTCAAACCAAAAAAGGCTTGAAAATGTGCTTTTAAAATCTTGATCTCAAACCAAAAAAGGCTTGAAAGGTGCTTTCAAAATCTTGATCTCAAACCAAAAAAGGCTTGAAAAGGTGCTTTCAAAATCTTGATCTCAAACCAAAAAAGGCTTGAAAGGTGCTTTAAAAAACTTGATCTCAAACCAAAAAAGGCTTGAAAGGTGCTTTAAAAATCTTGATCTCAAACAATTGCAAGGTTCTAATAAGGTGCTTTAAAAGATGTGATCTCAAACCCAGAAACATGGTTCCAAAGGTGCTTTCAGAATCTTGATCTCAAACCAAAAAAGGCTTGAAAAGGTGCTTTCAAAATCTTGATCTCAAACCAAAAAAGGCTTGAAAGGTGCTTTCAAAATCTTGATCTCAAACAAATGCAAGGTCCAAAAGGTGCTTTCAAAATCTTTATCTCAAACCAAATGCAAGGTCCAAAAGGTGCTTTAAAAAACTTGATCTCAAACCAAAAACAACATTCTAATAAGGTGCTTTAAAAGACTTGTTCTCAAACAAAAAAGGTTCAAAAGGTGCTTTCAAAGACTTGTTCTCAAACAAAAAAGGTTCAAAAGGTGCTTTCAAAGACTTGTTCTCAAACAAAAGGGTTTAAAAGGTGCTTTCAAAGACTTGTTCCTCAAACCCAAAAACATGGTTCAGAAGGTGCTTTTCAAGGTATGATTTCAAAACAAAAAAAGGTTCTTAAAAAAGGTGCTTTTCAAAAACTTGATCTCAAACCAAAAAAAGGTTTGAAAGGTGCTTTAAAAATCTTGATCTCAAACCAAAAACCAAAATAGGTTCAAAAGGTGCTTTCAAAAACTTGATCTCAAACCAAATTCAAGGTTCTTAAAAAGGTGCTTTATAAGACTTGATCTCAAACCCAGAAACAAGGTTCTAAAGGTGCTTTCAAAGACTTGTTCTCAAAAAAAGGCTTCAAAAAAAGGTGCTTTCAAACACTTGTACTCAAACAAAAAAGGGCTTAAAAGTTGTGATCGCAAACAAACAAAGGTATGAAAGGTGCTTTTCAAAGATTTAATTTTAATCAAAAAATTTTTAAGGTGTTTTCAAAGCCTTAGTCTCGAACCAAAAAAGCTTCAAAAGGTGCTTTCAAATACTTTACCTCAAACCCCCAAAAAGTTTTAAAAGGTGCTTCCAAGGCCTTGATTTTTAAACCTAAAATATAAGGTTTAAAAGGTGCTTAAAAAAATCTGGTTCTTAAACAAGCAAAGACAGTATGTTAAAAGTCTGCTCTCAAAAGGTCTGTCAAAGCAACTCCAGCAAAATCACTATGAACCAAAACTAAGTTTCAAAACCACCAACAATCGCAACAACCGTCAAAGTGCTTCCAAAGGATGCAACGGAAACAACAAGACAGCAACGTTTGCACATTGTTTCTATCAGATGTAACTGTCAACACTAAACAGAAAGAGGACAATAAACAAACTGTGTAGATCCCCCAACTGTTTTTGTTAAAACTGTAGTTTTTCTTATTTTTATTTATTCTTTGTATTTTTGTGAACCTTTTGAATCTCTGAAATGGAATCCTTGAACTGTGCTGGTCATGATCTGCATGTGTTGTACAATTTTTTTATTTATTTTATTTTATTTTTTCAACTTATTTGCTGTATTTTTGGCCATGTTTCTTTTGGTGCATATGTATGTCTGCTTTCCTCCGAACATAAGCAGGTCTGACGAGGTGACCACTCTTTTCCTGGAGGAACTCAAAGTGCCGCCTTCCTGTTCCGTCTGGGAAATCCAAGGGTGGTCATCTTGTTGAAGGTAAGATGAACTTTTTGACGTTATGTTTTCACCAAGGTAACCACAAGAAAGCATGTAAGAAATCAGGTCCTGCATTCTGATAACTTCATCCATATTCAGTTTCAAACAGATTTTCTAATGCTGCACCTCACCTTCACTGTTTTTAATTCAAGTATTTTCTGCATTTGTATGTGTGTCTCTCTCCTTTTCCCCAACCATCACAGAAGTGAGCATCTTCAGTGTTGAACCTGGCAACCACCAATGTCTTCAGGAAGGATCTAGATCACCTCTAAGAGACGAAGTCAGGCATCCTTGTGCTGCAGGTAAGATGTGGCGGGGAACAACACTTAACACACTGTCCTATTGTCACCCAAATGTCTGAATGCTTCAACTCCAGAAACAACTTTTCTCTGGTTATTAAATCGTTTTCACAAAGGCGCAATGCGACGTGGGTGTGCCTCAGCTGTTCTACCAAAGTTAAGGCCCACCTAAGCTCAATCTCTGCCTGTTTTTATGTTTATAACATGTAAGGCTGGGTCAGTGTTTCCAATGTCGTGACTATAACCTCTCTTCGAAAACCAGTAGGTGATGCAACAGCTGTGTATTTTGTGAGTATTTTGTTGTTTGCAGGTGACTCAAGGATGTGGATGCAGGAGAATATTAGCTCTTAAGTGATGTTGCAGCCTTTTCTGATGTTTAACTGTACAGATTTGTGTGTTTCTGTCTGTAACAATCATACTCATTTTCTGTGCCTGTAAAGACATAGTTTTATATGTTATTTTTCAGAAACAAGTCCTGATGTCCTCTAGAATAGAGCCCAGCTGGAGAAGTGTGTCCGACGTTCCAGTCGATAAAAACATTTCAGCCATAGGGTGGGTTATTTTATCAAAAAGGTAGGTGAATGTCGCTATTGAAACACAACAGCTGAAACAGTCATAATACTCTGATGCACAGATGCAACACCACAAGGTTCAATGATCAAAAACACAACAATCAAACCAAAAACAAGGTTTTTAAAAGTGTTTTCAGCCACACAACCACAAACCAACAAGGTTCACAACGATGCGTTCAAAGACAATATGGAAAGAGACAACAAGGTTCATGAGGTGCTTTCAGGGACATGATGGTAACACAAACAATGTTTAAATGGTGCTTTCAATGACACAACAAAAAGGTTTAAATGGTGCTTTCAATGACAAAACGACAAATCAACAAGGTTTAAATGGTGCTCACAGGGACACAATGGTAATACAAGGTTTAAATGGTGCTTTCAATGACAAAAGGGAAAACCACCAACAAGGTACAAAAGGTGGTTTTAACTCAAAAGTTTAACGACAACAGTCAATAAATCAAGAAATGCTAAAAACACTAAATAAAAACCAAACCAAAAAAGAAAATTCACAACCAACCAGAGAATGGTTCAGCATCACTCAAGGTTAAAAAGGGTTGTATGACTTTAAAAAGGTTATTTCTGTTTTCATGAAACTTGGTTGGCATGAAAATGTCAAAAAATGTCAGTTGCAATTTTTACCAAATACTTGCTGAGCCCACCACTAAAACAACAAAATCCAAAAAGCAAAACAACAACTCTTAAGGAAACAACAAATCGGCAAAGTTCACTCAGTTCTCCAAAAGGAAACCAACTCAACAAGGACAACCTCAACATCAACTACAACTTCAGGCCTCACCAACGTCTCCTCTACAGCTTCAACTAAAATTAGGGGGACAGTGAACTGTAACCATAAAATGTTTTTTTGTTTCTTTTTTGACCCTCCAGTCTCTGTAAAAATCAGAGATGTTTGTTTTCTTTGTGGGTTTTTTTTTCTTCTTTTTGTTTTTGTTTCTTTTTGACCCTCCAGTCTCTGTGAAAATCTGAGATCTGTACTTGTCATGGTTTATTGTGTCCTGTTATTCTGTACGAGGTTTTTATGCCTCCCTTTGGCTGCACATGTATGTCTCTGCTTTTCCCCTAAACATGACGGAGGTGTCGAGCCGTGGCGTTGGATGTGCTGACCACCACCAGGTCCTGGGAGGATCTGATGCTGCCCCACTTCGATGAGCTGCTCCTCCATCCAGACTGGGAAGTTTTTAAGAGTCACCGTCAAACTGAAGGTTTCTGAAGTTCTCTTTTAATGATTTTGAAAAACTTTTCAAAGTTCTTGTAGTTGTTTTCACCGAGGTCCAAACACTCCAGCTTTTCTGGGGGTTTGTAGATGCCCAAGAGAAAATTGATTTTAAATCTGTCTGTTGAATCTTTTAAGTCTGTTTCCAATGTAGTGACCCATCTTTCTGCTTCTCTGAAAATCTATCTTGTGTTGTTACAGTCTACATCCAAGAAGACCCTGGCAGACCCCATCACCTGCTGGACTCTGAGCTCCTGCATACTTGGTTACAGGTGAGCATGGAGTACAGATTCCACTATCTATAAAAAAAACCTGGTACAGCAGTTTTATCTGATGCATCCAGATTTCCTAACCCCTGCCAATTTTAATCTCTCCCAAACACCAGTGCTTTGCCCACTTTGAGGGACGGATCTTCTTCATTCTGGACCCCTTTAACTGAAGTCTGCACCAGCACAGAAACCTGCCTCTGGACACCATCAGACTCTACCAGATGCCGTGGGCACCATCCCCGAGAAACCGGTACATAAAACAGAGATAATGATTCACTTATAGGTTAAGAACTGCCGGTCTAAAGAATAAATTTGTCCTTTTTTGTTTTAGGACTACACCGAGACGTCGATGACCCGCTCTTGCTTCAGGACCCGGCTGAAGAATGAAGACAAAGACTTGGTCCCCTGATTAGAGGTAAGTCAATCTTTGCGAGTGGTCTTGCTTGTTTCAGTCAAAGTTTTATGGTGATAAATTGATGTTAACAGTCCACTAACTGGATCTGATCCCTGTCTGCCTTCTGTAGTCACCACCCTGCAGGCGGACTTCCTGTCTCACTGTGAGCCGTAGACCTTCAACCTCGTCCAGAAAACCCTTACTCAGGACATGGTGAGTGCGCCTTTCTCTTTCAGGCTCTACTTTGAGGAGCACACATGAGCCGTTTTCATAAATCCTTGTAACAGATGAGTCCGTAAAGATGATGATAGTTGGATGTTTTTACTCGATGGGCACAGATAAACCTCCACAACCCATGAAGAGTGCAAGCTTTGCTATGTCACTGTCACTTTATAGATCTCCTCCACCTTTATATCGCTGACATTATCAGTATTATTGATATTATAGGATTATCACTGAAACCTTTTCTGACTGATAGAAAACCAAATGAATACGAGGCAGAATATTCACTCATGACCATTTTCTTCATTTACAGGAGGATACTCGAGTCTCGACTGAGGACCCAGTGATGAAGATGGATGACCTGTCTGTGGCACAAGGGTCATAGAGGATAGTTCTGTACTGATGAATCTATTATAAATTATTCATCTGTTTGACCAGATGATGTGTTGTTAAACTTTCTAACATTTGAGTTTCTTTGGTGCAAACCTGTAAGATCTACAGCTAGTAGAGTCTTCTTACAATTGTAACCAGGTGGTTTTTGTGTTGTACTGAATTTGATTTCTCATTATATTTGTAAAACTAAATGTTTAATCTGAGCTTCATTTATGGCTTAAACTTTGTTAAATGGAGGCTGAAACTGTGACAGCTTGTAGAGAGCTTTTTGTCCACTGGGTTTTTTTTTCCTTCAATACTTTTCCCCGGCTGGTTTTTCATCTCTACCTCCACCAAACTCACTCTGTACACAAAGCTTGTCTTAAATGTCATCTTTTTGGATGCACATATTCTATTTTGCTCATATTGCTTTGTCTTTATTTTGTTCATTTTTCTGTCATGCTTTATTCCTCTCTCTGCTCCATGTTTTTTTGCATTTGTATTACACATATAACTAACTTTTCACATATTTTGTCTGAGTCAATAACTCTCTGACAGTGAAATACCGTGATTGTGTTTGGTAAAACTTGTCAACTTGACTCTGTTTTTAAATAAAGTTTTGTTTAAATGGAATCAAAAACTTTTCTCTGGAGGTCAGTTTTTTATTTTGATAACATGCACAGTAGGTTAGAAAGTTTTAAAATCAGACGTGAACACTTTTAAAATCAGTTCTCTGGCAAAATTGAGACGAGCCTTAATGTTCTTTTGTTCAGCAGTGGTTTCCGTCTTGTGACTCTGTCATGCTGGCTGCTTTTGCCCAGAGTCTCTTATGGTGGAGTCATGAACACTGACTTTAACTGAGGAAAGTGAGGTCTGCAGGTCTTTGGATGTTTTTGTTGTTGTTTTGTGACCTCTTGGATGAGTAGTTGTTGTGCTTTAGAAATGGCTTTATAACCTTTTCCAGACTGATAGATTTTAATTTCTTTCCCTCATTTGTTCCTGAATTTCTTTAGATCTCAGCATGATGTCTAGCTTTTGACAATTAAAGTATATAAAAAGAAAGGAAATGAAATGAAGCTTCTGAATGTACTGTGTGGTCGTGTGGTCCACAATTTGAAGCCGTTTTCATGTTATGGTCCGATTATGGTACGATCTCCATACGGGTGTTAAACTGGACTCTTGCAGAGCTACCAAATACTTTTTTTTGTCGCTCATCTCGTAGTATTGCGGCTATGCCGATAACTTTTATCACGGACTACTTCGCTCTTGGCGGAATAAGAATCTACCCGAAGTGGTTGCACGGTGGGTCACATGAGCGTGCTCCACCAATAAGGTGGCTGGATTATTGTCACTATTATTGTAGCAGTGCTATAGGAAATGCTAATAGTAAAAATCTAAAAGTATTGGTATCGACATATTTTTTTACCAAGAGCAAAAGGTATTCATTATGCATTATGTCCTGCTTCATAAGTTGCCAATTGTACTAAATAAAAAAACAATTTTATAATGGTTGACCGACAAGCTCACACTGTTATTAACATGATTATTTTTCTACTTTCTTTTTTCCATGTGTTTTCTTTCCAGCCATATTGAATATGACCTCTGATTATTTGAAAGAGCGGCGGAGAAAAAGAGCTAGGGAGGATGATTTCTTAGATGAATCTACCAGTGATGAGGATGTGTCACAGGAGGACACACAAGAGGAGGGTGGGGCAAGTCAATCGGCATTTTGGAGGACATGCCAGCATTTGGAGGACATGCTAGAGGACACTTTGGGAAGTACTTCTTTCAATACAACCTTGAAAGAAGAGCCTGATAATCAAGAGGACTACGGTTATACTGAATATCCAGACACAAGTGATGAAGAAACCGAGCTTGTTGACTTGAAATCCCAAACCGAAGGTGAACTGTCAAGCCTAAGAGAGGATGTGGCAGCTTGGGCTGTAGAAACAAAGCAGACTCACAGTAGTGTTAATAAAAGGTCACATTAAGCAAACAAGGAATGGACTTGATTTCATTGGACGTGCCAGTAAGTGTAGTCAGTGCGTTGTTAAGTTTCGCCTGTCCTGCAGCCCCTCAGTGGCTTCAAGCTGGGGCTTAGCCACTACACCCAGGTTTTTTTTACTTAAAATTCAGTCAAACAAACTGATAATTGGTTTAATTCCTCTTCAGAAACGGTCACCCATGATTTAATTTCATATATTCTAAAGATATTATAGAATAGAACACATGCTGTTCGTTAAAAAGACACCCCTCAATCAAGCTTTGAAAGCTGAACAGTATGAATTTCAAATTACCGGATTTTTCAAGAGGACGTGAATGCCACACAGGTCCTCCTCTCTGTTGGAAGAAGCAGCGGACTGTAACAAATGGCGACGACCACTGGAGGTCAGTAGTGTTATTTAAATGACTTTGACAGAGTGCTCCACGACAGATCTGCATGTTGTTGGAACCATGTGATCAAAACTCTGGTTTCATCTAAATGCACGAGACGCCTGAGCTCAGTTTATTAAAACAGGTTTTCTGTGTCTGAAGACCTGGACGTTTTCTTCTTATTAGGCCTTCTATCAAAGATGGAATTGGGATTTGGTCATTTTTCTTTGTGATTAATTCTACATAACTGAAAATCGATCCTTCCATTCTTTATATTTTTAAACTCAGCATGTTTCTCTGAGGGGTGTCATTATTTTATGATGTTAGCAGTGACTTCAGAGTATCAGGGCGTAAAATCTTATCTAATCTGATCTGAACTGTCCTTGAAAGGCCATCAGAGACTTGGTGATAAGTAGGACTCAAACGTTGTTCCAGTTCCTGTGAGTGATGATCTACATAGAGATGGTGATGACGGGAGGAGGTCCGTGCTGGTCAGACGTGTTTGTGCTTTTTAAGACCCCCCCCCCCCCCCCCCCCTTTTTTTTTTTTTTTAATAAATCATAGTGGAGTGCACAAAATTGGAAATAGTTTAGCTAGTGCTGGCATTTGATATAGAAATTTTAAATGGTTGACGTTATTTTCAGCCAATAAACCGTTACAGATATAGGTGGTCATGGACGGTTTGTGCACGTTTCAACTTTCAACCATGAAACAAATATAAAGTTTTCCTACAGCGGTCCGTTGGGTCTGCCGTGCGTGTCTGTTTGGTGGTCTGTGACATGAAATAGTTTGGGAAGCCCTGCACACAGAGACCATGTGGGCGTGTTTCTTTCGGCCCAACAGTCTCTGCTCTTGCGTGGAGTCCAGAGCGCAAAACACACTTCTTCTGGTGCGACTAGGGAGCGCAAAAGTAGCAGCTCTCCGACCCTGACGCGCACACCGTCTCCGACTCCGGCGGCCCCTCGAGTCCAACCTCACTGAGCGGGAAAGTAAGAGTTTCTGACCATCTCTCGGTGACTCTTCCAGCCATGGACGCATCTCGACTGGTGACGCTATATCTGGGCCTGCTGCTTGTTTTCTTTGGGAATATACCGTGTTTCCAGTCTGCTGCTATCATCTCCCCCTCTGCGCCAAGGAGAAACAGAGGAGCCAGGATCTCTCATCAGGACGGACAAAGGTCATCGAAATTCCTAAAAGACATCTTCACATCTTCGCATCCCATCGTGGGCCACCACAAAGAAGACCTAAAGGACGCTATTGTGCCACACGAATACATGCTCTCCATATACAGGACTTACTCGGCTGCAGAGAAGCTCGGACTAAACGCAAGCTTTTTCCGCTCCTCTAAATCTGCCAACACCATAACAAGTTTTGTGGACAGAGGAACAGGTTGGTTTCAGTCTGCTGCCAGCTCCATCAGCTCAGTATTGCATAATTCTGTGGCACAGTTTGTCCTCAGCTGACATGTCTGATATTCTCTTCTTGTTTAGGTTTTAAAAAAAAGTTGCTCAAAACTTTAGGAATGCAAGAAACATGGAGGGAAAAGATCATGGCAGCAACTTTTACGCACGCGTTAAAGCATGCAAAATTGTGTGCCATTGGAGTTTTACGCACAAAATTAGCTTATCTATAAATTACAAGATCATGTGTTAAACTAAGGTCGTGCAAGCTCAAGTATTACATGTTGATTACGAACCGATCTGTGATCGCACAGCTGCCGAAACATGTAACTTTTTCCCGAGTATGAAGTTATATTACACTTAAATTAACCCCCGGGTGACACGACAGTAAAACACTAATTAAGGCGCTCTCTAAATGAAGGTTGTAAATCTCTGTCAGTGCAGGCTGCGTAAATCTACTCTGCTTCCAACCACGTGAATACTCAGGGAACTTTTCCATATACCACTTCACTCAGCTGTTCTTTCATTCTCGGTTTTTCTTTTTTTTTCCCATTTATCCCCATTCTTAAACTCTCAGCACAAGATGGGTTTTAAAAATGCAAACCTGGAATTGTTTTAAAAGTTAAAACTCTTGCAGTTTCGGAGTCCAGTTTGGCCCACTTATGTGAACAAAAGTGAGCTGGGGGCCGTGGCAGAGCGGCTCGGTGTGAGAAGCAGGTGTTTGGGTCAGTTAACTTGTGTAACCAAGTGATTTGACCAGGCCGCAAGGACAAACACAATCTGATAAATACAAACACATTTCACACACACAGGGGGGACATAAGCCGAGTTAATCTTTGCTGGGGAAATAAAAGCTATCTTTGTTTGCGTCCCCTCCTGTCTCAAACACTTGGAGCTTCAGAAAAGTATCCATCATTACGAGATACGTGGAGCAGAGTCGGCTGCTTAAATCACATTATCTATATGGGGTGAAATTTCATGGTGTGCAATTTTCCCAGTGCAAACCAGCTTGATTTTAAAGACCCAAGTTCAATGAAAATATCTTAATATCAAGTTTAAGGGAAACTAACTTATCTTTAAATTTACTGCATTGAAAGTTAGTGCCAAGATTTCAAGCACAGTTGCTGGTTTCCAAACTAAAAAGAGAAGGCTTTAAGGATGGAGATAAAGCTTAAAGGGCCCGTCCTCGTTGCCACTACTTGCAGTGTGAACTGATTTGATATGAAAAACGCCTCACTTTCTCCTTTGATTTTGATGTGATGTGTCACTGGCTCTGACCCCGAGCTGGACCCTTTGAGAGCTGCTTGGCATCGAAGGGCTGATTGGAGTATTTGAACTCGGTGATCTAATTGAGTGTTCATGTCATAACATATCAAACACTGTCTATTCTCCCATAATGACCCAGCTCGGCAACGATGGGCACATCACCAAAAATCGACGAAAGGAAAAAAAAAAAAGAAAGAGCATTTCCTCCGCTGTGAAGTGGTTCATACTTTTTTTTCTCCTGCGGAACCTCCCTTTGCGACCGCTACTTTAATTACGGAAAATTATTATTTTTTTCCTTCCCTTCTTTGAGTTCAAGCGCACTTGGTTCCTTTTGGGATTCCTTCCACAGCATCCCCAAAGTGTTGCGCTGCATTAACCTACAGAATGAACCTCAGCTGGAAGTTATTCGGGAATTTGCCTCCATCAGAAGGCAGCTTTTTTTTTTTTTTTTGACGCGTAAAGTAACAGGTTTTGCATCTTTGACGCATTAATTCTGCACTCAGAGACAGGTTTTATCGAGTGCACCGACAATCTACGGCTTCTTTAGCTTTCAAACTTTAGTGGGCAAATGAATTTCGCTTATAAAAGTAGGCAGGGTGTTTCCTGGAGGTCAAAAAAGGCAAGATCAGAAAAGAATAACCCGAATCTGAAAATTACTTTTGGCACTTGGGGTAACTCATTAAAGCGCAGATGGTGCAGCCCGGCCTCCCTCTCTTCCTCTCTCCCTCGTTTACTCTCTCTCTCTCTCTTTCTCCAAACCTAGGCATGGATGACAAAAACATGTTTTTCATTTGTTCAAATACAAGATACAAGGTCAAACAAAAGTGCGCAGGATGCCGTTTAAACCGCAAAGTTCAATTTATCGCATTCTTCTCCAATTATCCACCTCCAGACATGCGCGTAATGAAAAAGTTAAGCATTTTTTTCAACATTACAATGAAATTAAGACAACTTTGTACGTTTTAAAGTGTCAGCACGAATATCTCTCAGTAATCCAAACAGTCAGTCAGTCAGTCAGTCAGTCAGGCCATGCAGGCGCGTTTGAAGCGGAATGTTGTCGTTGGCAGGATGGGATGAAATATAAGAGGGGAAGTGCTCTAATGAGGATGTTGGGAATTCAGAACTGTTAATTATTTGGTGAACTTGTATTCGATTTGTTTGAGGTCTTATTAAAAAAAGAATCCTAATTCAGACCATACGGACAAAGTCCCTGAAACGAGCACAAGGTTTTAATCTGCCTCTACTGTTGGACTCGGCGTAGCTCAAGGAGGGAAACTGACAAACGGACTCGAGCCCTCTTTAGAGCAAGTTTTATAACTGATACAAAGATATCCCACTTCTACTATAGATTAAAATCCACGAGAAAAAAAAGAGACAGATGCTTTCATTTTGTAAAGCCAAAAGAAAATTACAATTTTACGAGACATTGGATTTTAAACCTCACATTTTAGGAGAAGGTAAAAATAAATAAAGATAAATTATTTGGCTAAATTCAACTGCTGCAAGGACCTATCAACAAGGGGGTGAATATTTGACACGTGTGTTTTATGCTGCAAATAATAATAATAATAAATAATTTTTGGCCTAAAACCAAAGAGTCAAGAGTAAACAGCTGCTCACTAACTTATTATGATTATAAATGACTGAAATGAACAGAAAGTGTATTATTTTTTTGGAGTGAATTCGTTAAGAGGACGCTGACTCCTTTCATGCATTGTTCCACACTGTTGCAGCTCCGTCTCATTGGTTCGCCTTAGTGGAATATTTGCAGGCCTCCTGGGTCTGCGGCAGGGAATAATGCATTAATTGTGTATTGTTCCGTTGAGTGTACAGTATGTCGCCTTTGGTCCGTTGTGTCTGGCAGCACCCAGGGGCCTTCACATCACTAGGCCCCTTGTTTTTCTTTTTTTTTTTTCTTCTCCCCCTTTCCCTTCCTTCTTTCTTTCTTTGCCTCACAACTCTGCAAGAGTTCCCCAAAAAGAAAACATCTCTGAAGTTGTGACTGCTGCTCAGATTTAAGAGCTTCTGAGGCCATAAAGAGGGAAAAGTTCACTTCAACTCCGTCAAGAAGCTGGAAATTAATAATTAATCTGTCATCAAGTGAAATGAAGGCAGAGTATGTTTCCATTAAAACATGCTGGCTTTGATTAAAAGTGACATTGCATTACATTTAGATTGGATTATTGTCACTGCAACGAATTTTAACACCTTTTTAGCGGATAAATACATCATATATTTAGACTGCTGTGGGAAAATGTTTTGAGAATCTCTCTGCATAGGAAATGAACGCCTTTGGTTTCTAAAGCAGTGATTTTTTTAAGTGTTATATGCCAAATATAAGCATGAAATATTTTACCCAGCATCAAAATCCACTCAGTAAACTTGCTAACTGGTCTTTAATGATAAAAATGTTACGATACCGTAAAATCCAAGCAAAGAAACTGAACTGAACATCTGTTTTAAATCGATTTCAGAGTTGGATTAGAAATCGAGTCTATTGCCTGGATTCGTCTGGATGACAGGGTGGATCTTATCAATAATAATAATAATAAACACAATAATAAAGGTGGTGTTAACTGAGTTTTTTCACTTGTCAGCTACAGTTTGTTTCAAGCAGGTTCAGAGTGGACATGTGAAAAACAAGGGAAGAAAGAGAGAGAGGGGAAGGCCCCTGTGGGAGAATGTGAGCCCCCCCTCTGAACACTGTACACCCTAAGTGAATCTGACTGCAATTATTTTCTTCTTTTATCCTTGCAGACGATCTTTTGCACTCTCCTCTGCGAAGACAAAAGTATCTGTTTGATGTCTCAACCCTTTCAGACAAAGAGGAGCTGGTCGGGGCGGAATTAAGGATATTTAGGAGAGCGCGCGGAGATTTGCAGAGTTCCCTGCAGACCACAGGTCTGTACGACATCCAGCTCTACCCCTGCCGCTCTGACAGGCTGCTGGATTCCAGGTCTCTGGACCCACTGGATTCCACCAAGGCCGGCTGGGAGGTTTTGGACGTGTGGGAAATGTTTAAAGCACACCAGCATCATCATCACCACCATCACCCCCATCATCCTCCTCACCATCATCCTCACCATCAGCAGCAGCAGGGGAACCAGCTCTGCCTCCAGCTCCGCGTCACTCTCGGAAAATCAGACACCGAGGTGGACTTGAGGCAGCTGGGTCTGGACAGGAGCAGCCGGTCCCAGCGGGAGAAGGCCATCCTGGTGGCTTACACGCGCTCCAAGAAGCGGGAGAACCTGTTCAACGAGATGAAAGAGAAGATCAAGTCGCGGAGGTCGGTGGAGGAGCAGGAGGAGGCGCTGGTGGTGAAGGCGGCGGAGGAGGGGGTGTCGCTAAGGGGGGTGAAAGGAGAGGGGCCCCGGCGGCGGAGGAGGACGGCGCTGAGTAACCGGCACGGGAAGCGGCACGGGAAGAAGGCCAAATCTAGGTGCAGTAAAAAGGCGCTGCACGTGAATTTCAAAGAGCTGGGCTGGGACGACTGGATCATCGCGCCCCTGGATTACGAGGCATACCACTGCGAGGGGGTGTGTGACTTCCCTCTCAGGTCGCACCTCGAGCCGACCAACCACGCCATTATACAGACGCTCATGAACTCCATGGACCCCAATAGCACCCCACCTAGCTGCTGCGTCCCCACCAAACTCAGCCCCATCAGCATCCTGTACATAGACTCAGGCAACAACGTGGTGTACAAACAGTACGAGGACATGGTGGTGGAGCAGTGTGGGTGCAGGTAGCGGCCCCTTTTCGCTCATAAAACTTTCAAAGACATACACATTAAAGATGAGTGTTGACGGGTCGTTGCAGGTTGAAGATACAAAGCCCTCGGAAAAAGGTCGGAAATGCTTTGACGCATGACGCGCCTTGTCTTTATTTAAAAGGGATGCACGCGAAGGCGATTTCTGCTATTTATTCAGACTCAGCACGGTAACAATAATTCACACTCTATGCCTTAAAGTGTTACGCCTTCATTCCCATCCACGCAACAGGTCAGCGCTCATCAAACAGCCTTTTGTTTCCCTGAGAGAGAGAGAGGGAGAGGGAGAGGGAGACGCGTCCATATGGCACAGAGACTGGGTACGAGGCGAGATGGGAGCCTGTTGGGATGGGAGCCCGGCTGTGCACCTGTTCGTGCCGAGGCCAGAGGACAGCGCGCTCTGCTCTGCTCTGCCTGTCAGCGCTTTGTTACAGCTCTGCCGTGTGATCCTGCCTGCCAGGCCGGACTCTTTTGGGTCTGTGCATCCAGGCCGTAATTGCCACCGTCCAGCTGGAGTCATTACAGGCCCGAGCCAGGGCTTGTTTTCCAAAAAAGAGGGTGAATGTCAAATCTACCAAACACGCACTCACACATACTCACTCTCTCACACTCACACACACGGACTGGCTTGAGCAGAGGAGTTAAGATGGTGGTGGTTATGCCGTCAAGAGATTTTTTTTTTTTTTGGCCTTACTGGAGACCAGTAATAAGGCGTCGCGCGCCTCTGGGAACTGAAAGGACACGCAGAAAGCCTCGTGCCTGACCGGGGCCCTGTTGTATAAAAAAAAAAGCACACATAACTGAGGCGAACTTTTGGTTGAAAAGTCTGCATCGTTACGAAATGCACTTCCACACCTGACTGCGCCAAGGACACGCAGTCAGACAGAGTTTGTCTTCTCTGATGACGAAAATATAAGAAAGAAAGAAAAAGACTCGCAAACGAGACGCTATTTAAATGCACATTAGCTTTGAATGCACTGCTGTTCATTTTTTGAGCTGTAAATATTTGTACAGTGGAAAACTTTACAAAAGTGCAACGAATGAAGAAATGAGAAAACTGCATTTCTTTGTAAATATACAAAATGCACTCAAATCGGTATAATTTTTATTCTATAATTATTTTATTATTTGTGATGTACAGAGTTTCATGATAATCATATATTTCTTACATTGATAAGAGTAATTTAAGGTGTATTCGATATTTTTGTTGCAGAGGGTGGAAAATACCATTATTAATGTCTACCTCATAATTGCATATCGGATCTGAGTTTTGAGGTGCATTCAGTTAGAGTGTAAAGAGCTTTTACAATGATATATAAGATCATTTATTTACATATATTACTGGATAATATTCCACACCATTACTGTACAAATAAAATTCAAAACAAAGTCTGGTACTTCTGATGATTAATGCAACTCTTTCTTCATTTATTCCACTTATTTATGGTGTTTGGAAGCTCTGACTTCACTTTTAACCATGAAAAACTCCAACAAGGATATAGGGGAGCATTTATTATGAAAGTATGAGTGGTAGAGATAGTCTTATTAGTGATTTCATCAGTAAAATGAAACACAAAGTTACTATAAAACAACCTTCCTGTTGCTCTTTAAGGGTAAACCATGTAAAATGTGCAGTTGAAGTCATCCTCTGGTAGAAAAAAAAGAGGTTAAAAAATGCCCTCTGAGTTCCTAAGCATAAACAGAGTGCCCTCTGGAGGCCCATCTACTAGATTATATGTAAACAGAGTGTCCCTTGAATGCCCTTATACAATGTTGACTGAGTACCCTCTGGATGCCCTTTTAGAACATCAAAACGACCCTCTATGACATGTCCCCTCGGGCCTCTTTTGTAGTAGATATGATGAATTATACTGTTGAATCATACAGATTACATAGTTTGGTGGTCATGCACAGTTTGTAAATCAAGTTTCACTTCCTAGAAAGTTCTTGTCCTTAATTTAAGTGTTACATCAGTGAATATATTCATCAATTTGACTTTGTGTATGTGTTACATTACACTACACTGTTTTAGATGACCAAGTGGTAATGTATGAACAATTTATTTTTCATCCTTCTTCATTTTAATTTCTAATCTAACTTGATATTTCTGATTCACTGCCTTACACTTTTAGCAACCTTTGTTTCTGAAATAGTAAAACCACCTTGGTTACAGAGTACAGGCAGGAAACACAGAAAGCTGATGAGCACACAACGTGATGTTTAGATGCTCACAAAAGTGATATGCCGTGCCCTTTTACTTTTTTACCCCTGTCCCTCAAACAGCCTGAGAACATCACTAGTTTCAAGCAGTTCTAGACGGTCTGAGCTTAACGCTTTGAAGCAGTACACCCCACAGAACAGATGTAAGCATGGCATATGGTGCATATCCCTCTGCCTTCAGGTATCCTAGTTAATCTATTCTTCTCCTTTATAAACAGTCCCTCATCATAGACAACAAATGTCATTACTCAGTGACTGGCTGCTTCATGACTGTGCCCCTAAAACCATCTAAACATATGGTGACTATCCGAGCAGAAGAAAACCCACTGACTGACTGTCACTGATATGGCACTGAATGTACAAACCACAGCTATTTCCCAATGAATTAGCCTGCCTGGGTCAAGTTTACTTAACACTTTAATGTTTCCCAATCTGGGGATGAAAAAAAGTTTGAAAGAAGGGATTGCTTCCATCTAGGCTATCGACCTTGGCCTGGAAACAATTAGGAAATTGCTTTGAAATGTTATATGTTGTCCAGGCTCTCGTACAGTATCATGTCACTTCCCACATGTTTGCTACGGGGAAACAGAGGATGCTAAGTGCACTCTTTAGTGGTCGCTGCAAATGACTGACACAACAAGCATTCCCCTGAGTATAACCAAATGGCCCTCCAGGCTAAATGTCTGGGACACCATCACCCGGTGCTGCTGTTAGCCATGCTATCCCTGCTGCTGCACCAGTGCACCGTGGGAGATACTTTGCACCTTCGAGGCTTTGCAGCTGATCCTGGATTAGATAGACTGTAATGTAGCACAATGTGGTCCAAATTTCTTAGCAACTTTCATGAATCCGGTTGGATAAACGTTTACTTTTTGATTTATATTTATTTGACAAGTTCCCCGGTGTGGTGGGCACAGGCCTGGAGGTGAGACTGAATGTGAGGGGAACAGTTAAACGGTGATGAAAGGGAAAGGAATGCTTTGTTTACCCGCTTCAATCCCTCACTCTCAAGTTAAATGTTCCTATAAAGTTCTTCATCACAACCGGCTTATTGTCCCTCAGCTGCACAGTGAGGCAGAGGGAGAGCAGAGAAAAGGAGTTGTGTTTATTTGAAACTCGGTCTTAATATATTAGTCCAAGCAGAGTGAAATCGGGTCCTTTTCATCCAAAGCACAAATAGTCTTGACACCCCACATCTGTGCGTGGAGGCTCCTCTTTAGCAATCTTTAAAGCTGCATGAGGGAAGATGTGTTGGGTGTCTTGGTGAGTGCAAAGCCCAGGAGTTTCTCTCAGATTAGAATAAAACAAAATTGGCTGGTATAGAGAGATAAATGCTCCTTATCCTTAACCTCTGTGTTATCAGTGATGTCCTCATCAGCTACAGGAAAAGCATAAATCGTGCTGATCTCCCAGACAGCAGGGACCTCTTAGCCAGAAGAGATTTGTATAATGAGCATTAAGGTGCATTAGGAATTTTATCCTGAAGGTTTAGATCATGTTCTTTGATTTGTTGAAAGGATGAAATTGAAATGTAAAGATGGAGGATGGAAAACAGAAGCTGGGCCGGCGTGTTACTCAGCTCCTGATAAAAACCTGGAAGAACTTCTATTTCAGACGTCTCGACTCATAGTTTTCTACAGCCTGAGTTCCAAATAAAGTTGATATCCTGGGTAATATGTTTATAAAATCAGAATTTGATGGTTCAGTTCAAAGACATTTCCTTAGCATTAAATCTTCTTTTAACAACATTTGGTTTCACTTTGGGAGACTGATGAGACTGGCTCATGAAGCTTTGACAATGAAATGCCGTCCCATTCTTGTCTGATATATGATTTAAGCTGCTTCATAGTTTGGGGTTTCCTTTGTCATATTTTTTAATTTTCCTATATCCTGAATTTTTTTAAATTGTTGGGCTGCGGTCAGGCCAGCTTATGCTGGTGCTCTGCTACCATGGAGCCACACTGTTCTCTTTCAGGAAAAAATGTGATTTGACATCTTCTTTGAAAATATGTGAGGTCTCTGCTGTCGAAGACATTGTTTGGAGCAGCATGTGCGTCTTTAGAACCTGTACACATTGTTAAACATAAATGGCATAAAGGTCCTGGGTTCGAACCCGGGTCAGGCCATTTCTGTGTGGGGTTTGAATGTTCTCCTCCTATCTGCGTGGGTTTACTCCGGGTACTCCGGTCCCCCCCCCCCCCCCCCGTAACCCCCCCCCCGTAACCCCCAACAGGATAAGTTGTAGAAAATGGACGGATGGGTGACTCCCCAGATTTGTGAACTACAGGCATTTTTGCATTCCCATAAAATCACGAATGCTGACTTTTGAACTCTGCACCAATAACAAGCTGAGAGGTCCCTCTACTTTCTACCGAGGAGGAGGTGGCGTCCATGATTTCCAAAAAGAACGTCTTTTTAACTTTTTATTTGGCAGATCACAATTTCCGTGTCACCTTGGTCCATGTGAAATGAGACAAATTACAGCTTTTCAGGACAATCTAGTTTCCTTTTTCATGCTATTGAAACTGCATTTGTGGATGTTGCATCAAACCTTGTTCACAAAGGTGGTTTTTAGAGGTAGCTTTGAGTCCAGACAGGGATTTTCTCAAGAATCAGGTTTTTCTTTAATGTGGTGCCAATTGGAGCCCATCCTCACTACTGTGAGACTCAGCCTGTCTAGAGTGCCCTTGTTCATTTCTAGTCATGTTAATAACCTGTTGCACATGAACCCTTTTAGTTATAAAAACAATTGTTTCAGCA